CAGACAGACAGGCAGGGTAAGATGGGGCTGTGCGTGGCAGACAGACAGGGTAAGATGAGGCTGTGTAAGACAGACTGGCTTTTCCTGCTTCCCTGATTAATGCAGCACGCACTGACAGCACAGCACTGCAGATCTGAAGCCGTCATCACTGGCAAGCCGATGACGCTGGTACGGTCGCCACGGCAACCTGGCTACAGCAGGACACCTGACATCATTCAGAATGCGCAGACACGTACACTGGAGTGGGGGCGGAGCGCGTGTTTCACAGCATGCTGCCTCCTCTCCATCTGAAGTGCAGAGGCATCAGGCGCTCTGCTCAGATATGCCGAACACGGCTGCGGTCTGACAGCGTGACCTTCATTCCTGCACCGTGGCGCTGTCTCGCAGTCTCTGGCAGTGCCGCAAGTTCTGCAAGAGGATCTCCAAGCATGTTCGGGCCGCTCTAATTCCCATTCCCGTCTCAGCTGCCTTCATGTTTCTCCTCCAGAAACATTATTATATTATTAACTGTGTTGTATCACACATTTCAGCTCAATGAATTGTCAAAAATAATGTTGCCATCATATTTCTCATTTATTGTTTCATAATATTGTAAGCATACTTGTACTTGTACGGAAGTACTGGTATTGGACTGGTGAATTGGACTTTTTGTGGTTGATGATGAGCATTAATGACAGAGTGTGTGGATTTCAAAATCTGCTTCGTTTCGTGCGATTCAGATGGATCAGCGTCCATATGGCACAATTTGCTGTGTTTTCACATTGACAATAAATTGTTGTGCAAGTCTCCCATATGTATCTGCTTCTGAGAAGGAACAACATCATGGCAATAATGAAGTTCAGGATTGGAGACCAGCTCAAAGCAGCTTCATGCCCGCAGGTCCCACGGCGGCCTTCCCATGATGCAGCGGTCCCGTTACGCCACCTACTTCGACGTGGCCGTGCTTCGCTGTCTGCTTCAGCCTCACTGGACAGAGGAGGGCGTGCACTGGGCTCTTACCTTCTACCTGCAGCGTCTCCGGCAGATCCTGGAGGAGAAGCCGGAGAGGCCGGCCGAACTGCATGCCACGCCCCTGCCCCGCCCACGTAGCAGCTCCATGGTGGCCACTGCCCCCTCCCTGGTCAATACCCACAAGACACAGGTAACGAGAGCAATGGGAGGTCAGGGAGACACGGGGCTTCTACAGCCAGGCGCTCTGGTTTCACGCTACACGCATTTTACCGTTTCTTTATGAATCCACCCAGTGACCGGGTGGATTCACCACGTTTCCAGTGGCTGTTGCAGGCAGTTTCAAATAACAATAACAACAGCAATAATAAAAAAACTTTATTTATATACCACTTTTCATACATAAAATGCAGCTTAAACTGCTTCATATATGGGATTAAAATAAGAAACAAAGACAACAAAGCTGTATAAAATATGCAATTAAGTCGAAGAAAGTGCTGGAAGAAGAAATGAGAGTCTGAGAATAAAAGTATATAAGCAAATAAACTTAGTGAAATGTCAATAAATAAGCAAAATGAAATAAATAAGTATAAAACGATGGTAAATTTTGCGTGTGGGACACTGACTCCTCCTCTTCCGCCCCCCCAGGACATGACCCAGAAGTGCAATGAAGAGGAGAAATCTTTGAGCTCTGAAACCTTCTCCAAAGTGTCCTTGACCAACCTCCGGAGACAGGCCGTCCCTGACCTCGCCTCTGACCTGGGCATGAACATCTTCAAGAAGGTATGAATGTGGCACCTTCTCACACAGTTCCACCTGCGTATTAGTCCTGGAGATCATGGAACCTGGAAAGATCATAGAGCAGACCTTCTTGCTTTCGGTCTGTTAGGAGCCCGGAGGAGAAGCATTGTTTCACTGATCCATGCCGGTTCTCCCCACTCAGTTGTGCTGGGTGCTCGTTGCATTGAGTAGCTGATCTTCCTCCTCAGTTTAAAGCCAGGCTTGTCTTCTGAGGTGCGTAACAAAGGTCGGCTCAATCTCCTTCCCTCCCCCAGTTTAAGAATCGGCGCGAGGACCGGGAACGCAAGGGCTCCATCCCTTTCCACCACACGGGCAAGAAGCGACAGCGCCGTATGGGCGTGCCGTTCCTGCTGCACGAGGACCACCTGGACGTCTCACCCACACGCAGCACCTTCTCCTTCGGCAGCTTCTCGGGCCTGGGGGATGATCGCAGGGGCCTGGACCGGAGCGGCTGGCAGGCTACCATAATGGGTATGGTCAAGTGCCAGCAGTATAGTGTAATCGTTAAGGCCCATTGGATCTTGGGGGTAAGGAAGCCTGTGTGCCTGAAAGCTCATTCACTTACAAGTCAAATCAAAATGAAAGGCCTACGCTCACCTCTCCCCGTAGCTCTGAGGCTTAGCAACTTATTAAAAGGGAAGAGGAGGGGTGGGTTTTTCTAATGAGCCAGCTGGCTTCGCCTTGTTTGTCTCCGGTTGCCTTGGTACCTGTTAGATAACTCGGTGAGTCAGCGTGAAAAGTAGGTCAGTCCATTGTGCGAGTAGCACCGTGGGACCATCGCAGCTCCGCTTTGGCCTGATGGGCATATAGAAACATGCCAAATTCAAATAAACGTTCTGAAGGTTGGTATGTTTACGTGAGTTCGCTTTGAGAGAAGGGATTCAGACCCCGGTGGTTCAGTGGATAGCTCTGTTTCCTCATGTTTGGGGGGTTTGAATCCCACACTTTCAGTGTGTGTGTGGAGTTTACATGTTCTTCCCTTGTTGCTGGGATTTCATTCTGGTTTTCTCCCATAGTTTAAAGCATCTATAAATCACCCATAACGTATGATTGTGTGTGCATGCATGTGTTTCCTGTGGTGGACTAGCAACCCATCCATGGTGTACCTCCATCCAGTCCTCGGACACCCCGAGACTGTCCGCATTTTTGCTCCTTCCAAGCTCCCAGGCAATCTCGAACAGATATTAGGCGTCCTTGATTAGCTGGGAGCTGAGAAGGAGCAAAAATGCAGACTGTCCTGGGGTCCCAGAGGACTGAGTTAAGATGTAGTACCTCAGTCTTGTGCTCTATGCTGCCTGGGATAGGCTCCACCCCCACAACCCCCCCCCACCCCCCCCACCCGGCACCCTTTAATAGTTAAGAGGTTAAGAGGTTATAGAATAGATGGGTCAATGGATTAGAAACTGGTTTGCTTTTGGATCCTTTGCCTACCAGTTGCCTACCTCTGGGCCATGAACGGTGTCCTGAATGGTCCCTGTACCTGCTTGTGCGCTCTAGGGAAATTCACAAGGCGGGGCAGCACGGATGCGACTGGAGACATGGACAGTTTGGGCGCCAAGCACTCGCACTCTCACCACACTCTGCTGAGGGACATGCCCGACCACTCCAACAGCCACAGCGACAATACCGTCAAGGAAGGTAAGGGGGCGCCGTGACGAGAGAGGCAGCTCTCTGCGTAAACTGGAACACCGTAAAGCAAAATAGCAGTTCTTATATCCTCTGAGTATTTTCAGTTTAACATCTGAAGCAGCCTGATTTTGTTTGGTTTCTATGGCCCCAATATATGCTGACTATTTAAACAGACATATCAAGGCTGAGCTGGATGTGGAATCAAGATCAAAGCTAGAGTACAGCTCTGGGCTTTTTCCATCCACTGAAACCTTTAAAGAGGATGATGAATTGATAAGTCAGGCTAAAGGCAGCTCAGCAGGACGCTGCAGACTGTTATATGCCTGCAAGCCCAGCAGGGCCCAAACGGGCCCAACGGAGCCCAACTGAGCCCAAGCTCAACAACAAACTCAAGCCAGACTCATGCTGATTTTTTCGTGCATCGACCGGGTTTGGGTCAGGCTTGGGCTCCTTACCTAGTTGTGTTTTTGAAACATTGCGTTTGAATGTATGTTCATTGCGTGTGCATGAGCCTGCAGAACATCACATTGTAAAGGTTGGTGTCAGATTTAAGTTGGGCTCAGGCTCCGGATAATATTCGGACTCGGATCAGGTCGAGCCTGAATGCCTTGGGCTTAGGCCGAGCTCAGGCTGGCATATCAGGACAGCGCAGGCCTACTGACGACAACCCCCTCAACCCCCATCTCCTCCATCCTCCAGTGCGTTCCCAGATCTCCACCATCACCATGGCAACGTTTAACACCACGGTGGCCTCTTTCAACGTGGGCTATGCCGACTTCTTCACGGAGCATGTGAAGAAGTTGTGCAACCCGGTACCAGCGGCTGAGCTGGTCAGTGAGCCTCTGGCATGTGCCAACCTCCCCCGCAGTCTGACTGACTCCTGCATCAACTACTCCTGCCTGGAGGAGGGCGACAACATCGACGGCACAAACAACTTCATCCTGAAGAACGGCATGCTGGACCTGGCCGTGAGTGAGACTCCAGCAAGGGCAATCTCAAATCTTAACTACTTAGAACTACTTAGTGGTCACCTGTGATCTGTGTGGTATTGGGTACAAACCTAACATGTTAGCACCTAATCTCCAAACTAGCCGGTCTCCTTGATTTGGTCCTTCTTGCAGGCCGTGATGCAAGCGCTCTACGCGGTACTGACCCACGATATCAGCTCGCGCATCTGCGACGTGGCCCTCAACATCATCGAGTGCCTGCTCCAGCTGGGCGTGGTCCCCAACGCCAGGAGCAGGTCCACCCACATGGAAGACAAGGAGAATCATGAGACGCGCACCAAGGAGACCGCCGGCCAGACCGCCACCACCTCCCCGTGGGCCGTGCCCGGGGCCGCTGCGGGTGCACCCGCGGGGGGTGGCGGGGGCGGGGGCGGGGGCGGGGGCGGAGACGGCGGCGGAAGCGGGGGAGGCGGTGGAGGAGGTGGGGGAGGCGGAGGAGGCAGTGAAGATGAGGCTAAGAACAACAAAGAGAAAGAGAGCAAGGTGGGTGTTTCCTTCAGCCCTCATTAAATCTGCAGTATGGAGCTGCGTTACTCCCGTTAATCACCTGTCAGTGGCCCCGAAAATAGCCGCAGCCAATATGCACATGATCAGGCTGCGTCAAACGCCGCTGCACACAGACTGGATGATCTCGCCTGCCAAAGTATGCAGAAACAGCTGCGAGTAGGACGAGGGACTGATAAGAAGGGATAGATAAGTATCCTAGTGTGTATGCATTAAAAACAAAGAGCCCCTATCAGTAAAGATGACAGCCTTAATGTTTCTGTTCAACATCTATTGTCTTTCCACGTTTTATTTATGTGGTGTATGTTCTCTGCCAGGGCGATGTAATCTGATCTGAAAATCAAAGCACCTTTTCATACAAACGATTGTAGTATTGATTTCAATATGTAGTAGCTGCTTGTTATGGACTGGCTATCCATCCAGGGTGTTCTCCCGCCTTCTGCCCTTTGCCGTTTGAAATGGCTTCACCTCCCCCCCAGCCCCCATCACATGACCCTGTATTGGACAGGCAGCTGGAAGATGGATGTTTTATACATGCTTCAAAGGCTAAAAAATATGGGGTTTTTTTTTAGTTCTGTCGATCAGGCCACTTTGCCATCAGGATCTTCTCTGCAGGGTTTCAAGCTGAACTGAACATAGGCAGATCCCGAGTTAAGAAAGTCTGATTTATGGACAACTCATACCGAGGAACAGACTGCCGTAAAGGCTATTCAATTAAACATTTGGGTTAAATACAATGTATCTTAATAAGGAACACACTCATTACTTTGTAATGCTCATGAAAACATTGCATGGCTTCAGTGGTTCATCAGCTCACGGTACAGTACAGCATGTAGTTACTTTTATTATCACTGTATAATAATTATTATTATTATTAACTATATTATTTTTCCAGCTAACCTCCAAATTCGACTTAAAGACTTGGGGAACGGATCTCATTCACAACCTGGGGGCTGCCTGTCAGATTGACAGAGCATATTGCACCTCTAGGCTCAAATTTCTACCACAGTAAGAGTTTTCGCCTCCCCCCGTACTTTCAGGAGGGTGCCCCCCCACTGAGCACGCACCGGCTGGCCCTCACCATGCTCATCAAGATTGTGAAGTCTCTGGGCTGCGCGTACGGCTGTGGTGAAGGCCATCGGGGGCTCTCAGGAGACCGGCTGAGGATGCAGGTGACATGCTTAGTGTGGAGGGTGGCAGTGGAGTATACTGTAGCTGTGGGTTATAGATCATGTGGTATGACTGTGGAGTATAGATGATGGAGTATACATGATGTACCGTGGGTACACAGTATAGTTGATGGAGTTACATAGTGTGTGGGTGTGGAGTAATAGTGGCTGTAGGTTATAGATGACGGAGTATACATGATGTGTTGTGGGTGCGGAGTATACAAAATGGAGTATACATGATGTGTCATGGGTGTGGAGTATATAAAATTGAGTATACATGATGTGTTGTGAGTGTGGAGTATAGATGATATACAATGGGTGTGGCAGAGATGTAATCTTTATACTACATTCTTTTCATGGTTAGCTGCTTTGAAAACTCTCTCCTTTCACTAGTAACTACTCTTCCATCCGTTTCAGGCCCAGAGTTGCCTAACCCGGCTCTACAAGTTGGACAAGATGCAGTTCCGGCAGACCATGAGGGAATACGTCACCAAGGACTCTCTCAACAACGTGGTGGACTTCCTACATGCTCTGCTGGGGTTCTGCATGGAGCCCATCACAGACAGTAAGGGGATGTGTGTGTCATACCGACATGTAGCACTGCTGTTTTAGAGATAATACCTTATATGTATAATTCCTTAATGAATTATTTAAGCAATACGAGATTCAGTGTTTTAGTTCAGCAGAAAGAAAATTCTGAAAAAGAAATGTCTTAAAAACATTCTGAAACAAGGCACTTTATATTCCACAGAATTTATAATGAAAGAATTTAGCAGTTGATTCTCTGCTGGATATGCGAATATAGAAGATGGATGGATGGATGGATGGATGGATGGAGCCAGTAGCTGACAGTAAAAACGTCGCTGGTTGTAGGCTGAGGCTGAGCTGGCTCTGAAGGCAGTTTTTTGTAATATCTGGCTGCTTATCATGCGTTTCCAAAAGTCATTAGGGACATTAGAGGCAGAGCCCAGCAGACCCAGTGACATCTGTAACTGGTCTTCAGCCCCACTGGCTGGAGAACTGGTGTCCTCCATGATACGCGCCATTCTGTGCTCATGTTTTACATTTTGATATAAAATGGCGGTTTACGTTTCCATGCTTTGGTCAGATAATGAACACTGACAGTGAGCAGTGTACACTGGGCAGACTGTAGAGGAAAAAAATAAGCTCAGGCAATTCTAGACCCTATTTAGGAGGGCATCACCCACCCTATTTTTTGTCTTAGTCCCGTCCTGCATTTCTTTAGATTGAACGTTGCAACTCTACTGAGGGCTGAGCCTCGCTAAGGGTCAGATCATAGGATTGACCCTGAAGAGCAGTATGGTGGATTTTTACCCCAAGAGGAACCAAAGTGACAGGGCAACAGGGAACTGGTCTACATTAGCACCCCCTAGTGGAACAAAATGCATTGTCACATGTAGGCAAGTTCTGCATATTTGGCAGCTAGTACACAGATGTTCCACCACTCCCATGTCAGTTTCCAGCTATCATGCAGTTGGATCCTTCATCGATCGAGCCTGTCATCCATCACCCCTCCAGACATTCCCCTCTGCACCTGAAGGATTAAAGATGTTTCCAGGCAAAATCTCTATGCCCACTTCATTCTTACAGCTATGCAATTGCTACTGGCAACAGTGACCTTGACAATAAGGTTAAATAGACAGGGAGCAACTGGCTTTAGTAGCTTCTCTTCCGGTGATAGGAAAGTTCTACTGCAGATGAGAACTTTGATAAAGAACCCCAGAGGAGTCTGTCTGTTTGTGGCTCCGTGTCCTTTCTCAGTGGGTTTGTCTGTGCTGGTCTGACAGCAGCTGTGCCCAAATCCATCAGTGCAGGTGCGAAGGTCCTGGAAGGTGGAAAAATAATCCTGGGTAGATACATCGCTGCCCAAAGCTAAAAAGGCTTCCTCAGGCATCATGTCTCTTCTGGTGCCCACAGTCTAGGGAATGTCCTCGTTTGCACACTCTAGATTTGACCCAGAAAAAAAACATCGCAATCCATCTGAAATGAAATACCTAACAGCTATATTTAAAGGTCTTACCCCATTTTGAGAACTTTAATCTTTGGAGCAGGTTATGTATTTGAGTAAGATATGTATACATAATTTACACCCCGGACTCTCTCATTTGCTTCTCACCTGTGCTTGAGTCGTGGGATTTGGGTTCCCCTGCATCACATAATGTGTGGGTCTGACCTGAACCCACCCTTGTCAATGTAATGAGTGGTCTGTCCTGTCTCTTTGCTCCCAGATAAGGCCGGCTTTGGAAACAACTTTACTACAAGGGACAGCAAGTCTGTAGCACAGAGCATGGAGACGGTGGTCGTGGGCTGCATGTTCAAGTCCCTGATAACACGCTGTGCTTCCACCACCCACGAGCTGCACAGCCCAGAGAATCTGGTGAGATTTCACAGCTATCAGCAAATGGACACCCATCCAGCCACAATCAGGGTCACTCAGATCTGGCATCTTCTCAAGATAAGGAGACCCCCTGACCTGATCAATTGTGAAACACCACTAAAGACTAGGATAATCTTCACACACGTGTTCACTCACACAGTAACAGGGGCAATAAGTGACCAGCTGAACTACAGTAAAAGTACAGCAAGGGGCCTGAGGGTGTATAAAGGGTGTGGTAGAGTACAGCAAGGGGCCTGAGGGTGTATAAAGGGTGTGGTAGAGTACAGCAAGGGGCCTGAGGGTGTATAAAGGGTGTGGTAGAGTACAGAAAGGGGCCTGAGGGTGTATAAAGGGTGTAGTAGAGTACAGCAAGGACCCCGAGGGCATATAAAGTGTGTAGTAGAGTACAGCAAGGGGCCTGAGTGCATATAAATGGTGTGGTAGAATACAGCAAGGGGACTGAGGGTATATAAAGGGTGTAGTAGAGTACAGCAAGGGGCCCAAGGGCATATAAAGGGTGTGGTAGTGTACAGCAAGGGGCGTGAGGGTGTAAAAAGGGTGTAGTAGAGTACAGCAAGGGGCCCGAGGGTGTATAAAGGGTGTGGTAGAGTACAGCAAGGGGCCTGAGGGTGTATAATGGGTGTGGTAGAGTACAACAAGGGATGTGAGGGTATATAAAGGGTGTGATAGAATACAGCAAGAGGCCTGAGGGTAAATAAAGGGTGTAGTAGAGTACAGCAAGGGGCCCGAGGGTATATAAAGGGTGTAGTAGAGTACAGCAAGGGGCCTGAGGGTGTATAAAGGGTGTAGTAGTGTACAGCAAGGGGTCCAAGGGCATATAAAGGGTGTAGTAGTGTACAGCAAGGAGCCCGAGGGTATATAAAGGGTGTGGTAGAAAACAGCAAGGGGCCTGAGGGTGTATAAAGGGTGTAGTAGTGTACAGCAAGGAGCCCGATGGTATATAAAGGGTGTAGTAGAAAACAGCAAGGGGCCATTGGGTTAAGTGTGCGGATCTAGGGCTGCATAATGCTGGCCTTCTGATGTAATCCTCTATAAGTACTCTAATACTCTGTTTATGAGCCCAGACATTGTGAAAGATCGAGCGAGTTTTGCTGCAGTTACAGGCATGGCTAAGTACAAGCTTGTGCCTTCCGCACTGACCCAGTGTCCACAGTGACGATAGTGTCACTTACGTCCAGTACGTTTAGCCTAGTTACTATTATCAGGCACTGTCAAGTCCATGTTGACTCCTGCTCCCCATATAGACATTGGTTCACCAGAATATCCTGTCTTCTGTCTGGGTCTTCCTGCTTCTTTACTGTTCAGATGTTAACCCAGTTACACCAGTATTATTATAGAAATATACCCTTTGCAATACCACCATGGTGTCTATACTGAATATGCTGTTGCATGATGGATGAATGAGTGAATGGATATGTACTATATATACTCATCGCATGCGGAAATATGTTGAGTGATTCAAGCCCCATGGTTTGCAGCATTTTTTGACCTATAGGGGGAGCACTTTTCTTCTGGAAGCTGGTGGGAGATGGGGTATTACCAGCATCCCTGGAATGCCATTACTGTCATATCAGCAAGCTGTCAGTCATCTGGTGCCACTCCATATGTGTGGCTCAGTGGGCTAATCCTGTGTGCCTGTAATCAGAAGGTTGCTGGTTCAAACCCACCTTCAGCATGTCTGCAGGTCCTTGAGCAAGACCCTTAACCCCTGGGTGCCACTATGGGTGGCAGCCCTTTGCGGGCAGCTTACTCTACAGAGAGCAAGTTGAGGGAAGCATAAAGACAATTTTCCCATGGGGATCAATAAAGTATTGATGATGATTATTATTATTACTTTTGTTCTCACTGTGTAGTGGGTCGGGAAAGGCTGAGATGCCCCCTGGTGGACATATTCTTCCATTTATTGCACTTCAGATGCATTTATATTTGGTGAAAAGCAGGGGAAATCATTTTTCTTTGTCTTCTCTCCGTGTTTATGTCTCTACACACACCCATCACACACAGGGCCTGTACTGTGACATTCGTCAGCTGGTCCAGTTCATCAAGGAGTCCCATGGGAATGTGTTCCGGCGAGTAGCACTGAGTGCGCTGCTGGACAGTGCTGAGAAGCTCACCACAACAAAGAAGCCTGAGGAAAAGGAGGAGCCCAAGCAGACTGGGACCAGAAGGTGTACTTAATTACACCTACATAATACTGACGTTACAACTACAACACACTGCCATCACACCCTCATTGCTCCCTTATTACACTGCCATCACACCCTCATTGCTCCCTTATTACACTGACATTACACCTACATTACACTGCCATCACACCCTCATTGCTCCCTTATTACACTGACATTACACCTACATTACACTGCCATCACACCCTCATTGCTCCCTTATTACACTGACATTACACCTACATTACACTGCCATCACACCCTCATTGAACCCTCATTACATTGACATTACACCTACATTACACTGCCATCACATCCTCATTGCTCCCTTATTACACTGACATTACACCTACATTACACTGCCATTACACCCTCATTACACCCTCATTACATTGACATTACACCTACATTACACTGCCATCACACCCTCATTGCACCTTCATTACACCTACATTCATCTCCTCATACCCTCATTACTCCCTCTTTACACCTAGATTACACCATCTCCCACCTTGCATCCTCATTACTCCTTCCATACTCTCTCATTACACCTACATTACACTCCCATCACACCCTCATTACATCCCATCACTTTGTCATTACACCTGCATCATACCAACATTACTCCCACATTGCACCCTCATTATCCCCTTATTATTCATACTTCACACAGTCATTATACCTTTATTACACTTCCATCACATCCTCATCATCTCCTTATTATACCCTCATCATGCATCTTTGCACAGAACTCTCTATCTAAGTGATTCACACAGCTTAAAAGTAACACAGCTGGACCCTTGTGCCTGTGATGTTTGGAGGTGAATCCGTAGAGACCACCTGTCCGTGCAGCTGCAGTCCATGTCCCCGTCAGGAGGCCCCGAGCCGTGTGCCTCTACACGAGAGTATAAGTGGCATCCTGTGGCTTGGTTAATTGGGTCAGCGGTGACACAGTACTACCGAAAGTCTTCTGGCTTCAGGCCCAGTGACGCTTTCGGTTGGGGAGGCGGGTGTCTGTCGCTCTGGGTCAGTCTCATGAGAAGCAGGGTATTGTTCTGTGGAGGAACAACGAAGGCAAATGAGACAGGTCAGTTTTATTAGGTAGCATTATATGGGTTAGTTAGATAAGGCTGGTGATGGAGTGGCAGCTCCTGCAGGAATGATGATCTATTAGCATTGTTGACTGTGTGTGTGCGTGTGTGTGTGCTTCTGCGTGTGTGTGTGTGTGTGTGTGTATGCTTCTGCGTGTGCATGCCTAGGTCCGAACCAGGGGAGAAGGGACAGCCCTCCACTACAGCCGACGAGTGCCGCAGTCTGATCTCTAGCAGACCCCCCCAGACCCCCGAGCAGTGAGTGTACCCCGCCCTGCACCGTGGTCGCTGAGCTGAGCACCCCCTGAGAGACCAACGCGTCCTGCTGTCGAGTCTGGGTGCTGGTGTTCTTTTAAGGGCTGTGCTGATTTAGACCATCAGAAATCACGCTGTGGAGATAAGTGCACTCATCTGAACGCTCTGCATCCTGTACATCAGTGTTTCCCAACCTGCTCTTCGGGGACCCACAGACAGTCCATGTTTTTGGTAGGGAGCTGGGAGGGAGCAAAAATGTGGACTGTCTAGCAGGGAGCGCAGAGGGAGCAAAAATGTGGACCGGCTGTGGGTCCCCAAGGACCGCATTGGGACACAGTGCTGTATGTGAATTCCCTGTGCTTTTCTGCAGAGGCTGCTGTCCACAGGCTCGTAGTTCCTTTCGTCACGTGACTAAGACCTGATGATCTGCTCAAACCCAGTGTTTCCCAAACCAGTCCTCGGGGCCCCTTGATGGAGCACGTTTCTGCTCTCTCTCAATCCCCTGAGACCTGGGAGGGAGCAAAAACACACGGACCATTTGGGGATCCCCAAGGTCTGGTTTGAGAAACACTGGTCTAGCCATCTTGGCCCAATCTTTACCCCGATCCCGTGTGTGTCAGCGAGGAACAGATTCCGGGAGCATTGCTGGGTCGAAAGGACTTCTGGAGGAAGATGTTCAAGTCGCAGAGCGCGGCAAGCGACACCAGCAGCCAGTCGGAGCAGGACACCTCGGAGTGCACGACAGCCCACTCGGGCACCACCACAGACCGGCGCTCGCGCTCACGCTCTCGCCGCATCTCGCTGCGCAAGAAGCTCAAGCTGCCCATCGGTGCGTAGGGGCGCCCCCTTGTGGGCGGAGGGGTGTAATGCAGGTACTGATTACACCCATTGCAGGATTTCACATGTTGTGCAGTAGCTGTAGTATGTGCAGATTGTCCAACTCAAAACTCAAACACGCCATTAAATCTGTTGAAATGAAGGAAGTTATGATTTCCGAGCCAAGCCGGGCCTGCGGACGTGTCGGAGGGTAATGTCACCCTCTTCTGGAGTTCCTCTCTCAGGGACGCATGCATGTTTTGATCTTATAGTGTTGGAGTAGCCAGCCCTGTATTAGGAGGAAGCGTGAAATTTATCTCTTGTGTATCTTTCTGTCTTGTTTTCCTTCTGTACCCAGCATGCCACAGGACTGTCCGCCTTCCACTCACCCTCTCTGTGTTACGTATGTGCGTTCGTGGCCTGCGTGTTCGTCTGTGTGCGCACGCTCTGCTCTCGGCGCGTGTGTGCGTGTACGTCGGAGTGTCTTGATGGCGCCTCTGCGTGTCCGTGCGTGCTCGTGGTCACGTTTTGGTTCCGCAAAAGCGTGCAAAAGCTTATGTGCGTGTGTCCCAGCTCGGTGTGTGCGCGCCCTGCCAGACATCTGTGCGCTCCATCCCCTCTCCTCTCACCGCCGTCTCTGTGCAGGAAACTGGCTCAAGCGCTCATCTCTGTCGGGCCTGACGGACGGCGTGGAGGACTTGCTGGACATCAGCTCTGTGGACAGGCTCTCCTTCATCCGGCAGAGCTCCAAGGTCGGGCGGCCTCAGTGTGGCTTCGATTCAAAGCAGGAACTGCAGATATGAAAGTCAGGCTTATGAGTTATTAACTACAAGCAGAAAAACATGGTGGCTTGTGCTATAGACACATTTCTTTAGTGCAGTGGTATTCAAACTTTTTTTGATGGGCCCCCCCTAGGACTGATATATTTGTCCTGCCCCCTCCACCCAGACGCAGACACGCAAAATAATATGCATCGTCATATTTTCTGCTTCTACTTGTTTTAGGTTTTGCTTTGCCTTCACATTTTCTTTTAATGCTTCTACCGGCTAGAAGTTTCTCCATGGTTCCTCCAAGTATGTAAGCATTAACGGAGCAACTTTCCCTCTGTTAACTTTCGTCAGATTACTAGTAGTTGATGCATTCAATACATTACAATTACATTACATTACATTACAATAATTTTAATTATTGTAATTTGTTAGCTTCCCATAATGTGCAGAGGCATATAATGTGTTATTTTTAATATTTCTGAAGGTTGCAATTTCGAAATAGAACTGCCCCTAGCTCAAACCCCACCCACGAAGATCTGTTTGTGTTTTTTCCACTCACCTGCATGACACGTCCCACAGTTTGAATACCTCAGTGGGAACCCATGGTGTGAGTGACCTCTGTCGCCCCCTACAGGTGAAGTTCACCAGTGCGGTGAAGCTGTCAGAAGGCAGTGCGGCGGAGTACAGCCGGGACGAGGAGGAGAACTTCTTCAAGCGGCTCGGTAAATGGCGGTCTGGCCGGCGGAACCCGTCCAAGCTCCACCACCCCGAGGAAAAAGATGGTAGACCCCCTGGGGGCAGGTCCCCCACCCCGTCCGCCCGCTCTGTGTGTGCGTGTCCGTGCTCAGTCCCGTCGTGAGTCTCCAGCCATCGTCCATGTGTCTGTGACTGTCGCTGCTCGCTGCATCCAGCAGGGGGCGTGTCAGCACCTTGTGAGAAGTTCGCTCATGCTCTGTCCTACTGCCCCAAGTAGCCAAAATAGTCAGGTGAGGATCTTCACTGCAGTTAGCGCAGAGAGAAAAAATGCCGAAAGAATCGGCAAAAGATTTGAGGTCTGACTGCACAAATTCATCCCTGTCAGAGAATCCCCGCAGCCTGCGTCTGGCTCAGCTGCTCCTTGGCTCCCGTCCTGATCTGGGCCGGCTGCCTGTGACCCTGACCAAAATAGATTATTTTTATTATAATAAGTCTCTCAAAGCTAAATGTCTTGCATTCAGCCTTTCTGTCTTGGCAGTGTTTATCTTACAAGGCAGGTCCTGGTGCTATTGACAAACATTAGAACCATTAAAGGAAATTAAAGACACTGCTCTTGAATATCCTGTCTCATATACGATCTTTGACATTAAGTAGCGAGAGTGCAGAATTACATAAAGATACACATTCTGCACCAGACAGATTAATAGGTCAGGGGTGATTTACTGCATTCCCATTTTGGGTTGGGGGATTAGAATGCAGAAGTTTATGGAATCCATCTGGTCGCATCTGTGGCTATTAGTGCTATTGCTGTCTGTCATTTTACTTGTCCCTCACCCCTCCTGAGATTTCATGCGTCTCGTTTCTGGATGCTTCCGTGCATTTTGGCGTGGCATTGTGTTTGTGTTCACTCCTGCTTTTGTTGGCCGTTTCTGTATCTGTTTCAACTATTCCTGCTCTACACCTGTGTCTTTCATGGCTGTTTTGCCTCGAGTCCTTGAGATTTGTTTCTTTGTGAGAAGATGAAGATGAGCCCCGCTCATACAGTAGGTGCTGAAGGTGGGCCAGTAGGAGATCAGGCCCTCTGCTGTAGTAATTGAATGTCTTAATCTGAGACTCAGCTATCGAATCCTGTCATCTTTGTCAACATCCCCGTTGTGTGACGGCACTTTGTCAATGTGAAGGGTCCTGGTCTTCTGCTGGTTGTAAATTTGTCTTAATAACCCTAATTAAAGTTGCTCTATACCTCTTTAAACATCAGTTTTAAATAGTTTATTGCATTCTTGATAGCTAGCCATAGGCATTTTTGACTGGCATCCTTTCCATGGTTAACTTCATCCTTGTGCCCTGTGTTCCCTGGTATAAGCTCCAGCCCACCTCCCCCCGGGTTAATCGGTTATGGGATGGATGGGTGGATGGATGTACACCAGTCTATAATGGGCACTAGCGCACAGCACATGTTGCTCATGGGAGTTTTACTTATACAAAAATCTTCTGAGTGCAAAAGGAAAAAATAACGATACGTTATTGATCCCTGTGGGGAAATTGTCTTTACGCCTCCCTCAACTTGCTCTTTGTAGAGTAAGTTGTCCGTCAGCCGGGGGTTAAGGGCCTTGCTCAAGACCCTGCAGACATGCTGAGGCTGGGTTTGAACCAGTGACTTTCTGATTACAGGCACTGCCCACTGAGCCACACGCTGCCCACTAAATGATTGGTTTAGAGAGATAGCCAATCAGATTGTAGAGAAGGTGGGTCCAAGGAACTAGAGGAACCAGGACCAACCAATCAGATATCTTGGTCCCGCCTCTTCTAGTTGCTTGGACCCACCTCCTCTACAATCTGATTGGATATCTCTCTGAACCAATTATTTTTCCTGATGCCCTCAGAACATCTTTGTGTAAGTAAAACTCCCACGAGAGTGCATGTTTCATCATTAGCCCCAATGACGCTGGCTTTGCAGAGCTCCATAACCATGGTGTCAGAAGCAGAGGCTCTGGAGATGCTCTCCTCTCGCAGGCTTGCAGCGGCCACCGCCGGGCAGTGAGGGATACTCTCTTCCGTGACTTTCTGCCAGGGTGTCATGGCTTCCAGGAGCGTCTGGCTGCCAGTCAGGAGGTTATGAAGAACAAGAACGTGGTGAACCTGGGCGCCATCCGGCAGGGCATGAAGCGCTTCCAGTTCCTGCTGAACTGCTGTGAGCCAGGCACCATCCCAGACGCCTCCATCCTGGCGGCCGCCCTGGACCTGGTGAGGGGCCCACGTGACTCTGCAGCGCTCCCGTCAGTCCTATGGCCGTACCTGCGACATGGGAGTTTTTGTCAGAGATTGCATGCAGGATTAAGATTCCCGTGATGGAGCACGCTATCGGCCATTTGCTTGAAGGGTTTTTATTGATTATAAAATCCAAAAGAATTTGTTAAAATATTATCCATTTATAAGGCTTTCCAAGTATTTCTTTGTACTGTGTACTTCATTTCCGAACCTGGTAAACGTCTGAATTAGGGTGGTAGAGTTTGGCTGATGCAGCTTTCCATGACATCTGATTGATTTCCAAGACATTTGATTGCTTGGTCCCACCTCCTATAGTTGCATGGACCTGCCTCCTCTACAATCTGATTGGTTATCTCTCTGAACCAATCATGTTTCCTTCTCCCCTCAGAACATGTTTGTATAAGTAAAACTCCCATGAACGCACATGTGGCCCTGGTTGGGGATGTGAGCGTCTTTCTGCCCTGACAGGAAGTGCTCCTGTGTTGTACAGGAAGCTCCTGTAGTGGCACGGGCCTCCCTCTTCCTTGAATGTGCCCGTTTCGTCCATCGCTGCAACCGCGGCAACTGGCCGGAGTGGATGAAGGGCCATCACGTGAACATCACCAAGCGGGGTCTCTCTCGAGGCCGCTCCCCAGTGGTGGGCAACAAGAGGAACCAGAAGCTTCAGTGGAATGCGGCCAAGTACTTCTGCCAGTGGGCCGACGTGAGTCAGCCAGTGGTTACGGCCCCCACCCCTCCCAGTGCTGCCCCATGGTGGTCTGCACACAGCTCCCAGGGGTGCCAGGCCTGGTCATGTGACCAGCACCTGACTAGTTGGGAGTACTAAGGTTTTTGTTCAACACAGAACCGGCTTTCCTCAGTAAATATGTGTTCTTCCTATGCATCCGTCTCCCAACCATTATCTAGTACAGAGTCTAGGGTTCCACACTCTTATGAACCTGAATAATTTTTTGCGCTTTATCTTAGAACCCCCTTGATGTGTATGTGTGTATGTATTTTTGTTGCCCCTGTCCTAGGCAATCGGTACCCGCCTGAGCGAGCTCTGCCACTCGGACAGTGAGAGTCCCGCCAACATCTTGGGCTTCATCTACGACGAGGAGAGCAAACGGCGCATGCGGAAGGAGGATGAGGAAGAGGACTTCCTAGACGACAGTGAGCCCGGTGTCGCTGACCTCTCATATCGGCTCTGGTGGTCTACACCACCGCGACACTAACGGTCTCGTCCTGCAGACACGGTCAACCCGACTAAATGCTGCTGCCCGTTTGCCCTGAAGATGGCCGCCTGTCAGCTGCTCCTGGAGGTCACAACCTTCCTGAGGGAGACGTTCCCCTGTCTCCCACGGCCCCGCGCTGAGCCCCTGGTGGTCAGTGTCTTGTCTGGACTGAAAAATTTCTTCAATAGTTATAAAAAGTCTATAGCAGGGATGGGCAATATTATCCACAAAGGGCCGGTGTGTATGCAGGTTTTTGGCATGACCTTTAGGTCAGCTGTTCAAGCCCAGGTGTAAGGACTCTTCAGTCCATCAATATTTTAATTAGTAACCTAATTAGGTACTTGCAGTGAAAACCCAGTGAAATCGGCCCTATCTGGATATGATTGGCCACCCCTGGTCTATATCAATAGTTCTGGCCTTGTTGTGGGGGATTCAAATGTTTGTGTGTGAGGGACCAAACAGGCTCAAAGGCACAGGGATGTTTTTAAAGGAAAAGATGTTTTTATTACAAACATTTACAAAAAGAACACAACAAAAGTAAACTTAAGTTCAAACAAACGGTATGAAAGTGGCACAAATTCCGCTCCACGATGCAGTACGAACACTGGCAAAAACTGCACGTTCTATCGCCTCTAGGGGCAGAATTCGCCATGTTGTCCTCCATCACTGGCAGCCACTCAGCTCGCTTCCATCGTTTCCGCCCATTGCAACAGTAAAAGTTCTTGACCAGTGGTTTGGGGGTGACAGTAAAATTTTCTTACCACTAGAGGGCACCTTAGTTTGAGAACCACTGGCCTATAGGAGTGAACACTGTAAGAGTTCAGGTTGAAAGCCCATCATGCAGCTCCCTTTCCACTTCTCAGTGTCTCTCCGGGTTCCTGTCCTCACAGTCTGCTTTGCCATTTGTTTGTTGACCTTCTCACTCTCCGCCTGTCTCTTTTTGCTCCACACACTGAAGGCTATGATATCTCACCCACCTTTATCCCCACTGGTCCTTCAGGACCTGGAGAGCTGTCGCCTGCGCCTGGACCCGGAGCTGGGCCGGCACCGCTACGAGAGGAAGATCAGCTTTGCGGGGATCCTGGATGACGAGGACGGCCATGACTCACTGAACAGCAGCAGTCACACGCTCAAGTCTGACACAGCCTGCGATGACAAGAAGACCCAGGAGCCCCTAGGTGAGGTTACAGATCGAACCCATGCGGTCGCGTTCAGTACACTGACACTGACTCATTGCATGATGCACTTTTACAGTACATTAGAGCTAGATGACTATGGGTGGTGTTTGGAATGTCCGCTATATAAAACACTCAGTAGGGTATGAGGTCGGACAGGAGTCGATCTGTTTCGGACACACAGATCTGTGTACACGTGACTGTTTACTGTAATGTACTCACTTACGCAAGCATGATTCAGACTCTATCTGTAACTACGGTATTATATACTAATCTTCAACATGCTGTATTAACTGTGAGTTAACGTTACCCATACAAAGCATTCAAATACGTTAAAGTAACATTTTGTTTTTAAAGCAGCGGTAGCCCAAGTATTTCATAAGCTACTTAACAACGGTTAGCAGTTACTGTTCAGACTGAGCGACGTTTCTCAAACATGCTTCCGACATTTATGTGATAGCCTGCATTGCACAACGGTCTAAGCAGGGTACGGTTCCCGATGTAGGGTACAGCTTCTGTTCGCTATATTTTGATGCGACTCATGAACATTTTGTAGTGCAGTATATAGTGAATGAAATATACAGTTGGCAATTTGAACAATAGTACAAAATAGCTGATTCACTATATAGTGAACATTAGGAATACAGAATAACATTCAGCTGCAGGATCGTGTTCCCCATGTACGGCGCTCATGGCCAGAGTAGGTTGGGCGCATTAGCGAGGACGGTTGCCTTGTTTCTACCGAGCTCTGATGCACCTTGACCTCTGAGATGCGTTACTCCGCCCCCTTGTGGCCGCTCCGGCCCCTGCACACCACAGCTCCCATCAGGAAGATCCGCATCGGGGGTTCCCGCCTGCTGCAGATCAAGGGGGCCCGCAGCTTCCGGGTGAAGAAGGGGGGTTCCCTGTCCTCCATCCGCCGGGCCGGCAGCCTCAAGAGCACCAAGCTGTCCCGGCAGGATTCGGAGTCGGAAAACGAGGAGGGCCTGCTGTCCCAGAGCAGGGACACGGTCACAGACATTGGTAACTAGCAGTAACTTGCTGTCCTTGAGATACTCCTATTGATTCCTGTTACCCAGCAGTGAGTAGTGAGCTAGTACCAGCAGACCCAGTGACATCATTACTAATGAGTTTTCCCTGACATTAGGAGGCATGTGGCTGAACAGACACGTGTGTTGCTTCCACAGGGAGTCCCTGGAGCACCAGTGAACCCAGCATAGAGCCAGAGGGACTCAGCACTGGTGGGACTGAGGAGAACTACCACCGCAACATGTCCTGGTTGCACGTAGGTGACTCTTCCCCAGGGAGGGGCTTATTTCTGAGCATAGGAGATGTTATCGGTGAGGGGCCCAGCTTTGCACTCTCGAGGATACTGAGGGTTCTGTTCTGGGATGTCGGCTTTTCTGGTTCAAATGCATTCAGATGCTATTAGCCTGTGACACCTATGATAAACGACATGCAATCTGGCATTAGCCTCATAGGCTACCGTCTACCCATCATGCCCTACCACACACCCCCCTGTGCCCATTCCGCAGATCATGATCCTGTTGTGCAACCAGCAGAGCTTCATCTGTACCCACGTGGACTTCTGCCACCCCCGCTGCTATCAGTACCACAGCCGCTCCTGCGCCCGTCTGGTGCGCGCCATCAAGCTGCTGTACGGTGAGGCGGTGGACGGCCCAGCTAGCAGCACCGGCCCCCGTGCCAAGAAGGCCAAGGAGGTGGGGGCGCCGGGGAAGTCCTGGGCACCGGGCACTCGCCCAGACGCCAGGTTCTTAGGATGCGCGCGTGTGCACGTGCACGGTGCTGTTACCATAGCAACCGTTCCTCTACCGTAGACAGTGTGTATAAGTTAATACAGGAAGATGTATCAGGTGATCAAAGCTGTGACACTTTCCTGAAAAGCATCGCGTGACCCTGTGCCCAAAAATGGCTGCTTTTCTCTTAGGCGATTCCAGCATTATAGATGTGACGTTTATAAGTGTCTCCAAACATGGACAAACTTAGTATGAATGAGTAAATTTGCATATATTCAAGGCTGAATATAGGCAAATCCCCGAAATGCATATATTCACTAACATGTTACAAATGCTTAGCATTTTATATGTGTTATGGATGTGACATCAAACTGATCTTTTCATTAAATGCCCTGCTTTGCATTCAGCCTGTATTGCTGTATCAGCTTTTTCACACTGTTGTTTTTTATGTGTTATTTGTGGTGGGACTGGCTCTGAGGGGGACGAGGTGGGTGGACTGAGGGTGTGACTCTCATAAAGACCCCCTGTGTGACTCCAGTGCTCAGACAAATCCTGCCTCCGGACGCCGTCCATGAAGAAACAGCCCACTGACAGCAACGCGGAGGGGAAGAAGGACACAGGGATGCTCAAGTACATCCGCAACCAGGTTTCTTCACTCACCTACCCAGCCCTCTCTGACAGTCTAACCCTAAGCCTAACCCTAAGCCTAACCCTAACCCTAAGCCTAAGCCTAACCCTAACCCTAACCCTTCCTCTGACACAGGTGATGAGCATGTCGCCTGCCCCCCTATCCCTGCTAATCAAGGCGGCCCCCATTCTGACGGAGGAGATGTACGGGGACGTGCAGCCAGCGGCCTGGGAGCTGCTGCTCAGCGTGGACGAGCACATGGCCGCCGCAGCCGGTGAGCGCCTCCCACTGGACGGTCTATGTCACTGCACTGTAAAGTTTCACGCTCTCCAGGTTTGTGCTGATTCAGCTCACAAGATACATTAAAAGCTAGTGCTCCCGTCTCTCTGTCCCAGCCGCCATGTTCCTGCTGTGTGCGGTGAAGGTGCCCGACACAGTCACCGACATGATGATGGCAGAGTTCCACCACCAGGAGGCAGGGCAGCGCATAAACTCGGTGCTGAAGTTCTACACCCTGTGGCGGTTCCGGTACCAGGTGTGGCCCCGCATGGAGGAGGGAGCCCAACAGATCTTCAAGGTGATCCTCACAGCAGTGTTTCCTCCTCAGCTGTGATTAATTAAGACAGGGCTGCTACTTATCAGTGTGGTTAAGTCAGCGGTGGAGTCCTAACCCAAAACGCATTAACTCATGAGCAAATGGACCTTTCAGTGTGTGAAGGACGTGGACCTCCACCTTGATATCTTTGTTTGCATGTATTCTCAGATACCACCTCCAAGCATCAATTTCACCCTACCCTCCCCAATCCTGGGCATGCCCTGTGTGCCCATATTTGACCCCCCCTGGGTCCCCCAGAATGCAGGCAGTGTCCAGGACCCGATCAACGAGGACCAGTCTGTAAGTGCCTCCTAATGTCAACAGCTGAGCCAGACTGCGCTATCATGTGGGTTTGGGAAGACCTTGGAGTGGGTGAACTGGGAGCGGATGTTGCAGAGGCTGTGAGGAGCTCAGTTGTGCCTCGAAATCCACACTAGGAATACAACAGCCTATAAAATTAACAGCCTAGTTTAATCACGCATGAAACACATTGTCTTCCTATCCGCCTAATTGATCATTGTCAACACTGATGACAATCTGCTGTATCTCCGTCCTTCAGACGTGTTGTTGACTTGGTCCAGCTTACCGTATCCCAGCTCATCTGTTAATGCACCATCCCTCCCCCCGGCCGTGCAGAAATCCTTTTCAGCGCGTGCAGTGTCCCGGTCCCACCAGCGGGCGGAGCACATCCTGAAGAACCTGCAGCAGGAGGAGGAGAAGCGGCGTCTGGGCCGGGAGGCTAGCATCATCACTGCCATCGCCATAACGCAGGAGGCCTGCTACGAGCCCACCTGCAGTCCGCCTCCAGAGCAAGAGGAGGAAGGTGAAGGTCCTGCCGTGCCGCAGCCCCTCCTGTGGGTTCATCTTCAAGCTCAAGTTTTATTTGTCACGTGCACAAACACACACTATGCATCTGCACAGTGAAATGCTTTCCCAGCTGTGAAAAGGAAATGCATTAAATAAAGCAAAACAAAATCACATAAGAAGATAGTAAATAAAATTAAGACAGCATTAGGGTTAGGGGTCCAACACTTCACTGCCACAAAAAACCAGGTCAGTTTAGTCAAAATATTCTCGGAAAATTATATCATTGAGTGTTGCAGATAAGTTTATGGAAGTTTTATCAAACAATATAGAGATGGTGTGGCTACAAGAAGAAAGTTTATCTTAATTTGTGTCAAGGAGGTTGTAGCTCACAGAATCTTCAATGGGTATTTCAGTATACATAGCATACAGGGTACAGTGATGGCTTTATCAAACTCTAAACAAATGGAGAATGATCAGCATGCAATGAGATGTTCGCAGTGTGTGACGTCGAGCAGCAGGGAACGTGTGACAGGCCCCGCGGCCCCATCAGCACCTGACCGGGTGCCCCTTCTTCCTCGTCAGCAGAAGAAGTGGTGAACCTGGCGTCCCGCCGCCTGTCGGTCAGCCCCTCCTGCGCCTCCAGCAACTCCCACCGCAACTACTCCTTCCGCAGGGGCTCTACCTGGTCGGTGCGCTCCATCGTCAGTGCCGAAGGTCAGCAAGGGGCCGCCGGCTCTCAGACACACAGGGGAGACACAGGCGGGGCCACAGGGGCACAAGCCCCAGCTGAAAGCTGATTGGCCCACCGAGTGCCCCCTCCCCTGTCACTCAACAACTAAAAACACATCACTGGCTAATGATAAGGTTGTCCCCCACCTTAAAAAAAAATCCTAGAATAACCCCTGCCAACACACAACGGCGATCTTTCACAAATACATAGAGTTTTATTATTATGTATAGTTGATGATCACACCGTGCTTAAATGAAGGCGCAATAGGCTGTAACAAATCACATGCATCCAAGAGGATTTGACCTCCAACTGGGAGACTCCACTGCTGGGGCCGGAAATCACATGATCTCCACTCCTGGCCTGGACATGATGTTATGCAAACTTCTGATAGGGAGCCAGTGTTCCACTGGGAGGCCTCAAATCACATGACCACCACAACAGAGCTGGATATGACACAAGTGCAATTTCAGTGATATTAGTGCAACTTTGGGAACGGACATTAATAGTCTATTTTACATTTGCTATTTCGGTGTGAAATTCTCAGCTTTATGTAAGAAAGTATTTTGATGAATATCCATCTTCGTAATTTTAAAGGAAATGAGGTAGGTGTTCAGCCTACTCAGTTCTTTTCAGCAGTGTCATCTCCGGGTCAGATGTGGAGGTCATGTGATTTCCGACCCCACAGTGGAGGTCCCGCTAGTGGTCGCCCAATATTCTGCAGTCAGGTCCTTCTCCAAACATCTGCATAAGCTAGCCATCAATCTTCTCATCAGGGTCACAGAATAAAGGGCATGAGACATTCTGGATGGGATACCAGTCTACAGCCAATTTAAAGATGCCAGCTGGCATCTGTTAAGTGAGGGAGAACATTGGAGGAACGTGCAAACTCATACACCCATAGATCAGGGGCAGTATGCAAACACCCTGGCATGGAGGTGTGAGTCTATAGTGCTACCCTACTCACTAAGCCACCTTGCCACCCTGGATCTGTGGCATATAAAGTTGACGGGCATGTTTAGATGCTACCTTCCCTTCGGTAGTCATGTTGTGTTAGAAGGTTCTGGAACCAGTGACTAAATAGCCGGCTCCCGCTTCTGCTCCTGGCAGATGAGGAGAACACCACGGAACACACGCCCACACACCACGTGCTCCAGCCCCCGCAGGCCGTGTTCCCAGCATGCATTTGTGCCGCCGTGCTGCCCATCGTGCACCTGATGGAAGACGGCGAGGTGCGGGAGGATGGCGTGGCAGGTAGGGCGCGGTACCCACGGGCCGGGGAACTGCTTCCCGTTACAGTCACATCACCAGGAGCATGTTAGCCAATATCCCAAATATACGCCCTGAGTAAAATGTCTGGCTCTGTAGTAATGACCAAGGGCTCAGTAGAAATATGGATACCCTGCAGATTCGGGGGGTGCAGCACTTTACAGGGGCCTTGATTATACAGATTTACATATAAAATTGTGTGGGAAGGGGTGCATTTTTGCCAGGATTTCCAGCCACATGATGGGTCATTGTTGAGGTATCGCCGCCGGGGGTTCAGTTGCTTTAGGGATGGCTATGGTTATCCTCTGACTGTCCCCCCTCCCCCCACCGGGCTCCCCCTATGTGACCCAGTGAGTGCGGTGGCCCAGCAGGTTCTGTGGAACTGCCTGATTGAGGACCCAGCCCTGGTGCTCAGGCACTTCCTGGAAAAACTGACGGTCAGCAACAGACAGGTGGGAACTGGCACATGGTGTCTGATGTATTACCAGCTTCTCCAGTACTTTCACTTCTGAGCACCATTCACTTGTTAGCAGATGCTATTTAGATGCCTGGCACTTTCATAACTTTTATTTAAGCACTTAAGTAAGTCATGAAGTAAGCTTCATGAACCGATTGCTGTATTTTCTGACACCACTAGATGGTGGTCTCCATTCAAAAAGGGCTCAGTTCATGGCCCAAAGCAAACCAAGAGCGCCATCTGGTGCGGTCAAAAAATACAGAACATGGTTCATGAAGCTTCATTCAGCCATCACTAGTAATTCTTCCGAGCATTGCCGTTTCTATGGAAAGATTCATGCAGGATGAACGTAGACCTAGTAGATTCAGCAGTCTGTGTTTTAGTGTTTCCTGCTGACTTCAGAACCACTTTTCTAGAGGATGTACAAACACTTAATTTGTGATGGCAGTACATGTTAGTATGACACTGTGAAAGTAGCCGGCTTTGACAGGCGGTCATGAGAGTGACCCCGTAAGCTCATCCTGCCCTTCTGTCACTTCAGGATGAGCTGATGTATATGCTGAGGAAGTTGCTGCTGAACATTGGCGACCTGCCTGCTCAGACCTCACACATCCTCTTCAACTACCTGGTGAGGCGGTGCCCCTTGTAGGCTCTGAACTCCGTTTTCTACAGCCATGTTTGTCTGGGAGTGATGTAGACCAGTGTTTCTCATTTCTGGACCTCAGGTGGGCCTGATCATGTACTTCGTACGGACGCCGTGTGAGTGGGGAATGGATGCCATCTCTGCCACTCTGACCTTCCTGTGGGAGGTGGTGGGATATGTGGAGGGCCTCTTCTTTAAAGACCTGAAGCAGACCATGAAGAAGGAGCAATGTGAGGTCAAGCTGCTGGTCACTGCCTCCATGCCAGGTACTCTCTAGGTAGCGCGTAGCTAGGTGAAAGCAGTGACATCACAAACCGTAAGCCGTAGCAGGTGTGGGGGGGGGGTGGGGTGGTGACGGCAAGTGTCATCACCTTCAGTGGGTCACTGATACCGTGTAGGCCGGGTACTGATGCTGTCTTGCATGCTGTGTGCACAGGAACGAAGACCTTGGTGGTGCATGGGCAGAATGAATGTGACATCCCTACCCAGCTGCCTGTGCATGAGGACACACAGTTTGAGGCAGTACTGAAGGTGAGCGTGTGTGACATGGCGCCCCTTGTGGCCGGGAGGAGTAGGTGAAGCTAGTGAGACGGTTATAAAGAGCTGAATACAGACTAATATATATAAAATATAAGACAGACTCCTGCCACTTAATCTTAATGGACTAACGGTAGCGTACATCCCATAGGAGTGCCTGGAGTTCTTCAATATTCCTGAGGCCCGGTCTGCACACTATTTCCTCATGGACAAACGCTGGAACCTCATACACTACTCCAAGGTTGGCTGCTGCTCTTGACGATGCTGTAATGGGATGGATTTCCCTTGGAGCAAAAGCATGAAGTGTACTTGAACCGTGCCCCTTAACTAGCAGGTTCACTGTTCCCCCTGCAGACCTACGTGAGAGACATCTACCCGTTCCGCAGGTCCGTGTCTCCCCAGCTCAACCTGGTCCATATGCTGCCAGAGAAGGGCCAAGAACTCATTCAGAAGCAGGTGGGAAAGAGGTGGAGGTCTCCATCCATCCGTCTGTACAACAGCTTACTCAGTCATGGTCGTGACATGTTGGAGCAGATTCAGAGACGATCAGGTTGTTAGGTACTAGCTGTCAGACGTTGTCTTAGAACCTCAGCGGGTTTTGCTTTGCTCTTACAAACCGAGCGACGTCCCCCATTTCCCGCTTTCGGCCGCCATGCCGCGTGACCTCTGACCCCACGTGGCGTCTCCCCAGGTGTTCTCCCGGAAGCTGGAGGAGGTCGGCCGCGTGCTCTTCCTCATCGCCCTCACGCAGCGCATGCCGGCCGCGCACAAGCAGTCCCACGTCTCCCTGCTGCAAGAGGACCTCCTCCGCCTGCCCTCCTTCCCTCGCACCGCCATCGACGCCGAGTTCTCCCTCTTCAGCGAGTCTCAGGGTATACCCCCCCCCCAGACTGTCTGCACTTAATATTACACATGAGGCCAGAATTGTTGTGTCTCTTTTTCTAACTTCTAGTTTCTAAATAAGAGAATGAGGGACATTTCAAAACTCCTAACCCCTTATGTTTCTATATCTGTGTTTATGTGATGAATCTATCTTTTCTTATACCCCCTTTTCAATTCCCTTCTTTTTCTTTCTTTCTTTCCTTCATTTCATTTCACTTTTGACTTTCCACAAAAATAACACGCCCATTGTGCCCGTGTGTCTCCAGGCAAGGAGTTGTTTGGCCTGGACACCCTTCACAAGGTCTTGTGGATCAAACTGCTGGAGGAGATGTTCCTGGGAATGCCCAGTGAGTACCCCTGGGGAGACGAGATCATGCTCTTCCTCAATGTCCTCAATGGGGCCCTTCTGCTGCACCCTGAGGACAGCGCCCTCCTCAGGCAGTACACTGCCACTGCCATCAACACAGCTGTGCACTTCAACCACCTCTTCTCACTCAGTGGCTACCAGTGGATCCTGCCCACCATGCTGCAGGTGGGTGTCGCCCGGCAGGTGTCCTGATGGACGTCTCTGTACTGTATTATATGGTCCAACTGAATACGGAAACCAGATCACACAACAGATTCAGTATTAAACTGGTGTCTGTTCCCAGTGGTGCCCTCTTAACCTAATAGGGATCTGACCCCATCACAGCTGTCCATCCCATGTGGTCTATTAGTCGAAGAGAAACAGAGGATCGAAAGGGGTGTCCCTTAATAGTGCATCACTATCAAATAAGGAGAGAGACACAATGTGTGGCTTACTGAGGAATGGGGATGCAAAGTGGACACATATTCAAAGGGCCTTTCGGAGGGTTAAACTCCTACCTAAAATGTTCTTAAGCCAAATAATTGTACATTAATTATTTTAAATAGTATCCCACTAATTCATTTCCATTAAAATCAGATGCCACTAATAATGGTTTAGTCCCCCTTTTTGTAAACTTCTAGTGATGCTCCTTGTTAAACTTACAGCTCAGTAAATTATACATATATTCCTTTTTATCTTCAAAATATCTTTCAATCGGCCACCCTAACCCTGAACACAGTCACGGAGCGGCATAAGTGACACGTTATATGGGCTAGGGGGCGCTGTGGCTCTTGTCTCCTGTGACCTGTCGACCCCTCTGCCCACCATCTCAGGCTTATGCCGACTACGAGAGCAACCCACTGCTGCGGCAGGGTATGGAGTTCTGTTTCCGGCAGTTCTACGTGCTGCACCGCAAGCCCTTCATCCTGCAGCTGTTTGCCAGCGTAGCCCCCCTGCTGGAGTTTACGGTGAGAGGCCTGTCAGCTCCTGCCTCGGGTGGGTGTGAGCACGGGCAGGCTGCCTCGGGTGGGTGTGAGCGCGGGCAGGCTGCCTCGGGTGGGTGTGAACGCGGGCAGGCTGCCTCGGGTGGGTGTGAGCACGGGCAGACTGCCTAGGGTGGGTGTGAGCACGGGCAGACTGCCTCGGGTGGGTGTGAGCACGGGCAGGCTGCCTCGGGTGGGTGTGAGCACGGGCAGGCTGCCTCGGGTGGGTGTGAGCACGGGCAGGCTGCCTCGGGTGGGTGTGAGCACGGGCAGGATACCTCGGGTGGGTGTGAGCACGGGCAGACTGCCTCGGGTGGGTGTGAGCACGGGCAGGCTGCCTCGGGTGGGTGTGAGCACGGGCAGACTGCCTCAGGTGGGTGTGAGCACGGGCAGGATACCTCAGGTGGGTGTGAGCACAGGCAGGCTGCCACGGGACTGTGCGCTCCTCTGCGTACCCTCACCCTGATAAATGCATTCCCCTCCTCCAGACCAGCACCAGCACGGGTCTGTCCAAAGGCGTCTCTGCCCAGTGCCTCTTCGACCTGCTGGTGTCCCTAGAGGGAGAGACCCCAGACACACTGGATGCCCTACAGCTCGTCAAGGCTGAGAAGCCCCTCCGATCTCTGGGTACAATTACGACACACCGACAGACACCATGTGACCTTTGACCCTAACGCCCATATCACACAGACAAGACTAGCACAAACTGAACAAGACCAGGGGCCTGTATCACGAAGCCAGATTTATTGGTTAGGTAGATAACTTTTTGGCTATAGGGACAAAGGCCTAAATGTAACTAAATGAAGATAAAGTCTGAGTAAGCAAGAAATCCAACTTTGTGATACAGGCCCCAGGACACTCTTAGGCTGTGTGTAACATAACTATGATGGAAAAGATTGGATCCCTAGACATCGCTTCTGAAATCTAAAGGGAATAGCATGTAACAGCATGAAGGCAAAAACTCAAATGAGGCCACTGTACTTTCAGTCCCTTGGGGCAAGAGTGACTCAGGGCATAAAATAAAGTCTAAAGTCTATATATGAAGTATTAATGCTATATATTAAGCATCAACTCTATATAGAAAGAATAATTGCTAATTATTGTGTCGCTTGCTGAGTTCTCTCTCATCTCTGTTGCAGACTTCTGCTATGGTAATGAAGACCTGGCTTTCTCCATCAGCGAGTCCATCAAGCTGTGCGTGACCGTCGTGGCCTACGCCCCCGAGTCCTTCCGCAGGTGAGTCACGTGATGCGGCAGATGGCCGTAGGACGACCAAAAGGAAAACGGGGCGTTTCTGAAACATTCGGCTGTTCATGGCCAAAAGCCTAAGTCTTTTTTGGATTATATTCTCACCTCGGCAACTAAGGAACATTATGGAGGTGGAAATGAGTCTGTGAGAAGGAGCTCTGCAGGACGTCTATGTACATGTGCGTGTGGGCGCAATGGTGAGCGATGTCCACCGTGTGTGAGCGTTCGTGACGTTAACAAACCCTGAGCTCTCGCCAAAACCCCTGCCAGCCTGCAGATGCTGATGGTCCTGGAAGCGCTGGTGCCCTGCTTCCTACAGAAGCTGAAGAGCAGCACCGTAGCCCTGGAGTCGGCCTCGGCGGCCCGCGACGAGATAGCAGCCATCGCGGCCCTGGCCACCTCGCTGCAGGCCCTGCTGTACAGCGTGGAGGCCCTCACGCGGTCAGAAGGCCTGCCCCCACACATGCGCACACACAGCAGGTGACTCTAAACACACACACGCTCACCTGTTTCCCTGTGCCCCCCCAGGCCCATGACAGCCCCCCAGATGAGTCGCTGTGACCAGGGCCACAAGGGAGCGACCACAGCCAACCACACCATGTCTGGCGGCGCCAACACCCGGTGAGGACAGATTCAGGCGTGATGTTATGAGTGGATAAGTATGCGGGGGATGGTGGTTGGAGATCATGTCTGTCTGTTACGGAGATGATGTCCCTATAGTCGTATGTGCTGTGCTGCGCTCTGAAAAATCACAACATAGTTTCATGTGTGCGAAATGACGTTCAGTGACGTTGATGGTGCCCTTAGAGATAATCTGCACCTCCTGGAGGAGGGCCAGGGCATGCCCCGTGAGGAGCTGGACGAGCGCATCGCCCGCGAGGAGTTCCGCCATCCACGCGAGTCGCTCCTCAACATCTGCACCGAGTTCTACAAGCACTGCGGCCCTCGGCTGAAGATCCTGCAAAACGTGGCCGGCGAACCGCGCGTCACGGCCCTGGAGCTGCTGGACATCAAGTCCCACATGAGGTGAGACGTCGCGCTGACACCACAAGGGGGGGGGCTCAGCGAGGGACGAAAGTTGGCAGGGATGTTTAGTCCTCCTGGGACGTGTTCCGGCTGGCACCAGGCTCGCTGAGATCGCGCACTCACTGCTGAAGCTGGCCCCCTATGACACGCTGACCATGGAGAGCCGCGGCCTGAAGCGCTACATGACAGAGATGTTGCCCATCACCGACTGGGCCGCTGAGGCGGTGAGGCCAGCCCTCATCCTCATCCTCAAGAGGCTGGACCGCATGTTCAACAAGATCCACAAGATGCCCACACTCCGGTGAGCGTGCTGGGCCGTGTGTGTGTGTGTGTGTATGTGCCATTCATTTCATGGATGTTAGCATGTTAGCAAATTTTAGTGTGCGAATGTGTGTGTTTGCCTTCCAGATGTGGCTGTGGATGTTACATGTGTTAGCATATTAGGAAATTTTAGCGAGTGTGTATGTGTACCCTCCCATGTGTGGCTATGGATATTATGTGTTAGCATGTTAGCACATGTTAGCTTGTGTGTGTGTCCTTCCATGTGTGGCTATGAATATTAGCATGTTAGCGTTTTAGCATATTTTAGCATGTGTGTGTGTGCCCTCCCTTGTCTAACAATGGATGTTACACATGTTAGCATGTTAGCAAATGTTATTATGTGTGTGACACCTTGTGTGTGGCTATGGATATTAGCACGTGTTAGCAAGTTAGTGAATATTAGCATATGTGTGACACCCTATGCCTGGCTAAGGATGTTAGCACAGTGGCGAACGTTAGCGTGTACATGATGCCCTGTGCGTGGCTCCTTTCCCCAGGAGACAGGTGGAGTGGGAGGCAGCCAGCAGCCTCATCGAGGGCATCTGCCTCACCCTGCAACGGCAGCCCATCATCTCCTTCCTGCCCCACCTGCGCTCCCTCATCAACGTCTGTGTCAATCTCGTGAGCATCCCTCAGCTCGCCCTGGCCTTGCGTGCCCGGCTTCCTGCAGGAATCTGGGCTTACGCTGCCCCTCTCTATGCGTGTGCTCTAGGTGATGGGGGTTGTGGGTCCCTCCAGTGTGGCCGACGGGCTGCCGCTGCTTCACCTGAGCCCCTATTTGTCCCCGCCACTCCCCTTCAGCACCGCCGTCGTACGCCTGGTGGCCCTGCAGATCCAGGTAGGCTGGCAGGCGGCAGTGAAACGATACGCCGCTACAACCTCTGTGAGCTAAAGGAAGAGCAGCAGGATAGGAAAATATGACCAAGTACTTTCAGTTATTGTGGCTCGTTTTTTTATCACAGGCTCTGAAGGATGACTTTCCCCTCAGTCACGTGATTTCACCCTTCACCAATCAGGAGAGGCGAGAAGGGATGCTGCTTAACCTGCTTATTCCATTTGTGCTGACCGTGGGGTCAGGAAGCAAAGGTCAGGCCCGAATCCGAGTCTCCAACATTCCTGATATGTGACAATGAAGAAGCACAGTGTTTCTCAGTTAGTGTGTGTGTCTGTAAGTGAGCATGTGTGTTAGCAAGTATTAGCATGTCTGTGAGCCTCTATGCACATGTTAGTAAGTATTACCGAGTGTTAGCCTTTGTGCATGTTAGTATTACCAAGTGTTAGCCTTTATGCACGTTAGTAAGTATTAGTGAGTGTTAGCCTTTGTGCATGTTAGTAAGTATTAGTGAGTGTTAGCCTTTGTGCATGTTAGTAAGTATTACTGAGTGTTAGCCATTGGCACATGTTAGTAAGTATTACCAAGTATTATCCTTTATGCACGTTAGTAAGTATTAGTGAGTGTTAGCCTTTATGCACGTTAGTAAGTATTACTGAGTGTTAGCCTTTATGCACGTTAGTAAGTATTAGTGAGTGTTAGCCTTTATGCACGTTAGTAAGTATTAGTGAGTGTTACCCTTTGTTCGTATGTTAGTATTAGCTAGTGTGCCTTTGTGCGCAGTTAGTAAGTATTACTGAGTGTTAGCCTTTATGCACGTTAGTAAGTATTACTGAGTGTTAGCCTTTATGCACGTTAGTAAGTATTACTGAGTGTTAGCCTTTGTTCGTATGTTAGTATTAGCTAGTGTGCCTTTGTGCGCAGTTAGTAAGTATTACTGAATGCTAACGTTTGTACATGTTAGTAAGTATTAGTGAGTGTTAGCCTTTGTGTGTATGTTAGTGAGTATTAGCGAATGTTAGCCTTTGTGTGCATGTTAGTGAGTGTTAAGAGGGCTGCCAACTCTCACGCATCTGGCGTGACACTCACGCTTTTGGACTCTCACGCTCGTGCAAGATATCTTACGGCAAATTTATATTATTACATTATAAACCTAAAATTAGCTGCAGCAAAAGCGTTGGGGTAGTTTGCAAACCCTACAGACCATTTACAAGGGAATAAAACTGTCACAAAGGTGTAAATGCGTGTGCGGACTTGTCTGAAATCGAAAATCTCATGCCAACCGGCTGACCAAAGTTGACAGCCCTGTGTTAATGTATATGTTAGCAGACGTTAGCCTTTCTGCATGTGTTAGTGAGTATTAGCTAGTACAGGGGTGGGCAATCATATCCGCAAAGGGCTGGTGTGCATGCAGGTTTTTGGGATAACCTTTAGGTCAGCTCACCTTTTGCGGATAAGATTGCCCACCCCTGAGCTAGTATCAGCCTTTATGAGCAAAATAGCGAGTGTTAGCATATGGGCTTGTTAACAAGTGTTAGCCTTTGTGTGCATGTTAGAGAGTATTAGTGTATGTGCATGTTACCAAAGGTTAGTATAGTTGTGTATCAGAGAGCCAGCTGGAGCCCTGTCCTGAGATTATGTGCATGTGTGATCGCCATATCATGCCTGCAGACAGCCCCCACCTGGAGCAGCCAGAGGTTTTCCTGCTCCTGCAAACGGTCATCAACATCCTGCTGCCCCCCCGTATCAACAGCACGTCACGCAGCAAGAACTTCATGCTGGAGAGCTCACCTGCCCACTGCTCCACACCGGGGGACACGGGGAAGGACATGCGCCGGGAGGGGCTGGCTGAGTCCACCAGCCAGGCTGCGTACCTGGGTACTGCCGGGGGGGGTCAGCCAGATGGCCTTCAGGCTGATTTTTAGGCCGTGCTGCTGTCCAGTGGCGCCTTCCTTTGGCCATCACTCGGTATTAATCACCAACATCACTAACTGGAGTTATGCGGGGAGTTCAGCTTCAATGGCCGTGAGGTCATAGAATTTCATTTCATTATATCCAAGGGCTCAAGCAGGTACTGAATGTCAACACAGAAAGTGCCTCACACTTCATGTGGTGTTAATGCCTCACACTGGGTCTTTATGACATCATAAATCATCAGCTCAAGTAACTTTCTTGAGGGTAGGATCAAGCCTTCGGGTCTCGAACCGACAGCACTGATGGCCACTGTAACCGCCTCTTCCCTGCCAGCCCTGAAGGTGGTGCTGGTATGCTTCGAGCGCCAGCTGGGGAACCAATGGTACCGGCTCAGCCTGCAGGTGAAGGAGATGGCCATGCGCAAGGTTGGCGGTCTGGCCTTCTGGGATTTCATCGACTTCATCGTGCGCACACGCATCCCCATCTTCGTGCTGCTCCGCCCCTTTATCCAGTGCAAGGTTTGGACCCATGCTGGTTCCCATATCCACCCACTAAAGACCTGACTGGCCAGTTAACAAGTCTTTGCTCTATTTATGCCTTTTTACACAGTTTTAGTCTTCAGAATGTCACATTTCACCTGAATCACAAATAAACAAACAAATGAATAAATTGGATAGGAATAGCTAAAAAAAATGATATGAAAAATTATACGGGAGATAAAACTAATCCTTAGATTGATAGAAAAAGAAACTGAGTTAAAAATAGGACCAGCACGGAGTGAGTGATATCCCCCTCACTCAAACCCATGCATTGTGGGTAAATGTGCTCCCCCCCCCCCATGCCTCCAGCTGCTAACCCAGCCGGCCGAGTCCCAGGAAGAGATCACGGCCCGGCATCACATCGCCGACCAGCTAGAGCGCCGCTTCATCCCCCGGCCGCTCTGCAAGAGCTCGCTGTTTGCCGAGTTCAACAACGAGCTGAAAATCCTGAAGGAGGCGGTGCACAGTGGTTCTGGTGAGAAGGCCGTGCGGCCATGTGCTGCTTTGAGCACAGCAGTTCATTATGGCCCCTGAAGCATATCTCCGGTACTGCCTGCAGTGGACGTTTAAATACTTATATCTGCAGTGGATTTTATAATTCCTGTATTTGTGTACAGTAAAGTAGACTAAGTCTAAGTGCTTCTGGGAACACCTTGGCACATCTCGATTGGCTGTTCTTATGTCACGTGACTCATCATCATCTCCCCGCCCCTCTCTCCTCACAGCCTATCAGGGGAAGACCTCCATAAGCACGGTGGGGACTTCGACGTCCGCCTACCGGCTGAGCCTGGCCACTATGTCGCGCTCCAACACGGGCACGGGGACGGTGTGGGAGCAGGACAGCCAGCCATCGCGGCAGCCGTCGCAGGACACGCTGAGCCGCACGGACGAGGACGAGGAAGAAAGTCAGGGCCCCGTCCACACGCTCTGCCACCGTGCGCTGTCTTACAGAGCCCCTTTCACTGGCATGCCTGTTACGAATGCAATAATCATGCAATATACCACATAAGATGAAGGTTCTTACAGCACACAAGTACTGACTCATAGAACTTGTTTTGTCTCCTCTTTCTCCACCCACATGTCCCTGGTTCTGTCCCCCTTCTGTGATCTCCCTGCTCTTGCTCCTGCTGTGATTTCCCCCCCACCACCACCATCTCCTCCGCCCCTTGTCTGCTCCCGCATGTGCTCCACGTGCCCCAGACGACTCGGTGAGCATTCCCAGCGTGGTGAGTGACCACGAGGCCTTCTTGCCCCACGTCATCACGCAGCGTCGCTTCTCCAGCCACGCCCCCGGGGTTTCCACCCCCCCGCCGGAACCTGGCATGAGCAGCATGCTCCCCAGTCACAGGTACGTGTGTTCCGTCATTTTGCCAGGCCCCACATGGGTCTACAAGAGCCGCGGCGGCCCTTCAGATACAACAACGACGTTACAGTCACTGTGCTACCTGAGGAAATTCACAACACTGTACAGTATCTGCCGAGCCTGAAACTAGTGATGGCCAAATGAAGCTTCATGAACCATCTGCTGTATGTTCTGACACCACTAGATGGTGCTCTATGTTCAAAAAAGTGACTCAATGCATGGCCCAAAGCAAACCAAAAGCGCCATCTAGTGGGGTTGATAAATACATAAAATGGTTCATGAAGCTTCATTTGGTTCTCACTACCTGAAATCATGCAGTACTAACTTGAATAAACTTTCTATTTGGTATCCTGCATAAGTGTTACAGTATTATGTATATATTATTGTTCTACATGTACTTTTTAAATGAATGTGAATGTGTTTTAATACCACTACTTGTAAATCGAGGTTTACTGTGTGTGTCCTACATTTCCTGTACTCCAGATATGGGGAATTTATTCATCTAAACCAAGCCAAACCGTCAAAGCGCGGAGTCCAGTTCCTCCGAGCCGGAACCTGTTCCATTTTCATGTGTTTTGGTTTTCAGCAGCTCTGCCTGTTTAATATTGTTCCTTTGCAGATGTCATAGTGAGTCGGGTGGCTATAAATGAAATGATGTCACTAACAGTCCGGTCAAGGACGGTGCCATCTCACGCATCATAGAACCTGATGTAATTACACACTTACCTTTGATCTCCATCCATCAGTTTGGCCCCCGTTGCCATGCGCCCCCACCTCTGATCGATACAGCCATTTAACATTCAGACAACATCGAGGATGTCTGGTGCTGCTGTCAGTAATTCCTGCTTTCATCTCCTGACTTGAGCGCTGTATGTGATTTTCTCCTGAGCAGGTGGACTGTGTCTTCCTGGTCTGAATAACCCTACACATCCCAGCATTCCCGTTCAACTCGATTTCAGTTTGTAGTCACGTCAGTGCTGCTTGTTCTTCCCAGCTCCATCGGGCCTCAGGGCTGTCAGAGAATGAAGTCTGAGCATCTGGGAGCTCTGGGATTTGTTGCAGGCTATTGTGTTGAAAGTGGTTGAGTAGCAGTTAATTCCGTAGGTGAACAGCAGAGGGCGCCCTATGTGTTCATGCGCTGTCGCGTGACCGAGGGACTGAACGGCCCGAGCTTCACCGGGGGTTCTTCCTGTCTTGCTAAACCCTTTTCCGTGCCCCCTCTGCAGCGAACCCAATGTGCTAGATGAGTCCCAAGGGATGCTGGAAGAGGGTAACCTGTCTAGGTACAGTGTCTCAGCCCTGTGTCTCTTTTACGTGTGTGCCGTAGCTCGGCCTGGTCGGCCACCTTTTACTACTCTTCCTCGCTCATCGCATTCAGCCAAGCTGCTTGCCGTGGTCCTTCTCCCTCCTCTTTGTTGTGGGTCGAGTGTGACGTCTCTCTCTATTTCTCTCTCTCTCTCTCCCCCGAGCACCAGACTGACCCCCCATCTCAAACCATCCACTGTGTCTCTAAATCTTTGCGAGCGGCAGCTCTCCCGGGGAGGCCCGTCCGCGTGGCGCCTCTCCCTGTGTGCCTCATGTGTCATCACGGTCAACCTCATGCCGCCATGGTGTTCATACACGTGTCCAGGCTTTTGCTACTAAAAAAAAATAACAGGAGACAGTCTGGGGAAGTGGGTCATGGATGGGCAACATTTCCAGGTGTCTTCTTCAGTGGTTGTGGGTGGTCTTCATGAATGACTAAGGAGTCGGACTAAACCCTCAACGTGGTAGTTGAGAGCCTTACACTCAACGTTGTGCTATGTCTGACTTATGTTAGTGACCCCAACCCTCACGGTCCAACCAATGACAGCCGGCATTGCCAATGTCAGCACTGTGCAGAGATTTTTTGAGGGGCAGGTGCTCAAAGCTTTTGACACATTCATTAAAGGGGCACTGGGTACCGTTAATGGGACACTTTCAAATCAAGTAGGTGGCCCAGCCCCCCCTAGCGCCCACCCTCTGCACGAGCCTGTGATACTGCTTCAAGTTGCCTCTCCATTTCCCACAATCCCCTGCTGATTTTGATGTCCAACATGGTAGACCATGGCTCTATGGCTGGTCCATGTCTCGCTGTAGTTTCTGTGTCCATGAAGGGCATAGTGAATTGGCTGTTGTTCTCCCTGCACCAGTTTGATATTGCGGGGAGGGGTTGTTGTGCGGCTCTCGACGCTCTTGCAGCGTACTCTGTTCTGATGGCAGCCTGTATGTCTCTCTGTGTGTCTCTCTGTGTGTCTCTCCATGCGACCTTGGCGGCTGGGCTGGGTCTGAAGGGTGGCCAGTGTGCAAAGCGAGCCGGGCCAGCAGAACCTGCTCATACAGCCACCACTAGGCCGTAAAAGAGGCCTGAGACAGGTGAATTGGGGATTGAGCCAAGCAGACTCCCAGACACATATTACAGTGATATTACAGTAATAACCAGGACAGGCAGAACCATCTTATAATGGTAGCCTAGGCACAGAGAAATGCTGTATCGCTGTCCATTACATTTATTGTATTTGTATTTTCTCTGAAGTTGCACTTTATTTATTATTACTATGTTGTATATTTGCTGTTTTCTATGCTTCCAGTTGTACTGTTCCTTGCTACTATTGTGATATTTGCACACCAATGTTGCACCTGCAGTCAAGTGTCAAGTGAATTTAACTTATAAAACCACCCCCACATAGAACTGGTCATTAGCGGCTAATATTGTCATTCTAACTGCAAACCAGGCTAACAAAAGGACTAAGTACAGTATGTGCACTGAACTGAGATTTAGTGTAAAAGACGAGCCATTTAATATGCATTGCAGAGCCGCAGTTCAAGCTGCATGGTGGACTTGACAGTTGGAGGTCGGGCAAAAGTGTGAATGAAACAAGTATCCTTGCTTATTCCCTTCAGCTGCGGCGCCCCCTGCTGTCCATGCAGAAGATCCAGAATGAGCCGCGAGGACGGACTGGAGCTCGTCTGTCCACCACGCGGAGAAGCATCCAGCCCAAAAACAAGCCTCTGGGTACGTGTGTGTGTGTGTGTGTCTGGGTGTGTGTGTGTGTGTGTGTGTGTATGTGTGTGTGTGGGGGGGGGGGGTCAGAAGGTATCATTCATAAAACAACATATTTTGTACTATGGCTAATTTAATTTTAAAAGACCCTGTAGTTGCTTTACCTGAACTGCAATTGGCTTGGTGTCGATACATGATTCCTTGTTTTATATAGCAAATCAGTGATATGATTAATCACATTCATTATTATTGAAACATAAACTAAATCTATTTAGTATTTAATATTGTCGTATCATGGGTTCCCAGTTACGAACAGTTTTCCTCGTTACTGGCCCTGAATCCATGTATCAGGGATTTCCTAATATTTTTAATTGAATTTTATTATAATGTAATCTTATCCCTAGTAATAATGGGAACTGCTGCCCCGTGTGAATAATGATTCATTTACAGTGAATCTCTCTGGTTAACTTCCTGTTCCTGTGCTGTGTGAAATGCCAGTGTACTGTGCTAACATGAACAGGCCTGTACTGAAGCCCGTAGCCCACAAGCAGCTGTGTATGTCTGTATCCTGTGTGTGCCGTACATGTGCTGTATATATGTATTATATATGTGCATCTGCTCTGAGAAGAGCCCGGTCACCCTAGACCTCGATCACTGACTGTGTCACTCTGTTCTGTTTGTGTCTCGTTTTCAAAAAGAAACTTTATTGGACTGTGAAGGTGAGACCCCTGTCCTTCCTCTTGCCTCCTGAGTTGGCGCTCTGCATGTCTGTCTTGCATAACCCTAGTCTCAGTGGCAGTGTGGTATGTGGTCAGGCGTACGTGGCACCAGGGGGCGCTATTCTAAATGTGGCTGCTGCTCCATCTCCCCTCAGCACAAACTGAACAGAAGAGGTCAGTGACCTTCACGGAGACCCAGCCCAACGTCACTGTGACGTCGGCAACTGACGACGAGGGTCCGGGTGAGGGCAAGAAGCTGAACGTGCCCCCCCCTGCCGGATCCTCCTTGGCACCCATCGCTGCAGACTCACACAGCCCTGCCCGAGGCCCGGTAGGTCCGGGTAGCCTTAGAGAAACACCCACATTGCTGCATCTTTCACAGTGTATCATCGCTGTCCAATGAGATCGTTGCTGTCCAATGAGGTCATCGCTGTCCAATGAGAAACGTGCATCTCCAAAAATCCATTATTTCACGAGTGTGAGCGGTTTAATGTTAGGAATGGACTTATGTGGATTGTTCTCAGCGAGGCAAATATGTCGGTGTCAATAAAGGAAAGTAATCTCACTTTATATTCACAATTAACAGTGACATTAGATAGCTATCTAGCTATCAGTGTTAAATTGTTAAAGTAAAATAAAACATCTTTTCATTGGTCAATTAGATGTAAAACGCTATCAGTAGATAGAGGACAATGGGTACATCTGTACAATATGTATATCTTTGTAACTTTCGCTGGATCACACCCCTGGGGCACAGGGGTTCGATTCCCGCCTCCACACGGTGCTTCTGGACTTGGCATGTTCTCCCCGTAATTCCTCTGCTTTCCTCTCGCAGTCCAAAGACATGAAATGACCCTCATTGGTTTCTCTAAATTGCCCAGAGTGTATGATCGTGTGCGTGTAAGCGGCGATAGCATAGCATCCTGCCCAGTGTATGTCCCACCTGCATGGGGCAGGTTCCCAGCCACCCTGACCAGGAGGGGGGGGGGTCAGAGGATGGGTGGAGTTTTGCTATTTACCCGGGCATCCAGGTGGAGTGTCAGAATCATGTTTATTGGCCAAGTGTGTGTGTGGATCACACAAGGAATATGTTTCGGGCAGTTTTAAGGTGTTTCTCTGGTACATTACAATACAATAGAACAAAACAGTACAGATTAAATACAACGTAACAGACATGTTATTTACAGACATGTATAAAGTGCAAACAACATACAAGGTGCAAAGTGAATGGGATGTAAAGTGAATGGAATGTAAAGTGAATGGAATGTAAAGTGAATGGAATGTAAAGTGAATGGGACGTCGTCTTTGATTCAGTTCTAAAATGATTTCTCTGTTTCTTTGTTCCAGCTCTCTGCTATCCCTGACAGCAGGGAGAAGGAGCCGAGAGCACTCTGGGGCACCCTGTCCCCCTCCCCTCGGTCGACCCCCACGCCGCCCTCCTCCTCCCCCTTCCTCCCCCCGCTCCCTGTCCTGGAGACGCCAGCCCGCCCACTGCCCGCCGACCTGGTGCCCGAGAGTCCTGAGGACGAAGAGACCTCAGTGCTGCTCCAGCACTCGGACACGGTGCTGCACATCAGCGAGGACAGCGGCACCGAGAACCCTCTCCTGGTCCCCTTACTGTCCCCTCGCAGGTCTCCTCAGCCGCTGTCCCCCGTGGACTTGGATCTGGACGAGTCGCATGTCTGAGTCCCCCTCAGCGCAGCCCCTAGATGCAACCCTCACCCTCACCCTGTCCCTCCCTCGGTCATGCGCCCCGACCCCCAAAGCCGCCCTTCAGAACTCGGGTGTATGGTGTCTCCCGGCAGGGCTGCACCCTCCAGCCTCATGGTGATGATCACTTGTCCTCGGGTTTATGTTTAGAACATACGCCAGGGTAAATGTTTGTGGTTCTCCATGACGATACATTTTTACCAAGTATGACCGGCTAGATTAATTGTTCCTGCAATGCACACATATATGGCCATTGTGCTGTGTGCTCCTATTAGCCATTGAACTGATAGCTGTAAGTGTGTCCGGTTTTGAAGGGCAGCTCAGTACCTCGGCCCTGCTGGAGGACCCGCAGTACTGCAGGACGGGCTGTTTGAACGCACAAGCGCTTTGCTTTTGAGTAAGGTGGTTACTGGGTTAACTCTCTCTAGTTTGTATTGACCAAATACCAAACTATGCTATAATAATGTAGTTGATGAGCTTTACAGCTCTCTTGTTTAGAAATGATATTTCAGATGAATATAGTATATTAGTTATTTTCAGGTCTTCAGAAAGATGAATGTTTATATATTGTAATAGATGGAATCTATATAATCTTGATATTTTCTTGACTATATAATGAATACACCCATATGCATAAAGATAAATCATAGATGAATTATAGAAGTAACTAATTATTTGTCAGAAATAATATTTTACTGAAATAATGTTGGTACCTATGTGCAATGAGAATGAAATGTTGGGAATCAGGTATTTTTTCCCATGTTTAAACTTGAAGGACATCAGGAGAGCAGCGCAGAAAGATGGCTGACCACTGTGACTGGGTACTGAAACCCAGCAGCTGTAGCTATGGGACCCGTCTTAGCTGTAGGAACTTTGTAGGAATGGCAACTGACATAACTATGAGAGGCGACATAGCTATGGGAGACTTCGTAACTATGGGAACTGTTGTAGCTATGGGAGATGTTGTAGCTATCGAAGACTCTGTAGTTATGAGAGCCGACATAGCTATGGGAGACCTCGTAACTATGGGAGATGTTGTAGCTATGGGAACTGTCGTAGCTATGGGAGACATTGTAGCTAAGGGAACTGTTGTAGGTATGGAAGACGTTGTAGCTATGGGAACTGTCATAGCTATTGAAGACTCTGTAGTTATGAGAGCCGACATAGTTATGGGAGACCTCGTAACTATGGGAGATGTTGTAGCTATGGGAACTGTCGTAGCTATGGGAGACATTGTAGCTAAGGGAACTGTCGTAGGTATGGAAGATGTTGTAGCTATGGGAACTGTCATAGCTATTGAAGACTGTAGTTATGAGAGCGACATAGCTATGGGGGACTTCGTAGCTATGGGAGACATTGTAGCTATGGGATCTGTTGTAGCTAATAGAGACTTCATAGCTATGAGAGATCTTGTAGCTATTGGGAACCATCGTAGCTATGGGAGACTTCGTAGTTATGGGAGCCGGATCCCAGGAACTGTGAGGTTAGTTGTTTGAGCTGCCAGGGTAGCTGGCCTCAGCATCCCCGAGAAGCTCCCGCCCTTCTTGTCCTTTAATATAATTAAGAACTTGAATGTAGTCCTCTCCCCTCTATGAAAAATTAATTTTCTCTCTTCACCCTCCATGCGTGATATTGTGCCGGCTAACTGCGATTTCCTCTTTCGGTGTCAGTGACATACACCAAGAATCCGTTTATTTCTGAAGCTGGATGAACGTGTCAGTTGATGCTGCTGACCACATATTCCCAATTTAAAGCCCCTTCCATTTACTGGGGGTATTTTATACTGCACCTCATCCTCCTCAGTCACTGTCTTACCTCTCTACCCCACAAAGCCTTAAACTGCAACAGTGGGAAGATACCAACTTACCAATCTACCCTGGTCACTGTCACCTTCCCCATAACCTATATCACGCCAGAATCATACTTATTATTGGACCCACTGAGAGAGCAGGGTGATTTTTGAAGGCATACATACCTGCTGCATCTGTGCTGAGTTTGTGGCATTTTAGCCGATAGCAGATGGTTTTAATTGTATATTCCTGCCTTAGTTTGTTGTGCTCTCATTGGTATATTTGTATCCATATTATAAAGGTAAAGTATTTAGATTGAACTCAAGCAGTGCTTTTCTTGGATGTCGTCGTTGCAGAATGGTCTCTGTAGAGCAGGCCTTAATGCTATACCACTGCACTGTGACCAGTTTTTGTGATCGCTTCTGCTCTCTCATCTTCAGCAACCCTTCCGCTTCGAGTGTTATCGTTTCCTAGGGGTGTCTGTGTCAGTGTTTGCCGCTGAAATCGCAGCCCCGACGCGACGTAGAATTTTAATGCGACGTGGTGCTCCGTTGTCAAGGTACTGTGGAACGTGTCAGCGTTTTGGTCTGTGTACACGCCGTGCACGCTTCTCTTCTTAGCCTTTCCATGGAAGGAGAAATATGTGCTATTTTGCTCTAAGCGTGACTTGTTTAGAAAAATGGGAAAGTGAACAGGAAACAGCCATCTCTCTGCCAGGCAATCAGAACTGATTTTTACCTCAGAAGTGCTGATTATACTATATTCTTGTGAGATGTTTCGTCTGTTATGGTGTTATCTAGTTCATCTGTGAATTTATTACATTTTTCTCGCAGGGTTGGCCAGACCATGAACCCAGAGTGGACCCAGGAGACTACTGACCTAAAATAGCTTGATCTGGGTCCATTTTCTAAATGGCATTTAATACAAAAGAGCAGTGTGTGTATGTAAACATACACAAGTCATGCTCCTTTGCAATCTGGTTCAGTCTGGGTGCCCATCTGTAAAACATTTAGATAAAGTTTATGGGTATACTTTGTCCCCATTTCTATGTGCTGAGTATTTAATAAAGATCTATATATCTATGTCATATATATGTTAAAATATATAAAAGAAATTATATCTAAAGATATATCGAAATAAATGTTTTTTAATCTTGTTTTTTTTTAAACGTAGTGACTTTATTAAAACCTAATGGCTGATGTAACAGCTGTGAGTTCTCTGGATTCCCGGCTCCTACTTAACAGCACTGAGGCAGAACTTTACTGACCTATAACCATTTTCTGAAACCCCTTGTCCTGTTGAAGGTTTGGGGGGTCTGGGTGCAAGACAAGGATCAACCCAGGATCCCATCGCACACCATTCTGTCACACACGCACACCTATGGGCAGTTTAGCAACTCCAATTAATCTCACCATGTTTTTGGGTGGGGGGGGGGGGGGGGCACAGTACCCCTGTGGAAACTCCATGACAACATGGGGAGAACATGCAAACTCTACACACAGAGCCATGGGAGAGGTTCAAACCCTGGTCCCAGAGGTTTGAGGCGAAAGTGCTAAACACTGGGCCACCCCCCATCACTGAACTACAAAACATATATAAATTGATGGAAAAAGGGGTTGTGAGTGAAAATTACATTTCTTACCACCGGGAGCGCTGTTCTTAGAACATCCTAGAGACATCTCCAACTCCCAAACCGAGAGTATGCTTATCAGAACATCTGAGCTAAACAAATCATTCTGGGCTTCAACCTCCGCCATCCACCCCTTCAGTGAATATAACTACTTTTTAGAAAGACCAACTTGAATCATTCAGCTGCAACAACAGCGTTTTCATTTTAATTGTCTAAATATGCAGGTCTGACTACAACGCCAGAAATAAGACAATTCATATTTCAAGGAGAAAAATAATTATAAAAAGACTCTCCAGCTAAAATATATGACCAGGTACAAATATAATACACCTTAGAAATATGTTCCTTATAGTGCGATACGCGGGCACAGAGACCGGGGCATGCCAGTCATGCTGGATGCCATGTGGTTACAACAGGAGTAACCCGAGCAGGAGCGGAGGGCCCTGCTCCTTCAGGACCAGCGTGAGCAAGAAACATGGAGAGGAGTGAGTGACATTCACCGGAAGCAGCAAATAGGAGCCCCCCCTGGCGTGGGCGGGCTTGGACCCAATGTCAGAGTGGTTAAAGTCCGATTCGCCACAACCACTCACCACGTAGCTTAGGAAGTATATCGAATAAAATGTCTTTTTGAATCATTGAGAAGTGATTATTTACCCCAGATACATGGTCCGTTTCGGCTGCAACGCACTAGAGGGACATTAAAGGGCAGTACACCTTTTAAAGGGTTTGACCACATGGCTTGTGGCAGCTGTCACAACAGAGGCACGGTGTGCGTTACCACGGCAACTCACAGTGGCCGTCCACATCCCCCGCTAGGTCCAGCTATGCTCTGCTACGCAAAACGACGACTTCCTTTTAAAAATCCACTTCTTCACAAACGCAGGCTGCCGAACCATGGGAACACTTATGACTGGCCCACGGGTTTATGGCGTTAGTAGTGGTCTGATCGTCGCCCCGGCCCTTTCAGAAGTAGTCCCGCCTGCGTGTGTCGTCGCTGATGAAGGAGGGGTTCCATTGCGCCGGGTAAATGCAGGACTGGCGGGACGGCCACTCCGGGTGCCTCAGGGGAGCCTGCGAGAGACACACATCCAGACGTCACACGCCAATACAGCCATCACAGGCGTCTTTAGTGACAGTCACTGTTACCCGTCAACTGCTTCACTCATAAAATCTACAGTTGCTAAGCTACTGTCTCTAGGCTACAACAGCAGATCCCATCCAAGGACTGGTGACACGAGTGTCCCCACTTAACAACATAACATTAGGAACAACACACAGTGATGCAGTGTAACATGCAGAGTGACACAATGTAACAGGCAACACAAAAAATGACAGTGTAACATGAGTGACATACTATAGCACTCAGTGTAGAAAGTGCATAACGCACGGAATAACACACAACGTAACACGTGTAACATACGGGTCAAACACAGGCAACATACAGAGTGAAATGCAAATCACAATGAAGGAATTTAAGTTGCATTTTCTCAGTGTAACATATTTGGCTCAAATGCCTAAAGAAAGAGGAGCCATATAAGCCCACACAGATGTGCTGGGGGGGGGGTCATCCCTATGGATGCATGTTTACTGATGCATAACAGAAATGCAGCCCCAGTCCCCCCCCAGCCAGACAAACAGATGGTGGGGGTGACACGGGAGACAGGGCACATACAGTGTAGTAAATGTCAGTCATCTGCAGGAGGTTCTTCGTGCTCCCGTTCTCCTGCATCTCGATGGCTTCCCTGCCCCACTCCACGGACACCCGGTTGCCTTTCGGGTACTCGGGGTAGGAGCACATCTGCAGGTCCCCGCTCTTGAAAATGATCTTATTGATGTCGTTTTTGTCCTTCCTGAAGACCACAAAAGCCAGACAGACTGCTTACTGTCTGTTTCACCAGGCCTGATGGATACCGAGTGCATTAAAGATGGACGAATGGAAAAAATGTCTGTATGGTTTGATGGATGGATGGATGGATGGATGAAACAGATTCAGGAATTCACTTGGCCTTCGTGTTTAATAATATGTAATACAGTAAATGGGGGTAAATTATGAGTTGAGATACCAGCCTGACCGGACAGTGCCGCCTGGTACCGCCGTAAAGTGCAGGTGTACCTGCAGCAGGTGACGATGAGAGCGATGACCAAGATGAGGAGCAGGCCCCCACCGGCTGGGGATACCACCACCGCAATCAGCTTGTAAACTGAAGAAGGAGGACCACTTCAGCGTCATGCCAGCCCAGCAGAGGGCATCACTCATGGCTCCAGGTGTTAGTCGCTATGCTGCTACGTTACCCGCCAGAAGGATATCTCATAATGCTTTACATTAACTGCACCTACATAATGCCTTTATAATGCATTCATAGAACATTCATAAGCAGCATGTAAGTATATCTTAACATCCTATTGTACCTCAACAGCTTTAATATACATAATAACAAACATAATCATATAATGTTTGTTATTAATGTATATTAAAACTGTTATAAGGTATGTTAGGATATTAGGGTATACTCACACCCTGTTTATGAATGCATTATAAAGGCATTATGAAGGTGCAGTTAATGTTAAGTGTTACCGATTATTTTACACATATCAAAAGTATCAATGCCATGTCTAAACGTTAAACGTTATCGACAGACAGCACAGCCCCCCGCCCCGGCTGTGCGTTTCGGCCTCTACTCACAATTTTCACAGTTGAATCCCCCAAATCCAAACATGCACCTGGAACATCAGCAGAACAGCAGGTGAGACATGGAAATGATGTTTCTGTTGTGACTCTGAAGCATTTAGAGAAAACTTACGGAACACAGGTGCCATTTTCCAGTTTAAAACCGTCACCACATTCTGCAAATATGAAAGAGTTGGGGAGAAGAATTAAATTTCCAATCTTCATCCAAGAAATCCTTGATAAAGATGATGATGGATTTAAGTAAATAATAAATATCTTATTCTACAAGCAGTGTAGCATGTCAGACAGGTGTTAAACTATAAAATCTACAAAATCAAAATTTCATATTTTGTTTAAATATAGCAAGCAAAGTAAAATAATTAGTAAAATTTTTTAAAAAGAAAAGAAGGAGCAGAAAAGCAGCAGACAGGCAGTTCTTAAGCACTACGCCCCCTACAGCCCGCATACCTCTGCAGGACAGGTCGTCTCTGCTGTGTTTGAAGTATCCATCACGGCACTGGCAGATAGCGACGCCACTGGCATCCTCACATTTGGTCCGATCTGTGTCACACTGCATCGACTGCGCCTGGCACAGAGACTGGCCTGCAGAGGGCGACAGAGAGGGGTGAGCTGGAACATCGCCTGCGCCTGGCACAGAGACTGGTCTGCAGAGGGCGACGGAGAGCGGTGAGCTGGAACATCGCCTGCCCTCGAACCCGCAATGAAGACACGACTCTGTGGGGATCACGTTCTACTGGCAGGTCAAGTGGCAGTGGTCAGGTGACTGATCAGGTGATCAGGTAGAGCTGAACTGCCACCAACAGAAGTGTATGTGTGTAGAGTCAGCAGCCGGTGCAGAGTGATTGTGGAGAGCTGACAGTCATCATGGGAGACACCAATGTCTGAGCTCTTTGATTATGTTTTTATTTTTATATGATTTTTAATTTTCATTTGAAATCCAGATTAGTTTTACGCGTAGTTAGTTTTCGGTATGGTTCCATTAGTTTCTGTTAGTTTTTATGTTAAAGATATATTTCTATTTAGTTTTCTATATTATATAGTTTCACCTTAAGTTTTAGTAATTTTGTTTCTATATAGATTTTTTTATGTGGTTGACCCTTCATGAATATACATTGTGCATTACACATACACATTACCAATACCCTCAAATGGGCAAAACATATTTCAGGTATTACTAGTGGTAATAAAAGATAAACAAATCATTACTTAAGCCAAATAGTACTTAAAAACTGTGATGGGACACATTTAACACTTTTATTTTGTTTAAAGTAGTTAAGGAAGCCGTATTTACAGTTCTTGTTCAGTTGTAGATTTTTATGTTATTTTTGTTACATTAATTCAGTTTGCAAAAATGTTTTTTCATAATGTTAGTTTTCGTTAATGATAACAGCCCTGGGACACAGACACAGTCACACACACACACACACACAGACACACACAGACACGCACAGTCCTGTACTCATGTCTTTGTAGGGACCATCTATTCATTTTTTTGGGCAAAACCCCAATCTCAACAAGGACATCCTTAACCCCTAGCCAGCCCTAACCTTAACTATAAGTAGCAATCATTAGTCTTTTGCCATTGTTAGTTTTTTGATTGCAGTTATAGATTTTTATAAAATTGAACTTCCCCTTGTGGGGACAAAAAAATATCAAAATGACATGTTTTTAATGTATATCTGACCCAGACACACACACAGATACAGACACAGATACAGACACAGACACGGACAGACACACTGTACCTCTGTAGGAGACCCTGGCACCCAGCAGCCGGCCGCAATGGGTCCCCCCCCGGCTGCAGTTGCCCAAGAAGGTCCGGATGGCGGTGACCACGTCCGGACGCGTCACCGTCGCCCCCATGGAGAACATGCTGACGGCGGCGATGTGCATTGGCTGCGTGCCGCTGGGGGGTGCAGGGACACACTGTCACTTAGCGCTACAGGGGACCTGAGCAGGGCTTTAGCTCTCAGAAGACGTCCTGCCACAGTCTTTGCCCACACATGACGTCGACACATTCATGCAGCCATAATAACCACACAAGAGGCTGCGGGAGATTAAACTGACAGAGCTTATTGCCCGAAAGCAGCTCATGAAAAATGGTGGAAGTGAGGGGACACAGGAACTCTTACTTCTTCCTGAGTGTGGATCGGCTGTAACCCTTCAGAGCGGCCAGTGAAGAATTGAGCTGAAAAGACACATACTTTCACCAACAAAGAACCATCCGGAAGCCGATATCACAATTAAAAATGAAATATTTAAAAACAGCCAATCATGATGACACCCATAAACTTATTCCTCTGTATAATTCAGGACCAGCCAGTAAAGGGGGTTTTCATCTCCCAACTACTTTAACTGATCAATTTTAATACACACACACTCACACACACACACACACATGTAGGGTAAACATCTTTATGGGGACCGCTCATTCATTTCAATGGGAAAAATGCTAATGCTAACTATGACAACCTTAACCCCTACCCTGCCCTAACCATAACCATAAGTAACCTAACAAAATACAAGAGTTTTTGCATTTTTCGTTTTTTCATAGCAGTCACCGATTTTTATAAAATAGAGTTTTCCCTTATGGGGACCAGGAAACCGGTCCCCATAAGGGAAAAAAAATGGATATTTATCACGTTATGGGGACATTATGTCCCCATAAGGATAGGTAAACCCGCTCGCACACACTCACACACACACAGACACACACATACACACTCTTACACACATACACACACACACTCTCACACACATACACACACACACACACTCACACACAAATACCCCCAAGAGCAGGGAGCACATCAAAACTCTCACCAGCTGCAGGATTTCTCTCTGGATTTCATGAAGTCCAGCACTGCTGCTGAAGCTCATGTTTGAGAAACTGAAAGTACCCAGGAAGGTCTTGGCTGTAGAGAAGAGTGAAAAACCCTGAGTCTGACAGTAGGGGGCAGCCTGTACAGATTGTCATTCTACACGGTTCAAACACACTGCATGAGTGACATTAATTGACAATACAGACAATACAGAAGATCACGCTGCAGATTAATTCCAGCCTCAAATACTAATGTCATGATCCCTCCTGTCCAGCAGGGTGCGCTGTCTCACCCTGGGTGCAGGTCCGGCTGTTCTCAAGGTCGAAACCCAGGGGGCACTCGCAGCTGAAGGACCCTCGCGTGTTTACGCACATGGAGCCCGAGGGACAGGGCCCAGCCACACACTCGTCCACGTCTGGGCCGGAACACACGGCAGGGGTAGGTCAGGAGAGAGAACATGCAGAAGGGGAGAGAATCTTTTTATAGATCAAACATCTGCATAAAACTCAAGAACCTACAACAGATGGCAAGAATACAAACACGCGTCGCTATTGGTCCTGTGTGGATGAATTTACGCTCATAACTAAGCGCTAAAGTTGTACCTGCCGGCTCAGTCAGTTTCTTGGGCGTTTTTGCAGTAGTTATCTGGCCTCCGGTCGTCCTCCTCTCTTCAAAGCCCCTTGTGGTGTGAGCGGCGGTCGCCCCCACGGGGTCTGTGCGCCTGTACATCAGCGTAGTGGCTTGGCTAGGCTGGGTCGTTCCTCTAGACGGGACAGTGCTGCCGTCCAGGCCGGAGGTGACAGTGGTACCCTTAGAGGTGTGAGATGATGTTCCCCCCGTCCTGGAAGGTGGGAGGTCTTGAGGGGTGGAGCCCCTGGTTTGAGACACCTCGGTTGCTGGTACGGTGGCACGCGTGGTGGGCAGAGTCCGGGCCTGTGCTGTGGTGCTTGGCGCACTCTGTGTTGGTGGGAGGGAGACAGGACCAGGGGGAGTTGACCTGTAGGTGGTTCCTTCACCTAACTGTGACCCGTGCGTCACCATTGAGTCAGTGCCAGGTGGTGCCCCTGTGGTCTTTTCCGGCTGCTCTGGCTCCGTGGTATGGGGGCCCTGACTGGACAGGACTTTTGTCAGGGAACGATCCGCAGTCGTATTTAAGTCTTTAACCACAGGGGGCGCTTCTGTTGAAGCCACGTTACCTGTAGTATTATGAATGGTCTCCGTTTCATTGTTGCCGTGGGTGTAGGGATCCCCGGTGAACGGCTCCGTAGTGATGTCCGTCTCTCCGGCTAAAGTGTCCGACCTCTCGTTCTCTAGGTGAGACGTGTTGGTCATGCTGTCCTCTGTGGACAGATCAGGAGGCATAGAAGAGACAGCAAGACTGGATTCGGTACGAGTTGTTCCACTTTTGGATGGTTGGTTGAACTGGGTCACGTTTGCGTTCTCTGCGCTATCATCAGACATAGGCGGCGAAGAATTTAGGAGGCCGATGGTCTCTGAAGACACCTGCGAGTGATCCATGTGCCCTGTCCCGTTCAGAGGTGTACCAGCCATGGTGTGATGGCTATATACTGTAGTGTCCAACTGGCCAGACTCAGAGGAGGAAATCACATCTGTCAAGTCCTGGCTAGCAGTGCTCAATTCCCCAGAGAAGGGCTGGGAAGAATTCTGGGAAGAGGCTTGGGAAGAGGGTTGGAAAAAAGTTGGGGAGGAGCTGTCAGAGGAAGTTTGGTGAGGGGATTGTTGAGTCCTTGGAGAAGTTTGGGAGGATTGCTGGGAGGTGGTTTGTGACCCTCGAGCAGATGTCTGGGAGATGGTCCTGGTGGATGTTTGATATGTCTGGGAAAAGGTCTGAGAGGAGACCTCTGAGGAGTTTGATTCCTGGGTGTAAGCAGAGGTGCTGTCGGTGATCACGGACAGGAGGGTCCTCTCTCCGGCTCGGCTAATTGTAGAGAATATGTAGGTACTGGCGGTCTGCGAGTGAGACTCCCAGCCTTCCGTATCCATGGTAACACTGCCGGGCATGTTGTGATTGGGGACTGGAAACAAAGGGGACAGTATTGGTCAGTTCGTAGGAATACAAACAAAAGGAGTTGTGTGGGAAGAGTCATGACTTTGGGTACACTGAAAAACATGATTATACTGAGTTTACATGGGTATCCTGTGCAAAGGAAAATATTTAGGCTTTTACTACCTGTGTTTAAACTCATACAATACAATGATATATGTATACACACTTTGCCATTCTCAGTTTCAGCACTGGCACAATCAATGTACAGTATCTATTTACTCAGTTTTGATTGCTTACAGTACCCAATATCTGCCACTAGAGGGCATCTGGCAACTCACCCCCGCCACCGACGCCCCAGACCTTAACCAACTGCGGAAGTGCAGATCATGGGTGGGGAATAACTGGCAGTCAGGTCTGTCTAAGCTAACAAAAGCCTGGACCCTAAATATGGAGGCGACCCAGAGCTGAGGGAATTGGGGTTTCCTTCCTAAAGCTGACCTTGCAAAAGGCCACGTTAAAAAATTTGCCACAGAGCAAATCTCAGTTCATTCAGAGGCAACAACACAATATAGGGCATTAGACCAATTCCATGGTTTTTGTCAAGAATGGTCAGATATACAGCCACAGGAATAATTAAGAGACCACTGTATATTTTTAAACAAATCTGCATTTTTAAATCCTGGTTTAATCCTGGTTCTGCTGGCAGAAGGCTATGCCAAGCAGCAGGTTACTTCCAGGTCCAAAATTTCTAAGAACACAGTACAGAATAAGGTGAAGCAGGAGACACTGGGAATGACCAGAAACCAGCCAGGTAGAGGGCAGAAGCGACATTCTAATGCCAGAGATGACGGTCAACTAACCCAGCAGTTTTTCATGAATCATAGGATGACATCAAGTGACCTTCCAAAGGAATGGGAAACATTAAGTGCAGGTGTGAGGTGCACTGCTAGGACAGTGTGTATCAGGCTCCTGGAAGCAGGACTGAGGTCCCATAAAGCCAGGAAGAAGCCCTTCATTAATGAGAAACAGGGAAGAACCAGGCTGCAGTTTGCAAAAATATGTATGTGCTGGGGTCTCTTAATTTTTTCTGCGGCGGTATATTTGCGTTAACTGATACTTTCCAAAAATGAGACCTTTGAGCCAAAGCTATAGAGTATCAAGCACTGAGGCTGCACACATAAAATGAATTTCAACCAGTATACATTCGGTCATTTTTTTTTTTCTGTTAACAGTGGGCAAAAAGCTGCAATGCTCATAATGCAATCCGTTGTCTCATGCCACACAAACAACAAATGCAGCCTTGTTGGCACTGTGAGTGTACCACTGTGGACGGAGCTACACTCTTATTTGAGGAGTGCAGTATCGAGAGGTATGAGGGTTAAAGTCTGGTCCAGAAGATAAGGCACAACAAGAGGCAAAGTTCAGACTGAATGCCAAGGCTAGACGTGATTATCCTGAACCCCCAAAAACAGCCAGATGTTCGTAGGTGAGAATCATAGCTGGACACACACTATATAAACAGGTGATGCACCGATTGTATCGGCCCAGTACTGATATTGGCCGATGGATAAAAATGAGCCGATATTTAACGCCGATAATTCCCTTTAAAATGGTGACCTATAATGCTTTGCACACCCACATACTAAACTGATAAAAAATGTCTGTTGTGTGAAATTATTTTAATGTTAGTGAAAATGATGCTAGAAATGCATTTGACAAAACATTACTCGGCTGAAATTTCACGAGGAGGACCTACTGATATACATTTCACCACAACAAATTTTTATTGCTTACCTTAAGGCAAGACAGTGAACAAAATGAAGTGTTTCTGGTAAACAAATTCGTTCCGGTAAAGAAGGCTGCAGTACTGCCAAATAACACAAATCTGTCAGTAACACAAGGGTTTGATAGCAAAAGAAAATTCTGTGCCGACAGAAGCAAAATCAAAAGACATCCTATTACTTAGGAAATATTGTCGTTTATCACACTTGATGATTGTTCGATCCCCAGAGCCAACGGGCAGCCTTCTGGGTTGATTTCACCTGTTGTTATTACTGTATAATATTTGGGGCAGTGGTGGCTTGATGGTTAGGGAAGTGTACTTGTAATTGAAAGATTGCAGGTTCGAATCCCCGACCAGCAAGGCACCACTGAGGTACCCTGAGCAAGGTGCCGCCCCCAAGCACTGCTCCCCGGGCTCTGAATTAGCTGCCCCCTGCTATGTCACGAAAGTCACATATGGATTAACCCCCCCCCTACACCTGGGGTGCAGTGGGGGAGGGAAGACTCTCATGTCAGAAAAAAGCACCAGTTTGCTCCTTTGAGGATGCAGTTACTTGTCACTGGGGCTGTACCCACCAGAGTCTGCCAATCGTACCCTAGCTCTGGCTAAATGTACCTTTTAGTCTAATTTAAGGTACAGAAATGGACTCTGAGGAACATTTCTGTACCATTGGGGTAAGAAACCTGTAGCAGGCCTGGACCCTTTATTCTGACAGTGTATGTTCCTGATATCTCAGGTTTTTAAGGTCACATGTGCTGACAGTCTGCACAGCTCTGCGGCCTCAACTGTTCCAGAATGTTCCAGCCAGATCCTCCATGCCTTCCCTGTCCCCGATCCGGTCCGGTCCGCCATCTGGGCCAGGATCTCAAGGCGCTGTTTCTCCCGGCTGGGATTGTTTCCTTTACGACTGTTTTTCTGCAGAACCGCCCTTTCAAACACACGGGTCACGAACTCGTGACAACAATCTTAACCGACCACTTTCCTCCCTTGTCTAAAAACCCCACCATGGCACACCCATTGTGTGAGACAATGGTGCTCCGGGACTCAGGGAATGTGTTTTGGTCTGATAGGTTTCCATCCCCTTACATGGCCCTTCCCACGACTGGGCGGCACTCCAGCACTGTGCCGGGGCAGCTGACTGCAGCTTCCCACACGGTTAGACCAACGCGAACCACAAGGTGACATGAAGACAGTGAAGCAGCCTGTTCCTCAAGGCCGTGACGATGGCCTGCTGTCTCAGTGAAATGCACAAACACGCACAATGCGTATATTAATCCAGGACATTTTGCATATTTTATACTTGACCACGTTCCCATTTAGGAGGGAAGATGTTTCTCTGGGACCCGTTAGATAACAATAAATACAGGCTTAAAGAGAGCCAGGATCTGTTTACCTTTAAGCTTGCACATTCTTCCTATTCAAAAAGACTGGTTTTATATATTACAGAAATCCAGCTAGTAATCAGTCACCTTTCTGACTGCCTGCTATTTTTACTGCGCCATCTCCCCAAAAGTACTGTGACTAATTTGGGTTTATATACAGGCAGCAATTCTTCACTCTTTCTGCAGGACCATCATTGGGGATCCACTGACATCCCCCTTCCCGCTAACGGTTACGAGACCCCACATGACATCCCGGCTGCGGCGTGGAGGAAGCACAGGCCACTGGCTCCTGGTGCTGACCTCTCACTGCACTCGGGCTCTGTAATCAGACACAGAGTAAGGTGCTCCGCCGTGCCAAAACGCAGCCCCGCCAGCCGGCCAGCCAAACTGACACTGTGTGCATGTTTTTAAACTCACTCTCCTCCACCCCTCTTCTGTTAGCACTTGCTATAAACCGTTTTCATTTTGTCTCCATGTTTTCACAGCCAGTCCTGCGGCCTGTCTGTCTGCTCCTCATATCAGGCACTTTCTGTTCAATGCTCTACGTTACGTTCGGAACCATCTGGATGAAAGCAAGGGGAGGGAAACTCCAAAGAGTCTTTTACCGACTGCGGAGGTAAAACAGACACAGCTGAAATGCTGTCATGGAGAAGATTATGCGATATTCAGGCTGGTATCGATAAACATAAAACATCAACCCAAGAAATATCTGACCCACTTAATGCTGTATACTGATACTGGAACAAATGATAAGTATTAAAGCGCTTTCCAACAAATAAAATCAATCAATCAATCAATCAATCAATAAATCAATAAACTAATAAATGCAAAAAAAATGAACATGAAATCCCCATAAGAAAGTAAAAATAAAATTGAGATTTTTGAGTTAAATTAGAACACAAAAAATATTTCTTCTTATTTTTATTATTATTGTTGTTGTTGTCAATAATAATAATAATAATAATAAGAAGAAGAAGAAGAAGAAGAAGAAGAAGAAGAGGAATATTTAATGCCACCTCATGTTCTGAAGTTTGAAACCAGCAGCGGCAAGAAAATAACTTTTCTGAAACATATTGAAGGTTATTGGGGTTATTGGGGTTATTGCGGTTATCGGGGTTATTGCGGTTATTGGGGTTATTGCACATGAGGAGTGCTAACTGTCTGACACTGGGCTGCATGCAGGGCTCCTCCCTGTGATCTGGCTAGAGGGAGCAGGAAACCCTCAGGCTCCCGAAGAGGCCTGAGATAATCCTGCCACTAACTGCTAACACTAACTGCCAGAGAGGACCCACTAACTGCCTGTTATCCAGCTCCTCCAGGATATTTAAGTTCCCAGACAATCTGAGGCAGACTTGATTTCCAAAAACAGTGGCGGTAAGCGCAAGAGACTCATTACAAAAACGCCAGGCTGTAGTTACAGACTTAAAGCTGATACTGTTTTACGATACTCACTATGAGTGCAGTCTGAATACGTGCTTTAACTATGGTAGGGTTTTAAGACTCAATAATGGCTTATGAACAACAGCACCACATATTAGTTCATACTGTAAATGTCATCAAAATTAGACCTATATAAAGATATGAGATCTGTTTTTGGGATAATCAGCAGTTATCAGGTTTTAAATTTAAGATGTATAAGTTACTATATATATGTGTGTGTGTGTGTGTGTGTGTGTGTGTGTGTGTGTACACAAACACACACACCTGGAGAACGTCAGTTAACCAGGTTAAAGTTAACGCTGGATATATCAACTTCACTTTTTGTTTCATTATTGCAGGCAGCATGGCATAAAGCTATGTATTTATTTTTAATTCTGTAACATTTTTGTAACATTAAATGAAGCTCGTGTCGCATGTGTTACGATAGGTCAGGGCAGGTCAAAAGGCATTTTAAAAATAGATACTTCCATCATTGCTACTGAGGGAGGTGCACCTCTTACACAACGGATTATTTGTTCAAAGCAGTTTACTATATCTGAGACTTAAGTAACGAGCCCCGTTACGGTTTACATAACAGTCGCAGCAGGACCACATACCCTGCCCGTGGAGACCCCTTACCCGCGTTGGTGTCTGTACGTGGTTCCCGCTCCTTCGGCAGGACGGGGACGGAGTCTGTACGTCGCCCCTCAGTGCCGCCCGTCCCAAAACTCACAAACTCCGCCAGCGACGAGGCGGCCGTCCACTCAGCGTGGCCGGAGCCGGTGCTTGCGGTATACGATCCAGCACACGGAGTTTCCAAAAGAGCCAGAAGCACCATGAGCAGGAGGCGGCTGATGCCTCCGAGAAAGCAGGTTTCCATCATGCTGGGCAGGAATAGGCGGCGGCGATTTCAACCCAAATAAATAAAACCGCAGACCGTTCAGGGCCACCATCTGAAAGCGTTTGCTTTAACAGCCGTTCATGTGAAAAGCATCGCAGACATGCCCAGCTCCATCGGAGGCGACGAGGCTCTGATCTGGTGAAGAAGCGCTGCCCGACACAAACAGGAGCACATAGCAGCACATCCGAAATGCGGGACTCCTCCCACGGCCTCCGAGACCGTGGACACCACCCTATTCCGCCTCGGCACGGCGTATCCCCCCGCTGCCCGAGCCACACGGCTATTGTTCCCCGCAGATGCGGAGGCAGACTCAGAAATATTATCTCAGGGCAGGACCGATGTGAAACAAATGGGTCTCCTTAATTAATTTCGCCCAGCTTCAAAACTTTACCGATGCCTGCGTTTAAACTTAAAAGTGCAATCTCACAATTTTTGTAGCAGCCTAAATACGCCGCGTTGCTTCTGTAACAGGACAAACCGAAAGACCTTTGTTGAAGTATGCAAGTTCCAAAACGGGCAGTTGAATAAGGGTTATGACGAATGTAAAATACAGAGGCACGCATGCCTGACACAAGGGTTAAGCTGTATGGAAATCGCAAAGTAGGGTATTTCATTTTAGTTACATGTTCTTGTCCAATAAACAGGTCAGCAAGGGGGCAAAGAAAGATTTATTAGAGGCGGGTGTTATAAATCCATAATTGGTGATGGCTTATATACCCTTAAATTCTAGTTCACTCTTTATTTTTTGTACACAAATCAGTATTTGATTCATAATTCAGATCCCAAACAGCCGGTATATATGTGCACAATTTAAAGTCAAAATCAGAGCATCCCGCACAGACAGAATAGCAGACGATCCGTGAGGGGCTCACTGCAGATGGCGCGTGAGCCCGTCCGCACTAACGTAGGAGGAGTGGTGGTATCTGCCGCGCGTCGCGAAGTCGGCGTTGTCCTCGGTCAGCTGCCGGGTCTCCATGCCAACCATTGCGAAGGAGGGCGTCAATACGATGCGGTCCTCGGGGGCGCACTCTCCCCTGAAAACAATGCATATACGTATGGTTAGGTCCAAGGTTGAAATGACCCGTCCATTCATACACCTTACACTTTGGATTGTGCCTCAGTTACATGCTGTAAGTTTTTATTATTATTATTATTATTATTATTATTATTATTATCATTATTATTATTATCATCATTATTATTATTATAAATACACACTATTGATCACACAGCAGCATGTTGGACAGCTACTATTTCCTCCCAATACTCAGCACTGAATTATCCATACATGCCTACGGTTTAATGCACCATGAAATTCCAGATCTTTGTCGGTGTTAACAAAAAAAAATTAAAAATACTCAGTTGCAGTTTTCTGCTGGTTACACCAGTTACGGTTGTCCTTCACACTGGCGTGCTTAGAGAAGCGTATCGCTCAATATTACAGATGGAAGACTGCTGCACCGACACACCTGCCGACGTTCTTCAGAGTAGCCCGAATCCATCTGACCAAGCTGAACCGTGCAGATGTTCCTGTAAGCAAAACCAGAAGCAATCAGCCTACACCAGCAAAAAAAAACAAGCATCCGAATGCAGTGATTCTCAGCTGGTTTAGTCTCAGGACCCACATTCTTCATTGGTCATTAAGTCCCAACCCACAAAATGAATGAAAGGTAATTAACCAACCCAGGGGGTGCTGGCAGTAGAATTTGTCCACCAGGGGTTGGGTGTTGGTGGTATTTTTATTATTTTTTTAACCACATTCTCTGTAACCCACTGAAAAGGATCCCGTGACCCACTTTTGACCAAGCTGAGAAACTGCACTCTAAGGCATATGGCTGTGTACACTACGGCTAACCAGCAGTCTGCAGCTAATGAAGTAAAACCACTTGTAGCTGTACAGCTTATAGTGAGGTGCTAAACTATCACCAGTCAAGATCCCAATCCATCAGCTTGCTCCCATACACTTGTCCTAAACCTGAATTGCAGACTGCATTGATGCAGCATTCTACCATCCTGTCAAGGCAAGCTCACATTCGCACAAACACTGACTGAGATTTCACACAGATAGAGCGAATCCCAAGGGAACAAACTCAGCCAATACATGAATCTACAAGTAACACACAGCATGCTTACGTCGACTTAAAACTGGAAGAAGTGTTGCTGTACGTAACACTAATGACAAAACAAGTGATTACAGATATCAAGAATGAATTGAAGGCTGCATTTCCCCTTAATCAGCAGCATAACAAAAACCCTGATCATATCTTTGCCATTGTTGTGATTCTAGTCAAGGGCTGAATTCCAACAGCATCACGAAAGTTCTGGTTCATGCCAGAAGAATGAGGGAGTAGACCTGTCATTTCTAATATGTTACATTGGGGGTGAAAATCTCACATTGCATTTTAATTTGGAGAACAATGTTTGGTTTGTGTTTACCTAACGGGAGACCAGGACTTGATTTTCCAATATAAAAGAAGAGGACAAGAGCAACGAGGATATTCATCAGGGCGTAGACCCACTGTATGACAAACATGATCAGGAAAGAGCAGCATGCCTAGAAAGAGAAGAGCTATGTTTATTACTGTAGCCTCCACAATCAAATATCACAAAAACGGAGAATGGATATTTACATGAAAAAAAGGTTAAACTTACACCAGCTAATGCAATCCAGCGGTTACAAAATTTTGAGTAAAATGACTTTGGCATTCGTTGAATTTCTGGTCCAAGACAAATTTGTTTAGAAGCTGAATCTGTTAGAGATTATGTAGAACGTATTATATCTCTATGCAGGTATATTGTAGAATCATTTTAAAAAAACCATCAAATCAGAAAAATAATATTTTTGTCATAGATATTTTAAGTTGGAATTAATCTCAAAACGGTTGAAATCTATGAAGCAGAGTTAAACCTGAAGAACACTAGAAGCTTCAGTAGGTATGGCGGATACCTGTGCTGTCCAGAAGAGCTTTTGGGTTACAGCTGATATCTGCAGTTCCAGAAGGACAAGTTTCGGCCTGTCTATCATCATGGGGTTCCTCTACTCCCAGCTGGGATTCTTGTGTGCCAGTCGCTTCCTTCTGTAAGCTCTCCTCAAACTTATCCTGCTCTCCTAACTCCTGGCTATGATCCATCCCTGAGGGTCCAAGGTCACCCATATCTGAGGGCATGTTCCTACCCAATTCTAACCCAAAACTTTCCATCAGGGCTTGTCTACCAGGAGTGCTGGGCCTTCTGCCTGTGGTGCACATTTTCTCCACTTCCGATTTCTGGGGTTGGAATATCTGGTCCATGTCCTTTGTGAACTCCAGCAGCGTCCCATTGCTCTGGTTTGGTAAGGCAGTTCCATATCCAGAGGGGCTGGCACCCAGGAGGGGTCTTCTGGCACCCTGAGTGGACAGCTGCTTGGGAAGGTACTTAATTTCCTTAGCCTGGAGGTCAAAGCTCATGGCGACACAGAAATAGGAGTAGTCGATGATGCTGTACGTCAGCATGAAGTTGATAGTGACAATAGGGGCCAAAATGTTCACTTGGCCAACGAAGATGAAAGCCATGGTGAGCAGACTGGTTAAACAAATGGCCGCCACTGGAGTCTTGTTGGGTCCTTTCTGTTAAGACAGAGGGGAAATTAAGGGTAGGTAAACTGCTGTCTGTAAACTGTCTCTAAATTCCCCGTAGTGTGTAAGCATCTTACGATGGAATGACATCCTATCCGGGGTGACCCTTGCACTGTGCTTCCTCAGACAGACTATGGACTCATCATGACCAAGCAATCGATAAGCGATCGGGGAAGAGAGATGAATGGAATATACCAGATCATCGGAATCTTCCATGACAGATATACTACCGTGCATGATTTATGTCAGATATCCTCTCTGTGATAATCACTTCCGTCATGAGGCTTCAACTGAGAAACAAGCCTTTTGTTGTTTTTCAACAGGATGCTTGACTCGATGCTGGGAAGCTCTACGGACATCCCACATCAGCTCCTCCCAACCTGACTCAGACCCGAACAGACCTTCCTGCTTTTGTTCAAGGCCTCGGATCAGCCGGAGACGTCTCTGTCCAGTACCCTCGTGTTTAAGTGGGAGTCACAGCAGCAGGGGTATGTACAGACTGAAGGGCCCCATTGTCACTGGCTGCATTGGACCATCCTGTCAGTTATGTCACCAACAGAATGGCACACTGTCCCCTTCACGATTTCACTGCCTTCACTTAAGCACACGAATTATATAGTCTGCAGTATAAAATAAAAATGTTTGCACTCTTTCAGTAGTGTAGAGTATTAGTGTCGCAGACTGGTAGACAGACAGAAGGATGCATGTATGCCCAGGAAAAGCAGCTTTCACAGGACACATTACACTGCCCTGATTGGCAACAGACCCTCAGAGCGAGGACACACACCAAACCCGTGCCTAGGGAGATAAACCCTGCCAAAACCACTTGTGGAAGTTTTACCAAAGTGTTCTGAGGGCAGAACGAAAAATGATTGGTTCAGAGAGATAACCAATCAGATTATGGAGGAGGTGGGTCAAAGACATCTGATTGGTTGGACCCACCTCCTCTGTAATCGTAAGTGAAACTCCCATGAGCGCGAAGACCAGACCGATTTTTACGAGCATGCCTCGCTGGGACAGCAGAAGACCAGATCTGCCCACCCCTTTTCCTAGGAAGCTGAGGGAAGGGATGACTCTTTCTTGGGCGATGCACTGGAGAATCCTGGGAGCCCCATACAGGCCACCCATGCAGGAAGCCAGTGAGGAGATGTAGAGGCCCAGGAGAAACAGGAAGCCAACCAATGAGACCTGGCAAAGATGAAGGAAGGAGAATACTGCATTTAGACAAGCATACAGTGCCTCTACCCATAATCCTCCGGTTGAAGTAAAGCCACATTGCGGGACAAGTACTGCTATATAGGTCCGCCCCTACGGCCAAGACTTCCACACAAAAGCTGTATAGAGTCTGTTTTCCCTGCCCAAGGACTCATAATAGGGATTTCACTGCACATCACAACGGTAATTTACTTTAAAAAGTCAGAACTGGCTGCATCATTTTTGTGGAAAAAAAATTGGCATCCGGAAGCCAGTTTGCTAATTGGCAGGTTTCAAATCTGACTGCTCTGCTGCACCCAAATCCAAGTTATAGGAATGGGGTTATAAACACATCATGGTGATTCCTACTGAATACTGCTCTAGGACTGGCTTTGAAAGTGCAACCAGATTATTACTGGTATTTTGAACCAGCTCAAGTAACCAGCAAAACCCCTTCAGACCATTACAGTCTTTGAGTATCACATCTGATTGACCATGCAGACAAATACCAGATCTCTGCAGATCTAGGCTTCACAATTTTTGAAGGACAAAGTTTCCCAAACAAGCTGACTGAGGGAAAAGAAGCCCACTCATGGAACAAAAACACTGACTTTACCTTCTCGGCGATTAAGAAATCATATCGCAGAGCATCTCTGGTACAAATGGCTCCCAGAAGAAACACAAAGACGAGGTAGAAGAACCACCTGCAGGCCACGGTGAAGAGAAGATGGGATAAACAGTGAAGGCATCTCCACAACTTAATATATCAGAATGAAGGGAACAGTGTTCAGGAAATGCGGGAATACAGGTGATCCTCAACATACAATGGGGTTATGTTTCGATGAACCAATCACAAGTGGAAAATATCGTAAGTCAAATATGAATGATAAGCAAATGAACTACTGTCACTGAACAGATAATTATTGTAACTAAATACAAGACATTGAATTAAATGAATGAAAGAAGTTTTGGGTAAAAGAAAAAAAAGACGATATGTTGTCAAACACTGTATAAGATTTACGCTCGCGATCGCTACAGAGCCTGGAAGCTCGCCTGGGTGAATGCTGCCAACGTCCAGCATCGGAAGAAAGTATCGTACAGCATATTGCTAGCCAGGGAACAGATTGAACTTCAAAGTTTGATGATTACTGAATGTGCATCACTAATCGCACCATTGTAAATTTGAAATATCATGAACTGAACCATTGTAAAGCGAGGAGCATCTGTACTTCATTTTTCCGAAGGTTATGGTTATTATGGTTAAGCATCCAAAAGCCATCTTCCAGTCAATTAAACCCACGAGGTGCAGACTGCAGCCAGTGTTCCCAGTGGGATGTTCTGCTCAGGTCTCTGGAGGTCCGAGCTCATATTGAAACCGGCCATCACACCTAAAGGACAAAGAGAGGTAACAAGAAGACCACCTGGGAGAGACCATCATGCACCTCACCACCCAAACTCCTATTAGCTTTTTTTTCTGTAAAAATACACAGCTCATTTTTCACGTCAGTCTGTTTAATTCATTTTATTGCACGAGACCTCGATGTAAAGTTTCTTTAGGGACTTGTTTGATATTTACCACAAAATCGGCACGTTATGTGCAAACACTGGTAACCTGGAGTGGGTTACCTCATCTCGGACCTCTGCGGAGTCTCTCTGAAACCACAGTGCTGGTTTCAAAGTCGATCTGAAATGCTGACAGGAGGAGTGCTCACCGGTGGCGGCAGGAAAGAAGACACCAAAGACTGTGAAGAAAGTCTCCCCAGGCGTGTAGTCGGGAAGCGCGTTCCCCCGGAGCAGAGCCTCTGAGTAGCCGACGAAACCGTGACCTGGAATGCAGGTGGACATACTGACCCAAGGAAAAAAACTAAATATATGATACTACCCATTCATCTTTATAACCACGACAATCATTCAGAAACTACTATTAACAACAACCAGTGCTGAGGAACTTACTCACCAAAGTAATCCATTACAGACAAAGGTGTTAAGGTCAGGTCCAACCAACCAGTTGAGTACTCTGTGACTGTGACTCTTTATACTCAATTGGTTGACTGGAACAAAACCTTGGCCTGGATTTGTGCTTTTTGGACCTGCACCTCTGTCTTTAATTGATTTCTTTTGTAACTTCCTCAACACTGGTAACCACAAACCTTAACTTGACAAAAAGAACAGAAAAATTGTTGAAGGGGCATATTTCTGTCAGCTTCAAAAATGGTAAGAAAAAGAAAGTGTTTTTCTGTGACTTACGTTTGCGAATAAGGTCAAAATTATGGTCAGTAAATATTTTTTCAGTGAATGAAAGATCTGCCCTCATAATTCAGCAGACACCCTTAAAACAAAGTGGCTGAGCTTTTCCTACCTTTCCTCAGAAATGTCCAAACGGTGCTTTGGAGAAAGAGACCCACCATTCACACACCCAGCAGGTACTTAAAGCCTGACATTAGGTTTCTGCAGCTCTCGAATATGAGATTTAAAACAACATCGTAAACGCCAAACCACAGCTCTACAGGCATTAATACAGAGAAGGGACACGAACACACCCTTGGCCCGTCTCGGTGAAAGCCAGGCCTGAATTATTTTCATATGTTTTAACATTTCCTGGAGACCTCCCTCATCTCTGAGGCAGGATGCCTGTTAGACATTTCAGGTCCAGAAAGTAAAAATCCAGACCAAGATTTTGTTTCAACCGACTAGTTGAGTACAAAGTGTCACAGTCAGAGAGCACTCAACTGTTTGGTTGAAACAAAATCTTGGTCTGGATTTTTACTTTCTGGACCTGAAATGTCCACTTCTGTCCTCTGTGCTGCACACCTGGTGCATTCTGGGGTCACATGGTCAACCAACACTATGCGCAGCATCTACTGCTGGTCAGTGTCGATTTAAGGTCAGCTCCCTATGCAGACGGGAGCGTCATGGCCTCTCTGTCCAAGGCATGTACAAATGCAAGACTACTTCAGTGGGTTGGACTGAGTGAGATCAACTGGGAACAGGCGTTTGTACAAAATAAAGACTATAACTTTTTCCCATAGTCTTCCACAAAGGATTAAATTTTGCAGTGTGGATAGACTGGATAGAGGTAAAGACATGTTTTGAAAACTGAACATCAGCATTTTCCATTTGATTTTTGGTTTTTCCCCGATGACACATCTAGACAAATGAGTTACTTTGCATATTGCAAGAAAGGTACTTCAGAGAAAAGAGGAGAAGATTCCCACAAGACATACAGCAGTTCCAGGAAGGCTTTAGGCATCGTAAGTGGGTAATGAATGGGACAGCTTGTCAATGCATCTTCTGAAACCACTTATCCTGTTCAGGATCATGGGGGGACCGGAGCCTGTCCCAAAGGCTACGGGCGCAAAGGAAGGGAACAACCCAGGATGGGGCGCCAACCCATTGCAGGACACACTCACACACCATTCTCACTCTCTCTCTCACTCACACACCATTCTCACTCTCTCTCACTCACACACAAACACAGCACTGTAGACATGCCACATACAAGCAGGCACCAATGGCCAGAGAGGGCCGGCCCATTCGAGAACCCACATGTGATGGGGGGTGCAACCAGTAAGGCATCAAACAGCCCCCGCTGGAGAGCATTTGGAGGCTCACGTCTGAAGGTTACAGGGAGTATGCTCACAAAGCTTCTCTCCTGGCTTATCTTGCGATGGGAGAGAATGCATTCCTCCAGATTAACGGCATGTTTATCCAAAAGGAAGTCGCCACCCATCTGAAGCCCAGCCTGCTGCTCTGTTCCAAGGCGCTGTTGTCATAGCCCCCCCCCCTCCCCCACCAGCAGCTTCCTGACTGCACGCTGCTGGGCGAGGCCCTGGGTTCTCTCCCCGCCTTCAGCCCAGTCACCGGGAATGAGCTCATATGAAAAACTTCACGTGGGTCACAAACAGGACCCATGCGGCCAGTCAGCAGCTCCAGTACCTTCCACCACCGATACTCCACCGATAGAATATGGAGAGTGAACCTCTCACAGTTCAGCCCTTCTGCAACACTGTGGTATCTTCCAGTAGCTTCTTTCACAAACTGTCCCTAACTGTTTAAGCTTTCTCCTTTATATGATTAACTATTTCGACCATTTTGTGGTATTAAGGATAGCGTTTCACTATTATGAGCAGACTAGTGGTTGTGTGATTTCGAATACAAGATACTTTCCCGTAATTTGATGTGGAAAGGTTCAGACCTGGAGAATCATCAGTGTTAATCATTCCAGGTCCAGAAGCTACAAATCCAGACCAGGATTTTGTTTCTACCAACCAGCTGAGTACTCTGTGACTGTGACTCTTTATGCTTACCTGGTTGGTAGAAATGAAATCTTGGTCCGGAGTTGTAGCTTCTGGACTCGAAATGTCCAGCACTGAAAGTTAGGCTATCAAACGGCACAGAGCACACTGGCCACATGTTTCCAATGCAAACATCACATCCATGACTGCAATCAGACTTATTTAACCAAAGTATAATGACAAACAGGCCTACAGAACTATCTGTATGGCAAACAAATCTTCAAAGCCCATATGCAACCAAGCTGAGAATGGCTAATTGTAGGACAACCGAGCAGCATTTTGGAGCTTTTTGAGTTTCACACTCAGCTCGACGATACAGCTGACATCCTGGGCCCAGACCGCGAGCCGTACTGATAGCACATGCAGTCAGAGGCGATTTATGACAACAGCGAGGCGGCAAACAGCCACATTTAAAAAGGGCTTTGAAATGCACTTTAAAAACTGAGTGTCACAGGAAGGAAAGTAGCAGCGCCGCTGAGGAGGAGGTGAGATTAGCCGGGCGGGGGTGGGGGGGGGGGGGGGGACGTTCCTAAAGAACTGCACTCTCCACGGTTCCAGAAAACGTAGCCCAAGTATGAGATCTTCTACACGTATTACTGTAACACCGAAGTGACAATTCGCCACAGCAGCAGCCAGAACAAAGAAAATGAGAATCAACCCACTAATTAGACCAAAAGTCCCCCCACATAAGAGGTGAAATAGCACATTCACAGTCTCCCAAGTGGCAGCATACAGACTATTACCAGTGCCTGCAAGCTCTGTGTTACAGTTCAAAGTATTTTGAATTATAAACCACCTATAAAGCATTTACCCTCAGACGTGGCATCTCAGTCATTTGCCGCTTGCAGATGTATATTCGTTCTAATAGTACAGCTGATTCTAACTATTTTAAGTGTTTTGGAAGACAGGCAGGATTGAAACACAGAACAGACTTTTCAGCAGAAATGACCTAAAAGAGCATAATAATGGCGATGAGCGGAGATGGGATTAAGATCCCACCCGCTTTCCCAGGATTCAGCTGAGCTTCTTCGCTGTTAGAGAAAGACACCATTGCAGTGTGGAGCCTGAGCAGAACACGTTCCAGCTCAAAGGCGTGAGATGCCGGCTTTAGGTCCATAGAATAACCACGTTATCAGGCCTAGAAGACATCTGCATAGTGATTCCTGCTCCCAGTCTAGTCTAATTACCAATCCGCGTGCGACGGGCCAGGGCTAGATGCCGAGACTGGCTGGCCGTGCACCAAGAGTGAGGTCACCCCCATCTCAGCAAAGCATCACTGGAAAAGCCTTGAAGGTCTGAAATGTTTTTTTTTTTTTAATTCCCAGCTTGGATCTGCTAGGCCATAATAGAAAAGAGACAGCCAGAAAAAGATTGATGGTTGCTACAGTTTTAGATCAAAAATAATAAATTACATTTAAAATAGAATTCAGTACCTAACAATCCTGTGATGTTATGAAACACCCCCCCCCCCCACACCCTCTCTTTCAGAGGAAACGACGCATACAGAATTCTTTGCTTTGACTCCAGGCAGGAAGTTGATCATCAGGAAACACAGGAAGTAGTGGGATCGACTTCCCACTGAGCAGCAGGCAGAGAACGAGGGCCCTGCCCTACAAACAGACCTTCAAGCCTCTACACTTCACCCTACTGACATTTTTTTAAACTACTTCTTTGTTTCTACACTATTAATGCAAACATAGTTTCACTTATCTTGAAGTTATGAAAACAGTACCAGCATCTCTCAGAATTCTATCACCATAAAGTAAGTGTGTGTGTGTGTGTGTGTGTGTGTGAATATATAAGGTCATAAACCCTTAAAACACATATTGCAAAAACATTTACTGTTACTTGTTACTTTCTGGTCACAAAACACGACAAAGCTCTAAGAACTCTATAAAAGAGCTTCCCTGCGATGACAGTAACAGAAATGGGTGGGAGTCACAAAACGCCTGTCAGCTTACAAGCCCAAAATAAACAAAGGATGCAAACACCTCTTTGCTGTGTAAACATGTGCCACTTGACTTTAAAATCAGTATTGGCTGTTATGAGGGCTTTGAGGTCCTACAGTGACCTCTGCTGGCCACAAGGCCACACACACACACACACACACACACACACACACACACACACACACAAAAACAAAACTGAGGTTATCATCATTACTACACTTTGGGGACAATTTGGCCCTCAAATGTGATCTATGCAAATCCACACACACACACACACACACACACACACACACACACACACACACACACAGACAGAGTCTTCGGCCTTATAACCTGGTCCTGCTTACCATACTGTGGTCACCTCTTAATCTCAGTTCAGTTACTATCAAGTTCACAGACAGCAAAAGCTCCTAGTTACCATCAATCTCACTCCTGCTCAGTAAGACAATTCAGAAAAATGCCAAAATGACGTGCCAAGGGCCTGCGGTAAATGTACATGAGGTCTGATGAAAGAGGATAACATTAAATGATGACTACAATCACGACTAGAGGCATCACAGCCTCTATAGGTCATTACAGCAGACCCCCTAATAAATGGGGGTCTTTGATAGGCTGGGAGCATTTATCTGGGTAGAAATCAGGCCCTGGGTAGTGCATGAACGAATCACACCAAGCTTTTGCAAGGTGACGAAAGCGTTATTCCAGTTTTGCTTCATACACTCTTACTACCATTAATGGTTAATAAAGGGAAAAACATATATTCATTAAACACAGCAAATAATGCTTTACTAAATTAATACTTAAGAGAGATTAGATTCCTGCAAATGGAACCAAAAAGAAAGGGTATGGGGTGCAAGTAAGGACCCAGAAGGGTTAACATTTAAAGGTATAGGAAGGCAAATGGATCAGGCAAAGTGAGGGACGCCCCATGGAAAATGGATCAGGCAAAATGGGGGACGCCCCACGGCAAATGGATCAGGCAAAATGAGGGACGCCCCATGGCAAAAGGATCAGGCAAAGTGAGGGACGCCCCACGGCAAATGGATCAGGCAAAATGAGGGACGCCCTATGGTCCTCCTTTCCAGTTTTCCCCAGAACTCACTGCCTTCGGTCCAGACCCGTTCCCTGCTGACATGTGGCCGGCACTGCGCACCTGGGTCGAGGTGAGAGAAGGATCCAATGACAAAGTCCAGGGTGGAAACGGCCAGGATGGCCAGCAGCAGCAGCTGGAGCCGGACAATCCACTTGACGCCGGCCAGGTTGATTCCCAGCAGGCCGAGCAGCACCACCACGGACATCCCGCGGACCACCCACGTGCTGGTGAGGCCCAGGATCTGGGCGATGGACTCAGAGAAGCCTGTGATGTACATAGCTCCTGCCACACACTGCGAGATGGCAAAAGAAGGAGCATAAACAAGGTAATTATATAAAAAAAAATAATAAACTCAGGTCAGAAATTCATCATTAACAGGAAACAAAGAAGTTATCTGCTTATCACCTGTTTTATAAAGTCTTGGGTCCCACTTTACAATAAAGGCCCCTTTTGCCACTTGTAAATGGTAGTAACTCATTAATTAAACGAAAACTGTGTTATGACTTGTTTAAAATTGTCTATTAATAATTTCCAAAGTGTTACAACCAAATTAATAACCAGATTATAAACCATCCATAAACTCTTTATATGGGTACCCTTATTGTAATGTGGCACCAAGTCTTTAAATAAACACACATGGTTTAGGGTAGAGGTTGGCAACCTTCCGGGTTGGGGGGGGTGATAAATACTGAGGATGGCAACCCCTACTTTTGGGATATACAATGATTAATCTGGTTTCATATTCATTATTACCTGGCCAAAGATGTAGAGGAGCCCCACCGTGCCCCCAATTCGGCCCCCCAGGACAGTGGAGATCATGGAGTACACCCCTCCTTCCCCCACGCTGCACCGCTCGCACACCCCGATGCCCGACATGACTGTCACCAGGGCCACCAGTGCCACCAGCGACACCAGGACCATGCCCAGACACACTCCTGTGTTTCCCTGACAACATCAAAAGAATGAATTTTAAAAAGCGTGATGTGTGTTTGGTAGCTTCTGGTTTGCAAGGTTTATAAACTAAAACAGACAAAGTCAGGCAGCCACACAGACGGCAGGAGTCCACCAGCAGATGTACAAGCATGCATGCTCCACATCCCCTTAGCGGAACCACATGCCCGAAGTCTGGACGGCAAAAGTCAGGCTACGCAAAGGAGGTGTCACGACGGCTCAGGCCTAGATACCCGACTAGGCCCAACCGGGACAATGCTACCCTGCTATTAATGACATCAAAGAAGATTACAAGGGTACACAATGGTTTGAAGAACAGGTGGAGTTCTTAAAGACAAGAAACCACAAAAAAAAGAGCAGAAACCAGCGCAGAACCTTGTCCAGAACCATTGAAGCCCTGGTAAGTCTACATATTTATGCTTCTTCTAACAGAATGTCTATCTCTGACAAATTCTATCATCATTCCCACTCCCAACCACCAGAAGAAATAACGACACAAATGGAAGGAGCTATCAGGATCAGGACGGACCACAGTACTGTGCTGATTGGACAGCGTGGGCCCCTGCTCAGGAGGTACTCTGCTATGACACTTGCCACCAGCCAACCGGTGCGGAGAAACAGGACCACGCCGAAAATGTTGATCATGCAGGTGGTGAAGACCCCATCCCAGGTTCCGAAGAGCACGGGCTCCCAGACAAAGAGCTTCACTTTCCACCAGGGTTGGGTTTGGCTCTGAGATCCCTGGGAAAGCACACAACATGTCCTCTTTACTGGAGATGAACCTGCAAAGTACCATGCTGCCCCTGTACCAATTCAAGGTGTCTCCAGCACACTACACAGGACTGGTTCTCAGAACCATGCAAAGCAGCACTGAAAAAGACTCACAGAAAGACTAGATCTCACAGAAAACAGCAAGAAGAAGTGAAGGTGCTGCATGATCTTTGGTCACATGGGAAACCTGACCTGAGCATCTTCATGGAAGAGGTCCTGGACATGTCCACTGTCCCGGCCAGTAAGTGGAGGCTTCAGTGGGACCGGCCCGTCCTCCGTGCTCGATCTGCTGCACATCACACTGCTACAGAGTGGTGGCTCCATGACCACACAAGCGCAGTCACAGTCTTCCCGGAATCAAACCTCTGAAACCAGACGACAGTGCTTCTCCCCAGTCACCGTTCATACACTGTAGCAGTGACTTCCTTACGATTTCAAATTTGCTTTTCCGCAGTGGACATGCTTTTTGGATTTTTTATTCCAACAACACCAAGCAAGGTCAGCATTACTAAAAAAAATATATACACACGTATATATTTCTGAATTTAAACTAAATGTGACGATCGTACAGTTAGATCACCTTTGAATACTGACGCACGAAAGAACACCTCCAAAATAAATATATTTGGTCCCAGGCTGTCATGTCTTACAACCGAAATGAAATATCTACGAGGTCAGAAATCTTTACCATATTGTTATTTCAGTACGTACATCTCATTACAAACACCATTTATTAAAAGCTTTATTTATCATCCCCATTTATTTAAATCGCTGTAAAAAAAAAACAAAAAAACTTTAGCACATTTTAAGAAGTTAATTAAACCATGTATGTAGCCCTATATAAAAGCTCTCAATGAGTTTATAGCCGGTGAAGTTTGTACAGTCAGTAGCGGTTCCCGTCGACGCTCAGGTTCCCCAGAGAAATTTTTAATTGGTATTTAGCGAAATTTAAACTTCCCCCATGGGGATTATAAAGGGAACACAATATTCCGAACTAATCAGTATTAGGAAGCGAAATGTAAATCCTGTGTATTTCCTCCACAAAGATTTTTTAATGCAGTCTACCATTACAAACCCCGTCCTCCATACCTATTCAAGGAACACGTGTCAGTTATATACCCAGGGATGAGGCGCCTCGGGGAACAGGCGCATCATGGTGTTTAAATCCTAACATACTGCAATATGCGTGTTATGTAAATAATAATTAATAAAATCTTTATCTATAAAAACAATAAGAAGTAACATCCGGGAAAGACTTCAAAGGTAACAATCAAATGATCTAAAACTTATCCGACACGTACCTTATTCGTTCAAATTGCACCATAATGGTAAGACATCTGGGTCCTTCTCATTATGGGGCACCTTGCATTGCTACTTAATGTAAAACTGTAGTTCCAGACCTTTAGTTTTACAAGTCGTCTGAAAGCCTCTGCTACGTGTTACATTGAGTACGTCAGTATGTAAATATTTGTTCCCACCAGCCGTCAAACGGGACGGGTTTATATTGGCGTATCTCCAAAGTAGAAGCCGTACTCTTGTTTACGGGAAGTATACGCTCAGTTTATTGCGCTACTGCGATTACCATAATATCGAAATGTTGGCGATGTGCATCTTTAAAAACTAAGACCGACAATGAGGCGTCGGCACTCGTCTTAAGTCCATGCCGCAGGCGGACTTTAATATAATTTACTCGATCATTCATTCTCACGCCCAGCGAGGCTTCCCCGCGGCCAGGTAAGTCATGCGGCAGCCTGCCAGTGCGCATGCGCACAGGCTTGTGAGGGCGTCACCAGGACCCACCAGGATCTTAACCAGGTGTGCACAGGGCCGGCCTGTATATTTTTGTCACGCGTATCCGCTTTACAGTAATTAACCCCTATATCTTAAGGAATCTCTCACAATTTAAAAGCAAGTTGTTCGTGTGAATTGGTAACCAGTACTGTGAGCTAGTATCACTGTATTTTGTCAGGCTAGTATCCTGCAATGGAGGGGGTTTAAGTGGTTAACTATGTATAGAAATACTCATTGAGAGAAGCATTCTAGTTAAACCCTACACCAACTTAATTTGTCCCGTGCTAGCTGTTATCATTTACAGTTTGACATTTTCGCTCTTCCATTCAGGCTAAGGTCCATCTGGCCATCTTCCAATCTATTATGCTCCTCTGCCTTGTGTCATCCTTCCTTGGTTGTTGAAGACTCAGCCTGTGGCCTGTACTACGAAGCGGGGTTACTGGCTTATTGGGGTAACTTGCTGGATTTAAGGTAGTCTGGGCAAAATGTAAGTGAGCGAATATGTAGTCCATTTAAACTGTGGTACCTTAAATCTGACAAGTTACCCCGGTAAGCCAGTAACCCCGCTTCGTAGTACAGGCCACTGGTCTTTTAATTAGTAATTTGTTTGTGTCTTCATCTATAAGGTTTAAGTGTTATGGAGACACCTGCCACAGAGGACAGCTGTCTCTCAGTTTCTGTGCACACACCGGATTATCATGCTTCTCGTCATCTATCTGACACGAAACGCCTTTGCAGTGAAAATACCCCGCAGTCTTCATATTGATAGTATTTTATTGAAGTACATCTAATTTGGCTACAGCTTCAAACTTAAACGGACACCTGCAGTCATCCTGTTCATATTAAAAGACATCACCAGCAAAATGTATAGAGCTGTCATTAGGTGTGCCTCGAAGATGCAGAGAACACGAAAGCAGGAAAAAAAAAAATGATTTGTCTTAAATCTACTCAGATTTCTCCATAGCCCTTAGGAAATGCATTTTCTTTCTTAAAGAATTTAAATAACACTCAGATGTTAAGATTGCTTAAAACTCCCATAAAAACAATTTCTGTACCATTAGCTCTAACTTTAGTCATACATGAAACTCACATGTAGAAATTAGCAAATTATAAATCACAGGTATTTAAGGAGAAGTGAACACACACAATCAAAACAATATGCAGTCTGATTTTCACAAAGTTTTACACGGGATCTTTCCAGATCTGCTTCTACTGAAATGCATCAAATACAGAAAATCGTTACATGAAAATATATGTACTGAAACTGATTATGGAGTACATGCATAGCTTGCCCAAAGCAATTTGATCAATGAAGCTAAATGCACCATCTCCAACCGTATATGCAAATATATCCTTATTCAAAACATTATTTTACCCCAGATTTTGTCATTGTTGAATTACTGATGTCCAGAATACACAAAATATTACATTTCATGATGACATACTAAAATCATGTAGTACGCCGCATACATAATACTTTGGGAACCTTTACCAAGGAAAAAAAAAAAAACCTCAAATAGTCCCCAAAATATTGCAAAAGTTTTATTGTGATTTTTGGCCAATAGAAAAATCAGTGAAATTTAATTTGAAGTGTCTCATTGCAAAGCATCTACTGAACATATTAAACATTCCTGCCCATAAACTGAAAATATGCTGAAAATGCCAAAGCTGTATGTCTGCTTTACAGAAACGAAAGTTACACAATTCAAAATACACCTTATTTATAACTGGCAGGCACAGCTTTACACCAAAACACTCATCAATCTATAAAATAAGAGGAATGTACTGGAAGGATAAGGAAGAACAGGTGACACAGGACAAGTGCTCATCCTTGATTGTCTGGAGAGATTTACGCCTTAACTAAAAATACAGATTTACACAAGTAAAACTAAAAATAGAAGCATCAGAGCTGATTCCAGTAGTTGTTGAAAGACTTTTGGAAATTTAAACTGCCACAGTCCATGACAAATTAATAATAAAAAGCTGGGGGATACAAAAGCATTTACAATTCAGAGCAAAACAGGACAGGATAAATGTGCATTTAAGCAACAAATGACAAAGTAGTTCAAATACCCAATAACTGCATTTTCATAATAATAATTTTACTGGGACTGATATTGGGGTTACAGTTTCTCTAAATTTGCAATATATACTCTTCTTTATATTCTTTATGTAACTGAAACAATACCAAAAGCAATAAAAATCATTATACACTTAAAATGTATAACGGATACAGAAACTGGATCACACTCTTAGAGGAAAAATCATTTTAGAGTTAGGGATAAATCAAATGAAAATGTAGCATTTGTTTCTGCCACAATTTAATAATTTAAATGATGCTTTAATCTCAGTTTTAAGCAAATCAATTTCACTCCATTTTAATCATATTCCAACATAATGAACAACTCACAAAGTGCTTTTCCGATTATCAATCTGCCACATGAGACACTCATAAGCTGGATTTTTATCACGACAGAAACTACAATAAAGACACGTTTGCCTGATGCTACTTGCCAAATTAATCTGAAAGTGTGTACGGAGCTTTCGGGTTCATCTTCCCTCACTCTGTGGAGTCTCCTTCACAACATGTAAGAGATGCATGACTATATATGTTATGCATGTAGGCAAAGGCACCAATGGGAGATTAATACAACAAAATATATTTTTAAAAGAATTAATATAAATACTTGAATGCACTTTCATCTGGCAAGTCAAATACCAATGTTTAAACTTATTTATGCAGGTTCTTATCAAGTCGATATTTCATTTTACTGTTATTATATAGGTATTTCATCCTATGTACACTATCTGAAAAAGGAAATGGATTTAAGTACAATAAGTAGGATTGTGAGATCCTGGAGGGAACCTGTTATTTTATAGGTATGCTGGAGATTTTCACTGTCTACTACACTCGTATCTCTCGCTATATCACACCACACGGTTTACAAGATTCCAGTCCCTTTTTCCGAATTACCAAACTCAAAAAAAGCGTTTGGCATCGCTTCTAAAATATGATCGCTTATAGTAAATATTCACAAACGCTCCCATCCTCAAATATCAAACTTTTAGAATCAACAGCATCAGAGTGCTCAGTTCAATGTGCAAATACAGCAAAATCATTTTCAGGTTATGATTTGGATTTCAGTTCCTAATTACGCCATTCTGTTACTCGCAAAGGGTTCTCTCGATAAAAAAACGAATCAATACACCCCTTCCATTGGCAAAATGATTCAAATAAAAATATTAAATGTAGGTTTAAAAACCTAATCTGCAAAAAACAAAAATTAAGTTTCTTTAAAATGAACCGATAACAAATCCATAACCTCCACAAAAGGCAACCTGTTTAATGACAGAAAGTGAGCATTGTAGATGCCGCTCCCATGGCGAGGAAAAATAATTGCATTCATCCCTGCGTTGCCTTCTTTACAGGAGTGAAGTACTGTGTGTGAACCTAACTTAACTCATTACTCAACAATGAGCAGGTCCCTTTCATTAGACTCGAGATGAATATTAAGCGTTCTCAAAAACAAAAACATGAAAACTTAAGTGTGGATTAAAGTGAAAAAGACCTATTCCCCAGTATTTAAAAATAAACAAGAAAATGATGGTGATGAGATTTTTTCACAGGACAGAGTGTCTCAATATGTCCTCATATCACCTCCTGATCATGAGGAAAGACCATATTGTATTCTATAGCCAACTCTGACCTGATTACAACACCGCTTTACGACCTAATGTAATTATTATTATACATCACATTCTCTAGGAAAATGTTATTTTCTTTGAATTTCATAAGGTGCTGAACTATAAAAGTCTAAACATTATCAGAGTTTATCATTTTAAAGACTGTAACATGGAAGTATATATAGGTTTTGTATTGTACTCACACACATACAGTTACATGTATATTCTGTGTGTTTCTGTACACACTAATGTACAAATCCATCTCGGTAAACTGCAATGGATTCATCATAAGGAGAACAGCCTTTACAGTGCAGTACAGATTGGCAGAATACAAAGGATATAAAGTGCCTTTCAAAAGAGGGGGAACGTTGTTTCTCTTCAGCCAAACGTTTGACTGCTCGTGTCATCAGGAGATGAAGTCAGCGCAGTCCTAGTTTCGGTTACGCTAACCAGAGGAAACTCCGGGAAGTCCGTACTCCCATGACCACGCACATTCACTTGACCGTTGGCAGAGCTGAACTGGGCAGAGATTGTAGCTCGCGTGCTTGGGAATTGTGATCTGAAGTTCTGCTCAAAGGTGCCCATTGGGAACGTATCTGCCTTTTTCGAGGTCACCTGCTCAAGAAAGTCCTCCGTTGGGGAGACAGTGGAAGGGTTGGTTTCGTCTCCTGAAAATGAAAAAGAGTGCTGGGAATCTCCAACCAGAAGGCCAAAATGAGATTTCTCCGAGGATCTCAGGGGAGAGTTCATCCCTAAGCGAAACCGGCTGGTGGAGCTGAATTTATCAAGAGTGGAAAACAAAGGCTGACTTGACAGACTCTGACCTTCAGTCACAAAGGGGAGACTTGGATTGTTCAAATACGTGTCATTCTGGCTGGTTCTTTCCAATGCTTGCTGAAGAAACTTTGAGTACTCCTGCAGCATGCTGGCCTTCTCCACAGGGGGTGCCTGGGGGGTCGTGCTTATAGCTTCTGCCTGACTCCCCTCAGATACATCCGAGGAGTTGATAGATATGCTGGAGGTCACTTCTGTGTCTGCTGTGCTGAATGATATTTCCTGCTGGCCATTGGTCTTATTTGAGTAGTGATCCAGAAGCGTTTGAAGGACTTCATCTGGGAGGACATTCTTATCGCTGCCAGGCTTCATTTCCACATTCAAGGTCTGGGTGTCCAGAATAGTGGCGGGAACGTTGCTGTCTATGACACTAGCAACAGCTGCCTGGGTGACTGATGGCTGTGATGCGATGCTCCCGACGTTTAATGCATAATCTCGGCTATTGTTGGCCGTGGCCGCTTGCAAGTACCTTTTCTTTTTCAAGAACTGCATGGCATCGTCATAGTTGGTGCTGCTGGAAACAGGCTTGCTCGTCTCCCCTGGAAGCGTGTCGACAGGGTCGAGGTCCGTGTTGCACTCGGTGTCCAGAAGTCCTGGTTTGTCCACAAGCTCAAAGCTGTATCTGGTGACTTTGCCGTCCTCAAAAGACGACAAGGGAGAAAGATCCTGCGGTTGTATCTCTGGCTGCTTCTGGTTCCTTTTGCCGGTGACTTTCTTCAAAACAAGTTTTGGGGGGTTAATCTCTTCCGAGGACCCCCCTGACTGCCGGCTATCTAGCGGCTGGTGGGGGAGCTCCACAGAATACTCCGCCACCATGTACTCATCCTTCACCTTGGAAGTCATGGGGTACAGCGGCAGGCATTCGGCTCTGCCCTGCCTGGACTCGGCGTTGTCCTCAGCTGCCACTTTCTCGGCTGCTGGCACCTGAACTCGGAGTTTCTCGCTGGACTTCTGCCGCTTCCTTTTTGGCAGGGAACTCTCCTTCGAGGGGAAGGTGAAGCCCAGGTCTTCCTGATTACCTGCCAGGCCATCCTTGGCTGCCTTGCTGGCCTTTCTCTCTCTGTTCTCATGACACATTCGCTTGTGCTTCAGAACCCGGTCAGTCCTGGAGAAGAACTGCATAGAAACATGGTCTAATGCACACGTAACTTCTCATAGTATCAGACGCCACTTGTCCTCAACACTGATATTCATTTAATATTTACATAGGATATAAGAGACTAGTTTTCAGCACTAACGGGTGGATTGGTGAATGAACCTTGTTGCCACGCTTCATAGTAATATCAGGAGCTCAACTTCACTTGAACTCCTCAGGACAAAACCAGCTGATTATTGCATTACTTAAATTAGAAGCAGCTACATCAATAGCATTGCATGTTTGGATACAGCCAAGGAAAATGCTTTACTGAGGGTGAGAGAGAAATCCTCCCTAACATTACCAGCCCTATTCTTTAATCACTCTAGTCATATCTGGAGTTATGAAGAAATGGTGTTAACAATAACGGCATCATAAGATACGAGTTATCCTGTCTTCCCATAGGACTAAGGGTATTTCTCCTTACCTGGTGACAGTAGTTGCACTGATAGGGCTTCTCCCCACTGTGGGTTCTCTTGTGCCTTTCCATATGGTACTTCTGGATGAACCTCATCCCACACTCATCACAGCGAAATGGCTTCTCACCTGCAAATACAAGGGTCTCAGGCGAACCAGAAACGTTTCATTTTTGCCTTCATCACTTACCTTTGGGTGTAGGACATTCTGTCACCTCTCTTATGAATAGTGTCAAGACCTGCAGTCATTTGGCCATCTCCAGAAAGAAAACAGTGTGGACCGCTAGCTGAGCAGTCAACACTAGCTTACTTTAAGAAAATTTCTGCATGGCCTCAGAAGGCTAACCCAATAACTCCACTCCACCATCTCCCAGAGTTGCTACAACAACCTTATACATCAGAAATTCCCAAAAGCACCCTCTCTGGTTTTGGCATAATGGTGTCCTCTGTACACTAGTGATGGCCAAATAAAGCTTCTTGAACCATGTGCTGTATTTTTTGACCCCACTAGATGGCGCCCTTGGTTTGCTTTGGTGCATGCTTTGAGTTTTTTTTTTAACAAAGCGCACCATTTCAAGGGGTCAGAATATACAGAAAATGGCTCATGAAGCCTCATTTGGCCATCACTACTGTACACAATGGACCAGGGATTTGAACACAAAATGAAAGTATGTCTTACTAAACACTCCACGCAACTGCATTGCGATTTCACTTCTTTGGCGGCTTTGCTCTAAAATGCCAGTAAATTCATAAATGCCATAACTGGCACCATGTATAAATAAACTGATTAGCCACAATTAAAAATGCTAAACTGCATTTTTAAGAGCACACAGAACATGCATGAAATGCATTCTCATTTATTATGCTTATACAATGAAACACTAAAGACTAAATTTCAACAGCAGAACTACCCAAAAATATATATTTCTATGAAGACGAGGTGTGATGAGACAGAACAACGTTCTCACAGAAACAGTCACAGCTCCTGTGGCCATCCAGTAGGTATGTACCTGTATGGATCTTCTCATGTCTCTGCAGCAGGTACTTCTGGATGAAACGCATGTCACACTGGCTGCACTGAAACGGCTTCTCGCCTAAAGTGCAGAGAGAGACGGAGGTGGCGTCACAAACTCTGCCGAAAGCCTACTGAAGCACCACAGCTGACAGAATGAGAAAAACAAAGCCCAAACGAACAACTATGTGGAGGTGCAAAAACAATGTTACACTAAGATGTTTAAAAAAAAAATTATTACCCACACCTCCCTCTGCTATTTATTTATTGTCAGTTTACAGACACGGTTGTATTTATTATGCTGTTCTATGCTGCTACACTGTTCCCATTGATTACATAACTGGTCATAATTATATACAGTACTGAGTACAGCTGCCCTTTCTCTTGCATTGTCCAGTGTTTTTTTTTTTACTTTTTAAACTATTTGGAAACCCTCCCCTTGTCACTTGCTGTCTGTATTTAGCCCCATGATCCTGGGGTTATGCTGTTTTGTGTCACTTGTATATGGATGGAATGACAATAGAAACCCACTCGACTGCAGTTATGACACATTTAAGTGGATCTGGTCAATATGTGCCTGTTAGCAGTAGGGGATTCCTAGTAAAAAATAAAAAATCAGCCTCCACATCAGCTCTGATACAGGTGTGTCACACTGCCTCCTGCTGGACGCCACCTCCAGGCTCTGCCTCACCCGTATGGATGAAGAAATGACGCTGTAAATGGTAGTTGGTCCTGAAGGCAGCACTGCAGTGTTCGCACACGTGAGACTTGGGGCTCTGAAGTCCCAGTGAGCCATCCTCATTAATGGTAAGGATCTAGCAGGTGACACACATGCAAGCAAGACAAACAATGCCATGTTTATTAGACTGATTGCTGCAAAAATTACACAACTGGTTTATATTTACATCCGATCCATAGAGATGAATGATCGGAGTACCGTCTTGGGGAAAGCTGATCACGCCCCTACAAGCACTGATGGGACTGTAGCTAGAAAGGTAAGCTGCTTCCTATCACTCAGAACCGAAACATCATCTCAGCTCATGAAGGCAAAACAGCACCTTCTCAACCTGCGGCACCTGAAAAAGGCTGAGCTGTCCTCCAGGTCACCACCGATTCCCTGTCTGCCGGCTCTCACGCATCTGGCGTGACACTCATGCTTTCTGACTCTCACCCTCGTGCGAGAAATCTTATGGCAAATCTATATTACTCCATCATAAGCCTAAAATCAGCTACGTCAAAAGTGTTGGGGCAGTTTGCAAACCCTACAAACTATTTATAAGGTAATAAAACTGCAACATACACGTAAAGGAGTGTGTAGACTTGTCTCGAATTGAAAACTGCACACCAGCCAGCTGGCCAAAGTTGACAACCCTACCAATTAATGCACAAGTATGATAGAGAGCGGTCACCCCTGTATCACTTTCTTTCCAGTAAAATACCACTGCATACTATATACACATTAAACCAGAGCATGTGCTGGCCCCTTTGCAGTACTCTGTCCGACGTGCTGCCTGTCTTATACAGGAAATCTTAATGCACTGTCACTTTGCTAAATGTAGCACTATGACCCCACATACAGTACAAGTCTTTTGTTTCAGTGTGAAATAACAACAAAACTAAAATCTGCCAGCAAAGGCTCAGCACTGGTACTCACTATCCCCTGTGACACAGTGGAGGCGCAAGGCCTCCCAGATTACCTTAGTGGGAGATCTGTGTTTCCTTTTCTTCTTCTTAGGAGCGTCACCGAGGTCTCTCATCTGCCTCTTCTCTTTCTTTGGGTGTGCAGCTGCGTCGGGCACGTTCACTTCCTGTTTGATGTTCACCTGTGGGACGGCAGGACAACGTGAGCCGAAAGACAAAACGCAGTCCACAGCTGAAGATACTATACATGTATCCAAGTAAACGTGAGCCCTCGATTCACTTTTAAATTAACTGCCACAAGAAAGTGACTTCTACAGCAAGTAAATGTCTATGAAAGGAAAGCTAGCTGACTGAATAAGGAAGCTTTACTTGTCTACATCCTTTTCATAGTTGTTAGGAGTAGTAGTGCTACACATCCACACGGAGATGTGACGATTCACGCTGCTCTTGACTCACAGGCAGATGGAGGGTGTACGGAAGCCTGTGAGAAATCCGTTGGGAAAGTTCTGGATCCTCCTCTGCGTCGTTTTTCACCGTCTCCTCGTGCACCATCAACTCATCGTGTGGGATAAGGTCATGGGTGGGAAGTGGAGCACCCCCCAGTTCATCCTCCTCATCCTCTTCCTCGGGCAGTAAGGTGTGGTGAGTCAAGGCCCGCTCACCTAGTGGCATCTCCACCAACGCCCCCCCGGGTCTTCCCTCTCGAACCGCTTGCCTCCCATTGACCCCGGGTGACCCCAGGACTCTGGAGGATGGGTGTAGGTCCAGTGTCCCACTGCCCTTCAGTAGCACCCCCTGCAGCTTCTCGAGATTCATGCTCAGTGCTGGGACACAAGAACGTCAGGACCTTGGGAAGAAATCAAATATTAATAAGTCTGACACCTGTCACTCTAATGGCACATATTGGGCACAGTGCCTATGTAGATTCCCACTAAGAGACCTCCAAAACTACACTTTCCACCTGTCCGTTCTGACAGCTACCACTCGGATGAATCTACTCAACCCGGACTGTTGCACAGCGCCCCCTCTTCAAGCCAGTTTACGACTTTAATGTACAAAACTTGGTCGAATGCGCCTGGCTCATGTAGCTGAAACTGTCATTCCTGCAAGGACCCCCATCCATGCCACATGAAACCAGAGACTTGTACCCTTAACACGCGGCGCAGGATTCCTAAACAGTCCTGCACTGAAAATCAAGGGAGCTGCGTGTAATTACTGCACTGCTTTACTTAGATAAATAACCAACGAAACTGATATTTATGACTAAAGATTACATTCTGTTAACGCACTCACACTCGACTAATTTAATTTTACATTTTTTTTTAAATCTTGGTGCTCCAGTACACCCCGGCCGGGATCGAGGAGCTCAAAAGCCGCTGACGGTCCCCGCGCAGCCTGCTGAGTACCGGGGCTTTTGGAAGCACAAAACGGCATATATAGCGTTACTCTTTTGGCCAAATGTGTAGTAACTTGGAAAATGAAGCGCCGTGTTCGGCGCAAACGGCCGAACTGGGAACCCCGTGTATTCGGCGGAGAGATAGCGAGCAGGCCGGCCACTGGTACCCGAGAGGCCGCATCCTTCGGCAGGGCCCGATTCTCGAAACTGCCGATCCGCTACCTATGGTCGGCCGACCGCTGGCTCGCAGTTTAAAACGATCGGTTCCGCGGTGGTATCGACTCCGGGCGGCCGTCCGTGGGCACCCAAGCGCCTGGTATTTCCACGGTAACATACCGCCCCCCCCAGTAGCAATTGGATTCGCTGATACGGAAGAGGCCCGGCCGAGGAGATGCGACGCAGAGCTGGTCGAAGTGCGGTCGGGGACACGGACTTTCTGGGCGCGGGCGGAGGCCTCGCTGTGTCGCTACATACCCGCTGTGCTGCCTTAGTGGCGCCGGCTGGCATACATGATCCGAGGGGTGAACGTTTCTGCGCCGAACAGCCCCGCTGACAGAGGCAGCCTTCCAGCTCCGGAGCCCCCTGTGCGGTGCATTGTGGGACGGGAGCGCTCCGGGGGCGGCGTGCGCCAGGCGCGTCGCCCTGCCCCTCTGCCCCCGGCGCGGCGCGGTCGTTCACGGCCCTCGGTGCCCAGCCTGACGCCTGTTTGATTAACCCTGCTCTGTCCGGCGTAAAAGGCGGCTTGAGTCACCGCTAGATCCGGTTGTCCGTCGTCTTTGGCGCCTGCTGTTGTTTACATCGGAGGCTGAGATCGTGCGGAGAAAACGGGCGACTTAACTATAGTTTCTATAGTGCGCCTCTATCGCCAACAAAATACCAAAACTTTGCTGTTTAGAATGAAAACATTCTCAAACGCACCCAAAACTGCCCTCAGTATTTCGGACATAACATGCCCTTGGTTAACAGAAAACCCCTGTGTTTAATTAATAGTTAATAATATGCACACAATTAACCCGGTGGTTAAAGCCAACTATACCGCTCTCTGACTTATGAAGAAATTTTAAAGCCAGCGTGGGAAAAGTTTAAATCAAATGGAGAACTGTTGGAAAGTTTATTAAATGGAATTACAGAAGTTTCATCACAGGGTTCGTTGCATGATGTAATAAATACTCATGGTGTCAATGAGCAGAAAAGACGAAAAAAAAAAGCTATTTTCTGAAGTAAACGATGTTGTTGCAGTTGCATTGCACTTGAAAGTCAGATGGGGGAGCTGTTTCCTAGTCACATCGCTTGACCGTATTTGGACTTTTTGCTCTGCAGGAAAAAAAAAGAAAGATCCATATGATCATAACCTCCAGAAAGTGATTAATTAAGGCTCATTTCTGAGGGCACGTCAGGCTGAATCTGGCCCGTACTTGGATGGGGATCTGCTGCTGTAATATAAGGGTGATAGATGGACCTGAAGAAAAGCCATTAGCTGCTGTTGAACTGCTGCAGTAACAATATATTTAAAGTATTTCAAGATAAGCTGTGGTAATCCTGTAAGATGTTCGTTATGTCAGCCAGCAGCGATGCTCCCTGATAGCTCCACATTTGCAGGTTTCAAACCCATTCGCGTTTCTGTTTCTGGGGAAGGTCTGCCCGTTCACTCTGTCCCCCCTGCCTTGCTGCACAGCTGAACTGGTGAACTGAACTTGCTTTTAGTGTCTTAACGTGAAACGTTAATCTGGACCGGACTGTGGAGCAGAGGTGGGTAGTTCATGTCCAGAGAGTAAAAGACCAGCCCAAGAATTTTTCTCAACCAACCTGCTGAATACTCTGTGACTGACTCTTTATACTCAACTTGTTGATTGAAATGCAATCTTGGTGTGGTCTTTTGCTCTCTGGACCTGAATTAGCCACCTCTGCTGATCAGCATTGCTTTGTTCTGGACAGCCTCACAATAGCTGTAACGTCTCATAACCCTGATCTAAGACACGGTCGTTAAAAACAGGTGGTGAATCAAATAATATTTGTGCTTGTGCTGCTGATGTAGGCAAGATTTGGAAAAGACATAGGAGCACTCTGTAATCAGTTTATTTGCCATCAGTAATTATTGACATAGCACCCTTATACATATACAGCTCATGTGACACCCCACCACCACATATTTTGGGTTAAAACTGAATTAATAAAAATATAAATAAAAAAGTATATAATTATTCATATATAGTTATGCAAGAGGTCCACTCACCCCCACCTAAAACCTGTAATCATCTACTGACACTGAGTGCTATGTTGAGGATTGAGCACAGAAAATCTATTAGTTAAATCACCCATTTAAACCGTTTGGTTATTTTTATTAATGTTTTACTTTACTGACCACCAGATGACTTGTAGTTAGCCACAACATTTTTCCCAAAGTTTGCTTAATTCAACGTTTATTTATGCTTTGGCAATAGTTACAATGACACAAAAAAAGGGTTTGAAATCAGTTGTTATAATATTGCATAGTAAACTGGGGTAGGGTCATTCTTACCACATGATTTCCCTTAAGTCCTGACTTCAATGGTCGTATTTGACAAGTAGGCAGCTGAGAGCTGCTGTTAGTCTCTGTCATACCTCTTCCCGAGTCAAAAATGTAAACATGAAACAGGAAGCCTTCAAGTGGATTTGGGATAAACCATCATTTTTAGAATGGAAACACCACGAAAGCGGAAAGCCGCCAAAAAATGTAGTTCATTTTCCACCCAAAGTGAGTATCAAATTGGGATTGTTATATGGAGAGTACATCATTTGGCGCTTTAAACCTAAAATGGAATGTAAATATTACACCTCTCTCCTTTTTTTGGGTCCTAATCCTTAGGTTGTACTGAGTCCCTGGCGCCTAGGTGGAAAGGAGGTCAGGAATAATCTAGGTTATTATGAGGAATGGTCAGTTCCAAGTGCTGTAATCAATTTTCCAGGAATAAACCCAACCACCCATTTCGTTGAATAAATGAAGTATAATATTTGATGCATGTTCATACTGTGATAAAATGAGGGTACACCCTCTTTCAGGTTCATGATTTCACATATCAGGGCATAAATCTGGTCCGCAAGAACTAAAGTTAGACAAATGTAGCCTCAGAAAACACACAGCAGATTTCAATGGGTATTTATTCAACAAAAATCCAGAATGCAGAAACTGTCTCAGAATAAAAGTAAGTACACACATGCTGTCTCCCTGGGACCTAAATGAAGGGTTCTACAGGCCTCAGTAAACATGTTAAATGTTAAAGGTCTTTAATCTACAATCAGAAAAATCATGAGATGACTGAATAATACAGGTTCCATGCAAAGTCAGTCAGTGAACTGCCTCTATCTCCAAAAAGAATATGGCACCACAGCACAGTGTTTTGGCAGTACTTCTAGACACACCAGATGATTTCTGGAAGTGTCCTTCATACAGACAAAGTGGAGATGTTTGGTCATAATGCACGATGCACTTCATACCAACTACCAAGCGTGGTGCTGGAGGAGTGATGATTTGGCTTGTATTGCAGGCAGAGGACCAGGGTGCTCTGTCATCTAGTGGACCCTGAACTATATCTGCTCACGGCTACTGGATCACGAGATGCACTTACTCTTTCCACACATGGCTTCAGCACAGTGGCTAATCTTTCATTAAATAAATGATGTACTGGAATCTGCTATCCTGAGGTTAGATTTGCTTAATCCTAGGACCAGGTGATTTTTGGCATGTCCTGACGTGTAGAACCATAGAAACAGAACACCGTGTACTTTTTTACATTACCAGCGGACAAACGATCACATTTCAGGTTAATCCCTTTTAATTTCAGCATTTGTGTGACTACAAACGATTTCCCCAGAAATACAGAATCCTTTCTGATGTGGGTCACCTCATTCAAAATGCGATCATTAGAGAAAGCATACTTGTAACAGGTATGAAAAATAGTATCAGGTGCGAAGGTATTTGGATCAGGTGACGTATGTGACCCACACAGCAAGAAAAATACAAAAAAAAAAAAATCTATGTCCTTCATATTCAGTTGTCAATAACCAAAATTCAAAGAATGCAAGATATACAATATATCAGTTGATGCAATAATTAGTCTTTGGTCAGCCACCTGGAGAATATAAATCCACAATTCCAGAGATACATTTCTGAATGTTAACAACAACGCAATCACCATTCATCTTAGGCAAGTCAAGCTTTTTCTTGGAATATTCCAGAAAAAAATTGACAGTTCTAGTTCACCATCTCATGCATTTGTTTCTGGGATGCAGATTTTCAGATTCTACATAAGTAGCACTCAAAGTGCTCATTTAACAATCCCGTCCTTGTTACTGATACACCGAGCTGAAGATCTGCAAATGCACCAGATGAGTAGGGTAACAACCTATTTTACTGAAAATGAAAAGAATATATTTTTTCAAAAAGGACAGACATTTTCATTTCAAGTTTATGAACATAAAAAGTAAAGCATGGATAAACAATCAGCAAAAAAAAAAAATCTTTACGTATTGTGTGAAGAGATTATTAGTGATTTAAAAATTCTGCCATTGCCTAAATATGTGCTATAAGTCAGTAAGAAAGAATCATCTTGTGCTGCAACTTTTCAGGCAGACATGCTTGTAAGGCGCTCGGGGGGGCAGCCCCCGCACCTCTCCGTGAGCTGCCAGCCTGGCTTGGCTCAGAACTTCACATTTTGCTAAAGCATTCCTTAGCGTTAGTCCACACCTGAATTCCCTGTAAGAGAGGGAGCATAAGCACCATTCACACCAGCAGAGAGGCCCTGACCATTTACATACAATCAGAATGGTCTTCAAAAACTGCATCATCCTGTTTGTTTATTTGGGAAAATAAGACAGACATTAACTGATGATAAAAAAGTGCAAATTCAAAAAACAAACAAAAAAACCCCACAAAATATTAAAACCCACAGTCTAAATTCATATATTTCTCATTTTTGCCTAAAACATACTATTTTGTTGACTACTATGACTAAGTGACACATTCAGTTTTAAAGGGGTCCCATTATGCTTTTCCGGTTTTTCCCTTTTTTAGTTTGTTATATAGCCATATGTGCATGTGAATGGTCTGCGAAGTGTTAAGGCCCAAAGTACACGCCAATGGGAGTAACCCTCACTGCAGAAATCTAACGCCCTGTAAGAATACAAGCCCTTACTTCTGTGACATGGTGAGGTCACCTTGTAACACATTCCTTATTGCCCGCCTACCTGCAAGGATCTGTCTGCAGACTGCAAGACAGGGGCAGACTGTGTAGGGAATGTTTACCAATCAGGCAAGCTGACCTATCAGAGCATACTGGGCTCATTGGGGGTGGGGCTTAGAGCGCTAACAGAATGTTTTAGACAGAGGGTGAATAGAGGACGTACAGTAGGAGGAAAATGAGTGTTTGGAACATTGAAGCATATAAGTGTATTCTAGTCGACCCCAAAAAGGAAATTATTAGAAGCATAATAGGTTCGCTTTAAGGTGACACATTGGCAATCACATTTTCTAATAAGCCTAAAACATGGCACCTCACACCTCCTACACCATCGTAACCCACCTTCTTACACATGCTGATCTGCATCACCGCATAGCTGATCATGGCTTCCCTCAAATCCCGGTCTTTCTGTACTGTGAACCGTTCCATGTCTGACCAGGCATTCCTCACGTACTCACTGTATAGGGACAGAATACGGAGAGGCAGCACATGCCCTGAATATACAGGAATGCATAAGGGAATCCTGTCTGGCTGACCCTGTGCTGTGACTCCCAAGCTTGGTCTCACCTCCTATATGTGCCTGTGTGTCTCACGGAGAGCAAGATAACGTAAGTGGAGAGGCATTTGCCGCTTGTGCAAATGGCAAATAAAGGATCATTTCATATTTTACGTGTTGTGCTGGCTTGTGTCAACACGCTTACCTAGAGGTAATGCGAGCATAGCAATACTACGTTATGGCTTTGCAGTAGGTTGAAGGAGCTGTAGACCAGCAGAATTTCCTCAGGCATTATAGTACTCTGCAATACACCAACTGGCCACCTAGGGGTGCAGCCTGAATGTATCGTGCTTACAGCGAGCGTAGGCAACTTGAGTGGACAGGCAGACATGCCGGTGTGGAGGGGAAGCGCCATCTTACTCGCATTCCGTCTTCTTCTCTTGAAGCAACTCCTCGCCCTCTTGGATCTGCTCCTCCAGCACCCTCATCTTGGCTTCCCGCTGCTCTGGCGTCTCCTGGCCGAACAGCTTGCTGGTCATCCCTTTTAAGGAGAAGGTCCGTACGGTCTGCCAGCCAGAAACATCACACTGAGGTTACTCCACAGTCTTGCTTTAACCTTGGTTAAATAACTGACCCTAACATTTGTCCAAGTTGGTGAAGATAGGTGTCTTTTATATCCTCTCTTTCCCAGAGAATGATTATGTAATTAATGTCCTCTGCAGTGTGACACCTGTTGGGCGGGGGGATGAGAGGGGGGGTCCCACACCGACCTCCAAATCAGACCTACTTGTGTCCCCTGTGGGCATCTCTCACAATGTCCAAGACACGCCCTCTAGTCACAACCTCGGTTATAATCAGCTCGCCCTGCTTCGGTGGATCCGGAAGCCCTCTGCAGTCAGCAGCCGGAGTGAAGGTGACGTCTTACCCCGCTGGCCAGCTCCTCGCGCTGCTGCTTCTTGGACATCAGGTCTTGGGCGGCCGTCTCGAGCTCGTACTGCAGCAGCTCATGTTTCCTGCACACGGCCCTGAGAGAGGGAGGCCGAGGGAAAGTGTCAATGACCATCAAGAATCCCAAACAAAACAGCCTTAATTATTTTTACAAAACACTTGTTTTTGAGTTCACTGGGTCTGTATGATCATTTTAGGCAATGGACATATTTTTCCTATAATTATAAGGTGGTCTGGGTTCCCCAGGCTTAACATAACTGCTGAATTAACTACTGTAGTATATACGTCACGAAGCTCTAAGAACACAAATCATTTTATGAAAATAATCTGGTGTTAACTTAGTCAGACTGGGTTTTTAAGAAACATTTAAAACTGTTTAAAAATGATTGTAGATGCTGACAATTTTATGTAACACAGGGAAGCATCACTATCCAATCAGTTTTCAGTTAAACCAACCATGCTGTAATTAATTCTACTGACATACAGTGCTCACAGAAAGTCTTGGGATGCTTGTTGCGTAATTCAGTAAAATACTGCAAATTTATTAGGTTTACAGCAAAAATCATTATTGGTGTTGAAATAACTTTTATGGACAGAATTTCTAGGCGTAGCTAAGGAGTGGGGGGGATCCGGTTTGGTGAGCTCAGGATCTCGTCTTAATTTTTGCAGATGTTGGGGTCCTGTTGGTGCCGCTGGGCTGTGACCCGCAGCAGGCACTGGGGCAGTTTGCAGCTGCGTGTGAAGCAGTGGGAAGGAGGATCAGCACCTCAAAGTCTGAGGACATGGTTCTTGACTGAAAAAGGGTGGACTGCCCTCTCCTGGTGGGTCAGACATTGCTTCCTCAAGGGGAGGAGTGAAGTATCTCCGGGTCTGGTTCATGAGCGAGGAAAGAAGGGAGCGGGAGATCGACAGGTCGATTGCGGCAACGTTGGAAATTATGTTGTGGTGAAGAGAGAGCTGAGCCAGTAGGCAAAGTTTTCTATTTACCAGTCGATCTACATTCCTACCCTCACCTCCGGTCATGAGTTTTGGGTAGTGACCGAAAGACTGATACAAGCGGCAGAAATGAGCTTCCTCCACAGGGTGTCTGGATTCAGCCTTAGAGATAGGGTGAGGAACATGGACAAGTAGAGCCAATGTTCCTCTGCATTGAAAGGAGCCAGTTGAGGTGGTTCTGGCATTTATGTAGGATGCCTTCTGGATGCCTCCCTGGGGAGGTGTTTCAGGCTTGTCCAGCCAGGAGGAGACCCCGGGGGCAGAATCAGGACACACTGGAGAGATTATATATATATGGTTGGCCTGGGAACGCCGTGGTATTCCCCTGGCGGCTGGTGAGAGGGAGATCTGGTCATCCCGGCTTAGACTGCTGCCCATGTGACCCGACCCCAGATAAGCCGGAGATGATGGATGGATAAAAGAAAATGTCTCTGCTGAAGATACGTGCAGATATGTCAAACATTGCTTGCCAATTGACTTTAGTTATGAAACCAATAAATTTGCAACATTTTTACAGGATTAAGCAAGCGTCCCAAGACTTTCTGTAAGCACTGCATGTGCCACATATGAATTCTAACATGTAAACACCAATGCACAGAGACAGCAGAGTATGAAACTTGCTGTGAAAGTCCCCAGGGACCATGAATCCCTGACAGAGTAACTTATTTTAAAAAGTCTGAACACGGACATCTGGCAGTAGTAGAAGACAACATTTAGCAAGTGAATCTTTTCTACTTACCGAGCAGATAGAAAACTGCGGTCTATTAATTTTAAAATAAATCACATTCTGGGCCATGTTTATTGAGTCTGACTATTTATCGATGATGATGATGATGATGACACACAATACCAAGCAAAAGTCTGGACACACCTACTGGGGGGAAAAAAGTTTTTCAACAAGATAACAACCCTATGCAAACCTTTAAGTTATGCAAGTACTGTATTGTCTTATGAACATGGAAAGAGACAGAGTGCTGAGGCAGATGACCTGCCCCCCCACAATCCCTGACCTAAACCCTACAGAGTTGGTGTGGGGTGAGTTAGATCAAAGAGTAAAAGCAAGGCAGTCAACCAGTGCACAGAACTTGTGGAAAATCCTTCAGGACTGTCAAAGCAAAAGGGGACTATTCTGAAGTGTCTAAAATTTGAGAAAATTGAGATGTCGAACACTTCTCTTGGCTGTTGCAATATTTGATATGTCACTACATTATGTTACCTAAGGCAAACAACATAGCTGAAAGAGACAAATGCCTTAAAAGCAGGTGTGTCCACACTTTCGATTGTATAAAATATGTACATACGGTATGGTAAGGCATGTTAATATAAGACCATTTGACTCTTTGCGCCAGACTTCTAGAGTTCACTGGCTGCCTTCAGACTCACTTCAGAGCTTCTGCGTAGAACAGATACTCCTTCAGTTGGTCTGCATAGTTCTCCTCCTCTTCCAGGATATCGTCAATCGAGGCAGCGTAACTGCACACAAGAGACAGGTGGCAGGATCCGGTCACATGTCCGGTCCTGCTAATTCCAAGTCCCTCTGGCATCTCGAACAGTGAGTGATTAACGACGATAACATCTCGCTGAGAAACTGTTCAACACGTGTGGCGATTAAAGTCCCCTGACAGAATCTGCATGTGCGAAGAAACAGATCATACTGGTAACACGGGAATAAACAGGTTGCAGTGTCAAAAGCCAACAGGCGTCTTAACCGGTAAATATGGCGTCAAGGAGTCTGGGGGTGTGGCTCTCAGAAATAAATAAAATAAGAAAAATGAGTTTATGGACTGTTATCTCCAGAGCGGAGTTTGGCAGCAGTTGCTGTAAATATCGGATAATATTCGACTCCTCCTCTCGCCTAATGGCTGGTAAAGGGTCAGATTGCTGAGAGGGCTCACTCACGCATCCATGTGATGACCGGCGCTCTGCAGTCCGTCCCCCATCTCCCTCTCTATGGCACTCCACTCGCTGCACAGCACAGGGAGGACAAAGGAGCACGATAAACGCACCACATCCACATGGAGGCAGTAAAGTAAGCAGGTGCTCCCTTTGCTATTGGGAAACCTTACTGTAGCTGCAGTCAGCAGATCACATGCCAGTCATATCGCAGTAACATGACTGCAGCTGGTTTTACAATGATTTGCGGTGTATCATTAAACAGGAGCCCCAGGCTCACCTGAACACCCTGCCGTAGTTCCCATGGACCTTGTAGACTCCATACAGACGGTCTGCTACTCTCTGCAGAACATATAGTCATATTACCACCTTAATATGAAAAACATTCATAGTTACACTTGGGCACAAAACTACATATAATAGATGCTCGTCTTAATTACAGAGTGGATGAATCATTTGTAATTAAAATATGAGTGTAAGCAATATTTAGCTGTCTTTACACTTGCTTGTTTGATAAACTGCATTTTCGCGCATAAAAAGAAAAAGTGAGATTTTTGTCATTTAAGTATAAATCAACAGTAATCTTCTAAGGACAAGAAACCTTTACTGTTTGGCGCCCCCTACTAAGTGCTTATGGGAGGTTTAAAGAATTAAATTCAGCCCTTCAATAATTAGTTAAAAATTTTTTGCAGCCCAATTTCATACCAGAATAAAGATAAATGCATAAAAAACCGGGGGGGGGGTGTTCCTCGAAGCAGGGGGGCGTTCCACAAAGAAAGATTAGTTAGATGGGTTAACTTACACACTAGAAGTCACGATTGTTCAATAAAAATAAGTAAGGAGCATTCCGATCGGACAATCATGACTTCTAGCTTAAGTTAACCCAGGTAAGCGAGAAATCTTGCTTTGTGTAACACCTTCCAGGTTGCATTTATTTGATTTTGCACATGCAGAGTATATCCTGAAGGTGGTGCTAAATGTAAAGTGGTGATCTCATAGTATTTTCTAACGTAAAACAAAACAGCTGTGCTTAGCTGCATTTAAAGCAGCCTTGATAGACTTTTCCCTGGGCTCAAAACAAGAAAAAAAAAAGAGCATGAAACACTTTTCAGTCACACTTCATATATCTGCCAAGACAAAGATTCGTCACTGAGTGTATTTAATACTCCTCAATTTCACTTTTACAAGATTTACCTAAAACCACGTTTGTGTAAATTTTATAAACTGTACTGTGCACAGAATTCTATTATGGGCATGTAAGAGGCCAAACCCTGATGGTTACTCACGCAGAGAAAAACCGAACGCTACACTAAGGAAGGTGGTTTGGGAGCCTGAATTCACTACATCTTGACAAAACAGAATGAACATAAGTGCATTGACTGGATGCACTAGGCGATTTACTCACGGCTCGAACTCGCAGCAGCTGAGATGTGACTGACTGCAGCTCATCACTGTAGTGTTTCAGCTCGGTGAACCGCCTGCAAGTCGCAGAGGAGTGTGTTCACAGAAAAGTGTGCTTAAGCATGCCAGTCCACGGCGAGCACGTCTCTGAGTGAGGCCGCAAGAGTTGGCAGAGAGGATATGGGCCCCGAGGGGGAATTACAACTGTGACTTACTTGTCAGGGTTCTTTACTCTGAATGTAGCGTTTAGGGCCTTCAGTCTTGAATCAGCCTGCAGAGCAAGAAATAAAAAATACATATATCAACAATATTCAAAACTAAAATGTCTTTTGGCCCATAAGCTTCTATGTGTTATTACAGTGGTTTCAAAATACCCTTGTGCCTTTTGTAAGGAGGAAGAGTAATTAATTGTTAAGTCTAAATGTTTATTTACACAAGAAAATTGAAGTTTTCTTGGGACTGGATACAAATTCACAACTGTTTACACAAACTGAAGTCACTGTGATAACCAGAAGAAATGGCTCTCGCTCTTACATACATGGAGTGAGCCCACCGCAAGACGTTTGCTTCAGTTTAGTTAAATTGTATAGACCCCACCCATCAAAGCACTTAAGGACCAAATGTCCCCACAATGTAGTAAAACCTGTTCCTTTTTTAGCTTGTGAGGACATTTTTCAATATTAACCTCAATTTTATATATAAAAAAAAATATCTGTAAATGCACTCAAAAAACTAGCCAAAAGTCTTATATTATGTTTGCTTACTTTAAGTTAGGGCTGGGTAAGTCTTAGGGTTATCATAGTCCCCACAATGACAGGAATATATAAACTGTGTGTATGTGTATGTGTATGTGTGTGTGTGTGTGTGTGTGTATATGTGTGTGTGTGTACTCCAGCCCCGTGTTGCAGGGGACCGGCTCCAGGTTCCTGCTCACCAGAATAAATAACTGGAAGATGGATGGAAAAAACCCAAAAGACAGAAGGGAGGAAATGAGACTTTCCAGAGGTGCAGGCAAGGGCATGATGACATTCTGCACCTCAGTCAGTGTTAGCAGGAACAGGAAGGGCTTCCCCCAGTGGGCTGCCAGTGAGGCAAAATTATGAGATGGAACCACAAGGCTGCTGTACCTTTGGCTGGAAGCCAGTCTCCATTACCTCTTCCTTCCATCCATTTTCCTGTGAGGAAGACAAAAAGAGTTGTTTTATTTTAATTCAAAAAGGGCATTCCAGGTAAACTATCAGCCATCATAAGCTCTATGCAACAATGCAGCTAACACAAAACATTTAAAATGCCAGTCTTTGGTTAGCATATAACTGACAACGGCTGGTCTTTTTCTGATTCAAATGGATGAGAATTTTTTTTTTTGTTAATATACATACACACGAGAAAAAGATGCAAAACAGCACTGTTAAAGAATACAGATGATGTTAATTTAGCCGGCCTGCGCTAATCTCAATGATTCTGGCTCAGCACCCACATCCTGCAAACCACAAGCGGTAAGGGGAACAGTAACAAACTTCAGCGCAAGCTGGGGTCGATCTTCTGACGTACATTCAGTTGCAAAGGAAATGGCAGCTTGATCACTGGGCGGTCGTGAGACTGAGGCAGATACCTCTGTGAGGAAATCGTAGAAGATTTTGTCATTGGACAGGATCGGGTGGGAAGCCACACGGAGCAGGAAGTTCTCCAGGCCAATTCTCCTCCTTTCCACAAAGTCTGGATCCATGTTATCAGCCGATAACTTATGCCAAACAAACTCTGCCTGCAGGAGAACAACAGAGAAAAGAAGCCAGTTTGTAAACCCAAATACTGGCAGAAGTGGTAATATCTCCACGGACGCTTATTACACGTCAGAGTCAAGGTCAGAGACACAAACCAAACTTTGAGCATTTCAATTAATCACAGAGTTGCCACAATGTCTCAGTTCACACATGAGAATAATAATGATTCTCTCCATAGACACTGTCCATAACATGCCATTTCATCATACACACATGCTAACATTTGTTAAAAAATATTGCATGACACTCTTACTGGCAATTACTAGGGCTCAATAAAAAAAAATAGTGCACATATAGTTTGCTTTGAGGATTAATTTTAATAAAGGCTGATAAGGATGCAGTCATGCAGCCTGATTTAGACCGAAGTTTGCACCTACCCTCTTCTCCGGCAGTGGGGGCACGATCACAAACGGATAGGTGACTAATAAATAGTTCCTCAGAAGCTCAAATTCACTGTAGCGCCTCCACAAGGAGTCTGGGGAGAAGTTCTGGTTTTCAGCCGAAGAATCAACCCGCCTGTCACAAGCAGAGGATTAGGGAGACACGTCAACTTTTACACAGTGATGAAAGGAAACGTGTAAGAAAAATCAACAGTGGAGGAAACAGAAATGGGAAAGCAGACCAAATATTGACTGGTATATCGCACAAGTGACGTGATTCAATTCAGTTTCATCTTTATATAGCGCCTTTCAGAAGTCCCTCCAATGGCACGTGACATGGGTGTGCGAGAGTTCATTAGTACATCATTTATACAGAAAACTGCATGAAATAGGGAAAAAGGGAAGACAGAAAGAACGAATGCAAGAAAGAAAGCCTGAAGACAAAAGAGAAGAAAATATGACAAGTTCAGCTGGTATGCTACAGATATCTCTAGGCAATATTTCATCACCTAAATAACTAGCCATCTGTTGTAGCCAAGGATTCCAAAATGAATTTAAACTGAACAAAATAAAAAGGACTGAAATTCTCCCTTAAAAAAAATAACAGCTATATTATTTAGAGTTAAAAACACACCCATTCACAAACCTAGGGAATTCTTTGGAAATCTATGAATCAATTTGATTTGGATAGGCGCTGAAATTTCCGGTTCCCATAATGTATTAATTATCCAACGCCTATCACTGTCTTCATTAATCCATTTCAAAACACACTGCAACTATCAATAGCATATTTAGGAAACGAGTTTAGTTTGATTAACCACAATCACATTGCTTAAGCAACCAGACAAATGCCTCTGCACCCATTTGCGCAAGTGAATTTCTATTTAAAGACGTCTTTACTTACAAAACAAAGCATAACTACACTGAAGTCTGTTAAAGTAACACGATCCAAGAAGGACCACGCCTAAGTCACACGCTCGTTCTGTACAGGTGAATGAGTGAGGTGCGGCTGATATGCTATAATACGAATTAAAATATATATCCTAAAGCCACAGGTTATGCAGGCTGAAAATATCGAAACATTTGATTTAATGAAACACATGATAAAACTTAAGCAGGGACTCTGAAAATCGAGGGATAGAAATGCCAAAGAAAACGGGAATGCTTCCAATTCTGACTGTGTAGCCATTCTGAGCACGACCAGTGTCGCATTTTTCACTGCACTGCGTTCCACCATCGCCTCAAACCAAAGACATGAACTGCTGCAACACTTGATTTGCCGAAGTATGTATTCAGCACCTGGCGAGTCACAAGTCCTCCGCGGAGTCCCTGTGCTAATCATCGGTGCTGCGATCCTGCTGGGGGGCTTTCTGGGCTCTCCCCTCCAGTAGGCCCACGGTAAACGAAGACCAGACATGTGTGCATGTAATAACTGTTCCCAACTCCGAGAAAGGAAATAAAAAAAAATAGAAAACATGTGTTTTCTTTTAAGGAGTCCAGCTATATGGGGCCAAGCAGCTTATTCTGGTAACAAAAGACTGGAGCTGCAGAATAAAACCTGAAGAGTAAAGAACACAAGGACACTGTACATTACCCCCCAAGATGGATAGCAGACCATCATTTTCACTGGCTGATAACATACTGATGGACACTAAAAACAACTTACAGAAATGCTGAGTGAAATAGCCATCAAGATGTGCAGCTTAAACCAGTGTCTGCCAACCCAGTCCTCCAGAACCCCCAGACTGTCCACATTTTTGCTCCCTCCCAGCTCTCAGACGATCAAAAACACTGAATACCTGGAACAGGTGTATTGGAAGCTGGGAATGAAAAAAATGTGGACTGTCTGTAATTTCCAGAGGACTGGGTTGGGAAACACTAACTTAAACCACCAGGAACCTGGACATTAAGCACTGCTAGGACATCAAAGCAATCACCCTCAACAGGTTAACAGGGCAGGGCTAAACTGCTGTACAAACACGGGATCTTCTGATGTATAAGGAACTTCCTGATCAGCGTCGAGCATCAAGGCTCCACAATCACAACATGTCAGCTGCAGGTCACATTCACCTTGCCACGTTACTGGTGGATTTGGGAAGGCATGACACACAACTGGAGAAGTGAGTGTGACAGAGCTTAGCCGAACTGAGAACTACACAAGAAGTGCACCGTACATATATTTGCATACTAAGACAGGTGTCTGAAAGCAGTTCTGAGGTAGGGCTTACAAATCATGACATAAATTGACCAAAAATCTTATTCAAAAACCTTGAACGGAGCATGAAACACCTCGTACTTCTGTGACATATATTTAGGACCCCCAACTCTGAACTGCACCCTCAAAAATGAAAGGAATTCCAAAGGTAACACTTGATTATAAAAAACACCTGGGTGAACAGACAAGGTAGCTATAGTACTTCAGTGTGTTTGGAACCCTGAGTAAAGTCCCACCTTTACTGTATAAAAAATTTGGTAACAAGCGATCAGTAAAACACTGCACAGGCTCCCACGGCGTTTTGAAGGGTCCCACCACCAGGGGGGGCTTCACCTTGTTTCAATCAGGTACACCGTATAAGTCTCCAGCATGTTCACTGCATTCTTCCCTGTTCGCTTCTCCGCTTCGGCCACGCTTATCTCCATCTTCCTCAACAGGCTTCTGGCTTCTTCAGGGATCTGGGAGGTTGACAGTACAATCGGAAAACTCTCAACTGGCCAGAGTGACCAGAAACCACCACAGCAATTTCAACATGTACAACAAACCTGGACATTCACATAATATTTGTGTTATATTACAGGACCATATTCATTGGCTACATTTATTTACAAGTGTCCTTGGAAAGTAGACGTTAGTATTAGTATTAGTTAGTGTTCACTGATATGGTTTCATTTATCTGTGGGTTGTGCTTGGAGTATTAATTGTGTCTATATGCTTAAGAAACATAATACCAAGGCTGCCAGCTTTGGTCGGCTGGCTGGCATGACACATGCACACTCATTTACATGTATGTAACAGCTTTATTGGCTTGTAAATAGTCTATAACAACCTACGCTTAAAACATCATATTTTAACATGTCTAACAAAACGAATGCACTGATTTTAAATTGAAAGTATCTAGTAAGACACTGCACTGGTACTCAGATAGGCAGCTTATCAGTCCAGAAGAACTGGTCACAATTCATTGCCGAATAAATGAACTGCAAGACACGCAAAAGGATGGATTTTCCTAGTTTATTCACTATATAAATTATTGTATTTCATTAATTACTAACGTGTACATAAACTGATAGGACTCAACCTGTGTGCGAACATGATAGTGATGTAGGAACTAATGGTGAAAATGACGATAATAATGAGACGGAGACGACGCCGGAAAAGTTAGTTTGGCGTTATACGATTCACACCTGCACCACAAACGATTAGACGAGTGATTATGGCAATTGCCGGGAGATAAACTACCCTTCAGCTGTGAAACTGACGCCAGGAGCCGAAAAGAGTACCGCGGGCGCCGCATAACCCATTTACGCAACGCCGTGGACAGGGGCGGCCTGTCCCGACCTGCGGCTCATGTAACGTGCAGCCACTCGATTTTCGGCCCAAAGCCCGGAGCTTTCCGAATATGTACGCGTGCGGACACATTACCACGTCGCCCAATTCGCCTTTTGGGTCATTGCTGGAAAGCTGAGCTGCCTCTGGGCCGCCGGAATCCGCCATCGTAGCCTAGCGTCCGACGAGTCACGTGATCTCCGCGGAGCGTCTGCGGAGTCCGTCCGGTCGGCTTCAGCGCAACGTCTGCGGAGTCCGTCTCGTCCGTTTCAGTGCAGCCTCTACGCTTCCAGATTCACTTGAGCTTCTGCTCGACTTCTCTCTCCTCTTCCAGATCTGGCTCCTTTCGCATGCAGCTTCAGCTGAGTTTTCCCTTTTTGATTCCAGTGCAATTAGGCTTTCCTTTCCTGGCGATGCCAATAGCGTAGGAGGCTGCAGAGGCCAAAATGTTTAACACAGGACGTCACTCCTGATTACCCATGATTCTTATTTTATTTAGTTGCGTGCCCCACATAGAATTGCAAATACAACGTACAGTACACGAGTGTACGAGATCACATATTTTGCGAGTCCTGTAATGATAATTTTCAATACTTATTAATCTGTTGATTTTTAATTCTAATGAAAGAATTACTATTTCTCTGGGCACTGGTATCCTGCAGTTATTAGGACGCAACTGAATGTACTTATTGATAATTTGATAAGGTTGATATTAGTTTCACAGGGTATTTGAAGAACATTTGAAGAGTATAATGACAATTCATTGCTTTGTAAACTGTTCTGGTGTTTGGTTTTTGTAAATGAGAAGAAAATGAAATTGCATCATGTAGGATATCAATGAAGAACTGCAAAAGGGAGCAAATTTTGATGTTTTGTCGTGGAAAATGTTAAAAAAAATTACTGTGTTCTGTAGGCCTAAATAAGAATAAAAGTATTACTCGGCAGTGAGTAGGAAAGTAGCGCAAGTTTCCTGGGCGGCCCCTGTTTCACAGCAGGATTGAAAACATCTGGATCCGCCTACACGAAACCAAAACCCCCGAAATCCAAACAGCCCCTTTTCCATGAAATATAACTTTAAGTCGTGTGTACTTGCCTCCTGGACACACATTCGGAAGCAGATAAAATTATTAAAAGTAGACTAACTTCGGACGCATCGGTGTGCTACTTTTTATAACCTGAATATGGGGTGCCGGACTTTTTCCTCGGTAACATCCGTTCTGCTAGTATTTTTCTGTGAGTATTTGATCGCTTCCTAATTCCGTCTCCACTTTTTAAGGGGCCATTGTTTCCACTAGCTATTTGCTGAAGAGCCATAAGCATTGCACTTGAATTTACGCTAAACCTTAAAAACGTTATCATAGATATAGGCTATATCTCGAAAATACACAATCCGCTGAGTTTTCCATTTATTTTGCGGCAAATCCAGGCGTTTCAATATAATTGATTTCTGCCCCAGTTACACGATAAGATAGACAAAATGCGAAGAATGCATCGCTGTTATCTTGTGTTTTCTTGGGATGTGTCGCTGCATGTGCAGCACTTACTGTACGTTAGAGAAACTGCTGTTCATTCACGCGCGATGTTGTAGCCTTACTAGTCTCTGAATTATTATTTGTATAGCATAACACGTCTGTTTATCCTTTTAATTTTTTCTCATGTAACAGCATTTCTAAAATTAATTCGTTTAATGAAGAAACTAAATGATCAAGCGATGACCTCTTTTACAGTTTTTGAAAAGATTAATATATTATGTTTTTTGAAAAAATAACACTTCAGTATGTAGCCTATGTATGTAGATGTATATGTTTGTACGTATGAATGTAATTGGTTATGCATACAAAAGTTTGAGATATTGGGTTTAAGAGAGACGTAGCGAACACTAGAATAAATAGCATTATTAGACAAAAATACCCCAGAGCTTTTACTCTTGAAATTATAGTTAGTGTGTTTTGTAAACAGTGATAAGATTAAAAATATTAAAATACTTGTACCTGACGACATCTTGTTTGTTTGTTTGTTTGTTTGTTTACCTATTTAGACCTGTTCATATCGTCTACATATATTTCTTGTGTAGTAGTTGCGGCCAGGAGTGGACTTACCATAAGGCAGGGGTAGGCAGCTGCCGGAGCCCCGGAGAACTAGGGGCCCCATGAAGACAGAATTTCCAGAGTTACATTTAAGGATATAGCATAATATAATCACTTAAACTATAGCAACATTTTAGACACAAAGCAACAAGAAGAAATTGGCCCAAAGATACAAGATGAACATTAGCCTACATCTCCCGTGTGTTTGACACTATCCCGCTAGAGTTGTAGACAACTTGTGAACAGATGTTGGCTGAACACAATTAAACGAACGTACGCAAAACTTCAAGAGTATACCTTAGCAAAAGTGAGAATAGATAAGCTTCTTAAATTTGACCGATCGATCCTCCGGCGCGATACTCGCCCCCACATCAACAAATACCACCGACTGCATTCCCGTCCCCACTCTGATCAGTATAGTATTACCGCTGGCATCCCGCGCTTTGATTAGAATATTATTGATGTTCCACTGTGAATAATTCCCTCTCGTTTCTCTTTCGGCTCCAAAAATGTCTCCAATGACGCACTTAGGGGCTCCCTACCCATGTCAATCTAGGCCCCCTAGAAAACTGAGTCTGCCCGCGTTTGTGGTAAAATATGTTGGAAGCAATGGAAAGTGAAGATTACCACTGCGATGCGTTTTAATCAGTTTCTTTTCGAGTCAGTAAATCTTTTGCTTTCAAATGAGCTGTGATTTTTGGGAGTTAGCGAAAAAAAAACATGGTTTTCTGAAATAAAAGAATATATATTTATTTAATAATAAATACCCAAACGCATTTGAAATAACCTATAGGCCTTTAATTTACTTTCTTTCTGGTAACCGCGTTTCCCACAGCCTGCAATATAATGGTCAAATGCTAACCTATACAATGGCGCTATTAATAATTTAGTAAAATATGAAAATAAGCGACTGAAACAGCGACCTTTTGCATTTTCCGGATTCTAAATGGTTTTATCTGCATGCATGGCACCGATGCTGAAGGGTGACCGCCTAGATTGTAACAAAGAATGATTCAAGTGGACTACATAATAGGTTATTTTTTGCCATGCGAGAGAGAATAGTCAGTAACAAATGTAACAACAAAAGTATTGTCCACCCCTCTCGGAGGTTTTCTAAATGAGTAACCGAATAGAGACGCGCAACAATTTTCTACAGTATGCTGTCTATTTACATTAAATAGCCTAATCCATCTTTCTGGCAGTTTGCACTTTCCAGAACGAGCAAATCTTCATCAAGCCAGACTATAAAATGTTAACTAACTACCGGTAATATCAGTGACAGTAGAGATGAGGGACAGCTCTTCGAAGCACGGCCATCTCGTTGAGTTTGTGTTTATTTATTCAGCTTTTGATGGGCATCCAGTGTGACCCTGACCCGCCCCGAACACAATGTAGCAATAAAAGCTCTAACGAGAGCACGTGCCACCTATTCGCTTCAATCTTCAGTCCCTGAAATTCAGCATTATAATTACAATTTCTCAAGTTGATTGCACGGATATTTACTTTTGACGTTATACATTTAGTTTTCTGTACACTCGATTGCTAAGAAGGATGTCCTTAGTGTAAGTCTGTAATCTTCATCCCCCCCTTCCCTTTGCACTACGTACGCTGGTCTGCATCATTGCCGTTAAGGCTACATTTACTCTATCCATTTCTTCTTTGTGTTCTTCTTGTATGCACTCGGCGTACGTCAGACGCGTCACGGGCTCGGGGCTGAAGTGCCGGATGAATCTAAACAATCCTTGACCAACTTATTTAGCTTAAATGTTGTAACATCTAACAGTTTCAGAATTTCACAAGTCACAACTGTCCTATTCCAAGGCTGTGTTTCCTAACACCTACGTAGCGCTCATCATAACTTTGGGGGGAGAGAGAGACAGAAAGAGAATTCAATATGATGACCCTCGGACACATTCGGTCTGATGTTTTAAGACCCTGCAACACCCCTGATATGCATTGTTGCTCTATTCCCGGAAGAAATTTTAAAAAAAGGTTCACTGACATCACTGAATTTCCATAAAATTGTATGTATGTACTTTTATATTCATCCAGGCTGACAAACAGATATCGGTCACACGTTATGGCCGCCCGTATGCCTCCACTCGCAGTACTTCCCCAGAGAGGAGGGGAGGGGCACAGCTCGAGACTTGGCTCTGCTCAGCCCTTCTGGCTCTCATTTAATCTTGGAGCGGTCAGTCACTGCTGATCTTCATTACTTCAAAGTGGAGGGGGATCTTTTCTGCTTATCCTGCCTTTAATTTACCCCTCCGCTTTCACTGTTATTCCCATGAGGGCGTTTTCATGGCTGGTATTGGTTAGCAATTGGAGGCTTTTCAGAAATTTGTGCACAGTATTCCGTTTATTGTTTACGCAGCTTTGAATCGCTGTATTTCTCATGAACAAAGTTGTCATATGTTTTTTATTGGTCATTAATATGTTGTGAAGGGACATTTTTTAAGGAGACTGGATATTAAAAGACTGGAGAAAATTGCCCTGTCTGTCTCTATCTCGATTTCTCTCTTGATTTCTCTCTCTGTCTCCTTCTCTCTCTCTCTCGCTCTCTCTCTCTCTCTCTCACACACACACACACACACACACATACACATGTTGGTCTACCTATCTAAATGGGGACCATCCATTAATTTCTATGGGAAAAACCCTAATCCCAATCACGACGTCCTTACCCCCTACCCATCCCTAACCTTAACCATAAGTAACCAACCAAAATACAATTTTTACTTTTTTGATTGCATTCACAGATTTTTATAAAACTGAGGTTATCCAAATGGGGACCTCAAAAGATGTCCCCAAAAGTAGGGAAATTTCAGGTTTTACGGCACTTTACTACACACACCCTAACAACATTGTTGAAATGTCAACATGTAACATACATCCATACCTACACATGAGACTGGGAGGCCTAGGCAAAAAAACTCTATAGGCCCCCCAACTCCACCTCCCCCACCATGGAAACATTTATTACCTTTATTTTACTGTGAAATGTAATTTAATAATATAATCAAAGGATTTAATAAACAAAATTCCTTTTTTTTCCATTTTACTGTGAGAAACAGAATATACAAATAAAGCAGATTTGTCGTTGCAATGTACTGTGTAATCATCCTCCCTGGGGAGCTTCGGGTAATCGCCTGCCCTGCATGTCCTGTCCCTACGCCTCTGCATATTAATCACAGCAAGAGTTGTTTGCAATGATGATTCAAGGCAAGAGTGCCAGACTCGAATCAAGCACGCAGGCTTGATTATTTGGTTTTGTTTTTTTAATCATTCGTTCAGCTGTGCACTGGCAAGCAAACACCCATCTGCCCTCCTTGAGAACCGCAATCTGTGTCCCTGTCCCTCAGGTTCCCGAGTGCTGGCGTTCAGCAACATAAAGACCAACGTCTGCAAATGGTGCGACCACTCCAGCCCCGAGTGCGAGGGCACCGTGTGCTCCAGCAACTGCTCCTTCAGCACCTACTGTGAGCTGTCTGAGGAAATCTGTGTGGCTGTGTGGTACGTCTAAGAACATATCCTGTAATATTTCATCTGGTGTAACAATGTATCAAAAATGATATTATGCTATTGTCAGTGGAATATCTGATAGATGAAGTTGATTTTATTTCAGTTCAGGTTCCCTCATGGGCGTGAATTACAAAATGTGTGGAGGCTTCAGCCCCCCCAATGTTCAACCCAAAGTTACACCATAGGGATCATGGTATTATAGTATTGTTATGCCCCTCCTACTGCTCACAGCACGGACGTGACTGCAGATCTACATGATAAGATTTGCCTGAATGACAAATGACACAGACATGTTTTTCATCCTTTCAGTGTTTTTATTGCAAACTCATAGTCTTCACCTTGATGGTGCGGTAGACAGCTTCCTTTGTTTGGTGAACACCTGATCTTTCGTTCAGTTTCAGGTGACCCTTTTCAAATGTGTGCCGTTTGCACGTGACTAAGTTTAAAAGTGTGACTCTGTCTTGGGGGGGGGGGGGTCCCAGGAAACAGGACAATGTCAGTGTCAGCGTGCGGACATTATGCCACCACCCCCAGATGCCCATCGAGCGTGTCCTGATCTCCAACTACTCCACCACCCAATGTGTGATGGTGGCCCAGCCATCAGAAGAGGGCAGCACATACATCTGTGGCTGCACCAGTGAGCAGGAGTGTAACGACATGCTCATATTTGACAAGGGATCCAACGGTAATCGGCCCTCCTGAACCCTGTCACCACAGTTTATCAGGGACACAGGCAGGATTCCATTAGTCTTGATCCTTCTGTGTCTCCAGCCTAGATATACTTTACTGATGCGTGGAGCCACTTGTTCAGATATGACAGTCAGATGAAGGACAGACCCTGCATTGCTTTTCTCCTGTCTGTGAAAGATGTGAAATTACCAAGATGTTTGAGGTCCATCAAAAGCAAATTTGATACTATACCTATGAAGCTCTAAAAGTGCCCATAGACAGTGGGCACTGCACCACATTTGTTTAGATTCTGAACAGCTGGTTTCGTGGAGTTCTGCTTCATGCTCTCACGTGTACGTCTTTGGGTTCTTAGGCCTCTTGAAGCTCCCGAGTAAGGATGTCATACCAGTGGTGGTGATCAGTCTGCTCCCACTCCTCCTGGTGGCCATAATCGTCACTATGACCTTCTACTTCTACCGCACACGGAAGTCAGCCAAGCAGCCCAAAGATTGGGCCCCCAAACGGACCCGCTACCAGTCGCTGGACCCCCCCGAGGGTCGGAGCAGGGGAAGTCCCCAGGGCAAGCTGTTGGCCGTGACCGGGGATTCCTCACCCGGCGACGCTGACGGTGCGGATGTGAGCGTGGAGCTTCTGCCGATCACACTTGAAGAGATGGTAGGGAAGGGACGATTCGCGGAGGTATGGCGGGCTCGACTCGGCCACAGTGCCAGGAGCCAGTATGAGACGGTGGCCGTCAAAATCTTCCCGGCAGAGGAGTACAACTCCTGGCAGAATGAGCGGGCCATTTTCTCTGACCCTGACCTGAAGCACGAGAACGTGGTGCAGTTGCTGACAGCAGAAGAGAGGGGGGGTGGCCCCTGTTCTCCTCACAGAGAATACTGGCTCATCACAGCCTACCACGACTTGGGCAACCTGCAGGACTTCTTGGTGGGCCATGTGCTAAGCTGGGCGGAGCTGCACGCCATGGCCGGATCTGTGGCACAGGGCCTGGCCCATCTGCACAGTGACACCACGCCCTGCGGCTCACCCAAAGTACCCGTGGCTCACCGGGACCTGAAGACCAGCAACATCGTGGTGAAAAACCAAAAGGAGTGTGCGCTGTGCGACTTTGGGCTGGCGCTCAGGCTTGACGTCCTGCTCACCGTGGACGACGTCGCCAACAGTGGCCAGGTATTTGGTGTAGGCCTCCCCCCAAACACTCTTTCATCGCATGCGTCAATGCGAGTTTGTGGCTAATCATCTAAAGACTTAATAGATGTTTGACGTTGCTCATTCATTATTTCAATAAAATCATTCCCTTAAGATACTCCTACTATATTCTGCTCCTCTAACAGCTTGTAATACACCATATGCCCACCCCCCATTTAAATCTGGCCCTCGATTCCAAATCCAGGCCGTGTTTTCAGTTCCCCCAGAGAATTTAATAATTGCTGATTTTGATTGGCCAGTGGCTTCACACCTGGCTCACAGATAAAGGAAGGCTAGAAAATCAGCAGTGCTCAGCCTCCGAGGACCGTGAGTTGAATAGCTCTGGCATATGCTATCCTGTATCAGCCTGTTGGTCTTTTTTCACTGACCACCAGGTGGGGACAGCACGCTACATGGCTCCAGAAGTTTTGGAGTCCAGGGTAAACCTTGAGGATCTGGAGGCCTTCAAACAGATAGATGTCTACTCCTTGGCCTTAGTGCTCTGGGAAATGGTCTCTCGCTGTGATGCAATTGGAGGTAAGGTGTTTTTTTGGTCAGTTTCCTTATTTCGTAATTAACTGAGAGGTTAAGTGGACAGTTCAGGTCCAGAAAGTAAAAAAAAAACAGACCAAGATTTTATTTCAACCAAACAACTGAGTACTCCATGATTGTGACTCTTTATACTCAATTGGCTGTTTGAAACAAAACCTTGGTGTGGATTTTTACTTTCTGGATCTTGAACTAGCCACCTCTGTCCGCAGCAGTGTTTGCAGAAGTTCAAGAGAACGTTGCAGGGCTGCCTTCAGCGTTATGCCAGGTTCCCCGATTTCCATGGCAGCTTCCTCAGTAGCGAGTCACCTGCTGTCGTTTTTTGCAGAGGTGAAGAGCTACGAGCCGCCCTTCAGGTCCAAAGTATGTGAGCAGCCATGTGTGGAGAGCATGAGGGACCTTGTGTTACGCGACAGAGGTCGGCCAGATATCCCTGCCAGCTGGACCACACACCAGGTACATCCCCCGTGAAGCTGGCCTCTGTCCCGTGACAAAGTTAATAATGTTTCATAGAATGGATTTATAAACACAACCAAATAATTAACATCTTTTCCCCACAGACGTATAACATTCAAAGCAAAACCAATTCCCGATTGGAAAGAAAAATATTCTGTAATTGGACTGTATTTAAAAGCTCCATGACTGCCACCACTGTAGACCTGACCATCTCCTGACCTTCTCTGTAGGGGATGAAGCTTTTATGTTCTACCATCGTTGAATGCTGGGACCACGATCCTGAAGCCAGGCTGACTGCACAGTGTGTGGTGGAGCGCTTTAACAGTATGGGTGAAGAGGACGGCGGCCAGGATCTGCTCAACAACAACCAACAGCCTCCACCTGCCTCTTGCTTTCAAAGCCTGGGCCACATCACACCATCCACCTCTTCCGTCACGGATCCCCCCACAGCGGTCACAGAGGTGTGAGGCATTACCCAGGCAGCTGAGGGAGCTGTCTGACAGACTGAAATTCAGGCTAAGTACTGTTTAAGGAGCTGGTCTCCATCCAAGATCCACATTACCCTGCAATCGATCCTCCTGAAGGCACCTAAGATCCTTCTTCTGCAAAGCAGAGTTATATGCTGAGAACAACAGCGAGAAGTAAACAGGAAATTGGAGAGGCTTCTCAAAAGTCTGTCATATATTCATTTTCACTGTACCGTCCCAACAGTTAGCAAATATTTTCTAGAAACACTGCCAGCACTGTGAATTGTTATGGTCTTGCTTTGGGCACGTGGCCTAGATCTGGGTGGTCTTGTGCACCCAACCAGTACTGGTCTCCTAGAAACAAGGAACTGATTCAGTGTGATCAGCCCAGATTTAAAGAAAAAATCCAGCCCACTGGTGACAAGCCAGCTGAGATACCTGGGGTGGTTCCTTTATTTTTTTTAATGTTTATACGATCACTTTATATTCTAGTCAAGCCTTTTGGTTTCGAGAATTTGCAGGCAGTCATTTAATTTCTGCACTGCTTAGAAGTTTGAAGATTATCTGGTTAAACTGCAATCCCAGCATGTGTTTAAAACACATGTCTTTATTTAGGAAGCCATAACTGCCAGAAATAATTGCAAAAAGATGCAAACGCTTCCCAGAGATCCCTGGCTGTGTGTGGTGTGACACTGTATACATTTTCATGCGATTAAACCCATCATTAAGACATTGTAGGTACTTAGTACAAGAATCTCCACAATGATATGAAAGATTTTAAAGCTTTATTTACCTTAGTTCTTCCATATGGAAGAAAATGTATGAAATCCATAATAAGCATGAAAGAAAGCTTATTAGAAAATGCTGTAATTAGCACTTACCCTCTAATCACTGTTGTAAGCAGTCAAGCTAAATTTATCTGTTGGAATAACTTGCTCGCAAGTAAAAAGACCAAATGGTCACAAAGTAAAAAGATTTCCTCTATGACCACATTTTATGGAGGGAGCAGACAATCCCCAGATGACTATGGCCTAAAATCAGACTCACCACAATCTACCTTGAATTTCACTACCTGAATACCAGAACCTGAATTAAAGATACTGAAATTGAATTCATTACCTGAGCATAAAAATTCAAGTTCAGGTTGTAAAATTCAGCTGTAAAATTGACCTGTTTTGTGATTGACCATGATTGTACTTAATTAGTTCTTTCTGAGTATTGCAGATGTTTTCTGAACCTGAATTTTACAACCTGAATCTCACAACCCGAACTTGAATTTTTATAACCACACAAGCAACAAAATTCCAAGTTCAGTAAATGAATTATAGAATCTGGATCTGAAATCTGAATTTAAGTTCAGGTAAAGGTATTTAAAATCAGATTCTAGTATTCAGGTAATGAAATCTAAGTTCAGATTAACACATTCAAATTCAGGTAAATAAATTCAAATTCAGGTTGTGGTGAGTCTGTTTGACTATATAGATGTGACCTGCACCATCTTTGCATATTTAAAAGCATACAATTGTACTGAATGATCATGTGCTCATAAGCACACAAGAGATCCTATAGAACCCTATTATTCAAATCACGGTCCTTGAGGTTCGAGCCCTGCTGGTTTTCCAGCCTTCCTTTACCTGTGAGCCAGGTGTGAAGCCTCTGACCAATCAGAATCAGTAATTATTAAACCAACTACCTGGGAGAACTGAAAACAAGGCCTGGATTTGGAATTGGTCCAGATTTGAAGAGTCCTGCTATAGAAGGTTTACTTAGAAAAATAAAGTCGTGAAATGTGTTGGGGTTTTAATTTACGTTAATATTCCCAGATGAGAAATTTAACCGTGTTGCCTGGAGTCATGTATGTTTAGGTGTTATGATTCTGCATCAACCTTTTTCAGTGAGTATCAGTTAAAAGATGTTCTACATTTATCATGGTGTTAAATGTGTGTTAAAAATACTGAGACAACTCTGAAATAAACAAATTGATTAGTAGTTATTTATTCATTCATTAACACACTTATCTACGTCTACAAGGAGTTACCATTAAATTGCATGTCAGTGCATTTCACAGGTCAATGTGTACAGAATCCATCCACAATGTAGCTCATGAGGCCCCCCCGGGGGGGCTTCCTGTGGGCAGCCATCTTCATCACCCTGAGCGGGTTCCCTCGGCCCCACCGGATTCAACGGATCGCAGAGCAGACAGCCGGGCCGTCTTTTCAGGGATCGAGTAAACCGTCAGAATACCATAGTACAGTATGTGCATATAAGCCATTCACAGCGATGACTGGTACTTGAGACGGCTTGAAGATGAAGGCGAAATGGAAGACGCATCCAGAACAACAACGTAGCTTAAGGCACCACACTGAATAGGGGAAAGCTTATGGATTTAGAGCAAACACACATGTGCAGAATTGACTGTCGGTCAGGGAATAAGAATTTGATTGCTGGGCTGAGAGGCTGAGCACTGATTCTCTCCTGTCCACACTGGTGGACGTTCTTACTGTACAGGAGATGCAGGAATTTAGTGAAGAGATGGGGCTTGAACAGAGGAAAGATCTATGGCCATAACCTTCTTATCCGCGCTTCTCCTCCCATTGAGCTGCGTGTCCTACAGTTCAGCCCGTCAACCGTTCCGATTCCTGCGTCTTGTACGACGGCATGTCTGACTGATGGACAAAAACGCCGCAGTTGAGTCAAATCCCAGTTAAGCCACTCAAATACGAATCAGCCGGCAGGTTTCTCAAGCTACATAGTTTCTCAGAAGACTCACCATGTCCCCACCTATCCCTCAAAACTCATTTGTCCTTGGAATGGTCACAAACAAGCTACAGAGAAGACCCCTCCCCCCACCATCAGATAAACATTAGAAATCAAACGAGGGCTCGTCACACATTAGAAACCAGTGACGATGCCATAGCCTACAATCAGCATTTAATGGGGCACTCTGAGGAGAGCTACATGCTTTTCAGCCTTTACCCCCGAGTGCACCGCACGATGCCCGTCGGGTTGACATGGACATTATTGCTACCGTGAGAAAACCAACCTGCACATTCCCAATTATGAGGATGTGACCGGTATTGGCCACATCCAGCCTGCACCTGGACTCCTACAGAAACGCTCAGGTAGTGTTTCCATGAAGGTCATTAAACTCCTGTGTTGTATAGTTAAACTGTTCTAGGAAATGGGGTGGGGGTGAGGTACAATTGCACTGCAGGCCTGGACTTCTAAAGGTAATGGCGTCACGTGCTCCAGCTCCCTGATAAGATAACACCTTGTCCAGATCCCCGATCCAAGCCAGACCTGATCAAATGCTCTACTGCCAGCGTCCGTCTGTAGTAAGGCAGCATCAGTGGAGAACCTATATTTACAATAGTACACATACGATCCATAGACCATTAAAACGCTATTTTTTTTTTTTTTTTACAAAAGTATCAATCAAACGTTACAAAATATGCATCTTTCCAGGCCGCCTAAACGCTCCGAGAGGTGACGTACATGTGCCCGTCTCTCTCCGCTCAAGGCGCGAGCTGCTAGCATATTTCGCGAACAGAGGAGGTTTGCCATAACCGTCGGAAAACAGAAAGAACCACTTGCGGCTATCGGCTGAGTCTCGGGGCACGGAGGGAGCGGTGGACCGGCTGTTCCTCAGAGGTCAGTGCCGACGGATCTCCATAGCGGATTGTGATACACCCAGCCGTCGCCCTGCGGGGAGAAGAGATGAGGTGTTGTGACCGTGCATGTACGATACAGTGCCAGTCACCTAACGAAAATCTTTTTTTTTTTTCCCCAACAAGATAATGACCCCAAGCAAACACTGACATTACATAAGTACTGTAATATCTTGTGAACAAGGAAAGAGATGCTGTGACAGATGACCCGGTCCCCACAATCCCCCAACCTAAACCCTGTACACCTGATTTGGGATGTGTTGGATCAAAAGAGTAAGAGCGAGGCAGTCAATATGTACACAGAACTTGTGGAACCTCCTTCAGGACTGTAGGAGAAGCTTTCCAGGTGGCTACATCTGGAAGCTGGTTGAAAGAAATGCCAAGAGTCTGCAATGCTGTCATCGAAGCAAAAAGGTGTTATTTTGAAGAGTCTAAAATGTGAGAAAATGTTAAGATGCTGATCACAGCCCTTGCTCGTGTCGATGTTTGATATGCATTACTTCAGGGCCTCAAAGCCATAGGCAAACGACATATCTAAAATAGAGACAAATGCATTAAAAGCAGGTGGGTCCAGACGTCTGACTGCTACTGTACATTAGCATCGTAGCACAAAAATACCATAAGGCGGATATTTTAATACATGCGGCCATTTAGACACATTTAGAAACAGGAGCTTACCTCACTGTGAAAGTACCTCGTCCTCCAAGCAGTCCGCGTCTCCACCCGACATCTCTCCTCGCTCCTCTGCCTCTCCTCCAGGAGGCGCTTGTGCTCCGTCGCCTTTTCGATGTCTTTGTGACGCAGCGCCTCCGTCACGTGCTGCCACAGGCGCCTGCAAGGAGCCACACGCGTCCGTTTCAGACCGTCCGCCCGTGCCTGTTGCCAGGGAGACCGCCTGTATGGCTCACAGCTGTACAGTGGATCAGTGGCCGGGACTGATCGCTTCCTCGAAACACTGAACTGATGCATGAACTTCACTGGGGCGTGCGAGGAGCAACACGTCTAGTGTTCAAAGAAGAATAGAATAGAACATAATAGAATAGGACACACTTTACTCATCCTTATGGGAATATGAGGATTTCACATGTCCTAACTTACACACATGCATAGGGAGGTCAGTAGGTTTTTGGCCCTAGGACACGGGAGAAAGCTACAGCTCCAGAATTAAACAAATCATCTAACTGGGAACCCCCAGCTACAGGCTGCCCCCTTACCTGGACTCGAAGGGCCCTTGCTGCTCGATGGGTCGTACCCACTTCCGGCTCACGGGCAGCTTGGTGACATCCACCGTGTGCGTGTCGCCGTTGACGTGGCTGAACTCCAGCGTGCCGTTCCACTCGCCCTGCACGCGGCACACCACCGCGTTGCTGGGGCCGTGCTTCACCTCGGCGGTGACCCTGAGGGCAGACCACACGTCACGGGAGGGTCGGCGCTGGCTCGCTTGCTCCCATCTCCGTTTACAGGGTTCAATGGGTCTCGGCTGCAGGCTGATACATTCTGAAGCCTGCAGGACCTCAGCTGATGACAAGAGCTCTACCTGAAGATCCTGTAGGAGGATCTACAGGTCGAGCTCTTGTCATCTCCGATCACAGATCATCTTCCTTTCAGGTCCACAGTCTTGGTGAAAGGTTGATTAGAGCTTTCACCCTCCCCTGCTGGCTAAAGCCCTCCTACACTGGCAGCCCAGCCTTTCTTCCCCAGACCTAGTGTCAGTGAACCAATTACGCCACTGCAAGGAGAGGGAATTCTGGGTAACGGTAACCACAGAAAGATAAACAGGCAAAAGCAGAACTAAAGGCACTCCTCTCACATTTGGTGCCGTTATGTGCTCTGCAGACTATGGTGCAAGGACTGCAAACGTGGCTGGGAGGAGACGGAAAACCGGCGCCACTGAGGAATCCGCTCAGTCTTTGCGGTTACCTGTGAAGCTTCCCTCCGTAAAAGGGCTTGGTCTGGAAGGTGATGGCCGCAGAGTAGCCCGTCTTGACGCAACTGACGTTTACCTTCCCGCCCAGCTCCACCCAGGGCACGGTGAGGATGGAGCGGGCGTAGGCCGAGGGAAGCGTGAAGGTGTACTCCTCGTCGTGATCGAGGAGGTACAGGCAGCCTGTGTGTGCGCACAGATCAGGGAGTCTCAGGGGACACGTCACGCCATGCGCTAACAGGGAATCAGAAAACCTGCAGGATTATGCCCGATGCAGCTCCGTATTTTCTTTTCTTATAATCGATTGAGGGTGATATTAATTGTTAGGACCTTTTAAAACTGCTGAAAATCAGAACATGGCACAAGCCCAGCTTTACCCGTGATACAGGTCTAGGGTCACCATTACCACAGACCTTATCAGCACTCCTGAGGTTTGGCTAGAAGTCAATCACTGAACAAAGGCATTCAAGAGCGACATGGCGTCTGGCCTCAAACCACAGACTGTTGCCACTGCCTTCCTCCAACATCTCCACGCAACAGAAAGAAGTGCATCCCCATATAATCTATAAACCCCGAATAACTTGCACTGATGTCTGCAGAGTCCCCAGACCCCAAAGAAATACATTCACACGATTCAGCTCAAAGGCTGCTCACTCTACTTCACCGTCTCATGTCAGGACTGATAGATATTTGTTTAGAACCAGGAACTCAAAGGTCAATTGATAGCCACCATTTGTGTGCAACTCCGGTTGGGTTAAACAGTTGATCTCTCTCTCAGACTTAGCGCTCCCTTTAGATTTTGCAGAACGTGGTCTGAACCAAATCGTTGACTCTTCAGATGCAGCACTGACACCTGGGGTCTATGACCCAAAACACCATCATCCCAAAAGCACAGCAGTACAAATTACTCAAGGAGTAGAAGAATCTACCTACCTTCGCCCACCATGGAGACCCCGATGGACATGCCCATGAACTTGCTCTTGGTCCAGACATGGGCGTTGACAGCCATCCTCCTCTCGGGACACTCTGCATAAAAGCCGGAGATGGGTGGATGGTGGGACACTTGCTCCGCCACAAATTGCACTTGGTAGAAGTCCGAAGACTCGGGAGCGCCGCCCTGAAGGTCGGCACGGGAGGCGCTCGTGCCGCTGAACTGGGAGCAGGGCAGCCGCCAGGAGCAGTGGAAGGTCTCGCCGATGATGGGGTTGTAAGGTTTCTTGGCGATGGCACCCTTCCGGGCCTCATGGAAGGAGGTGAGGTAATACTTGATGAAGCGCAACATGCGGTCCTCGGGGGTGCTGCCGTCCGCGATGGCCAAGAACAGGTCCGGGTGGGACAAGAAGTCAGCATACATCTCCAGCAGGGAACGCTTCTCCAGAATGAAGGTGGGCAGGACCACCTGCACGAACACAAGGGGCATCAGCAACGGTGCAGGAAGAGCTACACCCTAAACCGACCATTACTAGCGGCTGAACGGTGGAAACCGACAGCTTCGCCAACTGGAACTCGAAACGGCCATGGAACAGGGCCTACCCGGGTGAGGTCCATGCCCAGCTTGAGCTGAGATAGCAGGTGCAGAATGACACTGCGCTCCTCCTCGATCGCCCCCAGGTCATCCTCCTGATCTGTGAAAATGTCCTCCACCTCATCCTCAGGGTTTATGTCCTCCAAAGCCTGCGAGGAGAAGAGGTGCTTGTTACTCCCCAGTCACCTCACTGCATGTTCTTCTAGAACAAGTCCACCTGTGTGGTTATACAGCATATTAAGGAAGCAGCACCTTGGTGGAACCTCAGATAAAACAGCATCACACGTTCTTATACCCCTGACTGTCCAAGACACTGAGCTCTACAACTTGAAGTATAACCTTTGTTCATTCAAAAGAAGAAATCGGAAAAGGAAAAGACTCGGCATATAAATTAATTACGATGTGGAGACAGCTCGCTTCCACTGGCCATTTAAGGGAGGTGTCATACTTCAGTAAAGATGACACAGCTTGCGCAAGAGTCTTGACTAAAACATTCAAGAGGGGATTCCGGATTATTTTGCGATTAAACCTCGACCTTTAGATCGCGACTAGACCACTACCATGGGTTTTAAGCCGCTATTACAATCATATTAATCAGAGAGCCATTTACTATTTTGCTCCAACTGCATGGAGAACATCAATCATCATCCCCTTTACGGAATCCATAAACCTCCTAAAAAAGTTCTGAGCAACAGCTGTACGATGTGTAGTCCTACCCCGACACAATCCTGGGACTCTGCGGTGACACGCTCCAGTGCCCCCCCATCTGCTTTGCTGTCAGCCGCTGCCAAGCTGGGCAGACTGGTGCCATTCTTCAGCAGGTCCGGCAGCTTGGGCTCCAGCCACTCGATGGTGGGACCTGCCACACACAGGGTGTCGGACTCAGAATCGCTCATGCTCTGGGGCCCCGGTGCTCCTCAGAGAGGTAACGGCGCAGGGAAGAGGAGGAGGAGATGAGCGCGGTGTCAGTGACAGACGGTAAGCACACGGCCAGAACCTGAGCCACGGAGGGGAGGGGCCTGCATTAGAAAGGCCCCTCCCACCAAGCATATCGACTTTGTCTGCCCGAGTCTGCAGCCGCAAAGAAAGAGAAAAAAAAAACAAAAAAAAAAACAACAAACAATACAAACATATATAAACACACCAGCACAGAGTCTCCGCCCACAGCACAATGTAGTGCTCTGATTGGTGGATGCTCCACATGTTCCGTCACATGCTGTGCTGATGAAATATGAATGATGTGTAACAGGATTCTGCGAGACATCAAATTAAACAAAACCTTGTTTTATGTAACATACCCTAACTATAGGCTAGGGCATTATAAAGCAGGAACTAGCACATAGTCATACTCCGGGTGTGAATGGAAAAGCAAATCACCATGGAAACGACACCAGACAAGGGTAAGAGTTGCATGTGAGGAGCTCAGACGGGTGCACAGTTCAGAGGCGTCTGCCACTGTGCCCAGTGCCCCCCAACATCAACTCCGGTTACAGTGTCCAGCCTATGAACGTGGATACGTTTCCTCATCAATTATGTACCATTGTTCCATTGCTTTGCTCCAAGCGGCGTAATGGGGAGCCATACACCCTGGAAAATGCTGATAATTACTTACTATCAAGAGTAAATATAGTATGAAATTCCAAAAACGGACCAGACTCTGGTGATGTTAGAGGTTTTGTCATCACGCAAGATGAATTCCTGGCATGGAATGGCCTTTAACCCATGAAAGCCACAATTCAAGGCAGACCGACCCCATTCAGGACCCTCGGACACTCGGCTTATTAAGGTTTCAGTCGTCACTTTAGTGACCAGTTACAGATTCCCAAAAAAAAAAAAAAACCTCCGTTACATATGGGCTCCACAGCGGCCTCAAGCTGGCATCTAGTCAAGGCATCGGGAGAGAAGGTGGGGACTCTGGGCTAAAGGGGGTTTAAGTCACTCTACGGGGGGTGCGGGGGTCATCAATCATAAACTGTGTCTGGTACCAGATCAAAGCGGCGCCGGATAAGAAAAGTGCTGGACGGATTTGCAGTAGCTGACGTCCGAGCTTGAATTTCAGGAACGACGGGCTGCTTAAACTTTAATCGACGTAAAGGGAAGGCAAAGGCGGCCACATGCTAAGCAGGGTTAGCTCAGCGGAAACAGGCGACAGGGGAGTTTGAATGGAGTGGGGGGGGGGAAATGCGCTCACCGCCCGGGGGCCGCCTCTGTCGGGCAACCTGCTGCAGCTGCAGGATGTGGAAACAGTCGTTGAGGCAGTTCATAGTGGCCATGGATGTGGCCTTGAGCATGAGCAGGTCCTGGTCCAGCGGGGAGAGCCCGGGTGCTGCAGGCAGGCCCTCGATGGTCTGGATCAGGTCCTTGTGCTGGCCCTGTGCCTGGGTCATCATCTGCGCAGGGGAAGACAACGAGCCACCGGGGCCCAGCGGTGCATGAACGAAAAGGATGGCGCTGCCTGGCTCTCTATCAGGCTTCCAACTCCAGAGGAGTTGGCGTTAGACTTGGGGGGTGGGGGGGCTTCTTCACATGGAGTTATTTTTAAAGACTGCTGCTTGTTTGTTCTGAATTGGGGAGTATTAATCATATTCCGCCGTGGTAAATCAGAGCCTACCTCACGGGCGTCCACCAGGTGGTCGGGAAGCAGGGACCTCCTGCTGGAGCACAGGGAGGAGGCCCTGCTGAGCTGAGAGATGTTCAGAAAGGCGGCGGCGTTTTGCGTCGACCTGCGCTGGGACAGGGGCGAGTTGGCGCTGCCCTGGGAGGCCATGGAGAAGCTACGTGCCTTCAGAGAAGCATTGTTCTACATCGGCGCGCACAAACATGGGGGGGGGGTGCATGCACACGCATTAACGCACGGGGTGGGGGGACCATGCACGTACACACGCACACACACACACGCAGGAGTGTAACATGGATAGGAACATACACAGGCGAGGAGGTGCCGAACACACACATACACAACACAGTGACAAAATACCCGTTAACACACACGTCAAAACATGACCAAAAAAAGTTACAGAAGAGATGGGAAGGAGGAGGAGAATGGCCTCCTTCAGAAAGCAGTGTGAGCTGCGAGGTTACAGCAGCACGGCGGCCCAAACAGCCGTGGCGTGTAAAGGGGACGGGGAGCGTGGAGATATGCGGGAGAGCGCAGGGCTGATCTGCTTCTCTGCTGAGGTGTACAGCCATGAAGCTATTAAGCAGGGCCACTTAATGGCCGCCTGGACTTGGACCTCCACGCAGTAATGTGACCTGCGATGGCCCATCTGAATGCAACATCCTGTCCAAGAGAAGCATAAAACTCTCCCGCTTCAAGACACCATTTGTTAAAGAGCACCGATCCCAAGAGCCACTGCCATGCTTCACCCGCACCAAAGGCCGATTCATGGGCCGTTCCTCCGCGATGCGAAGGAACTGGCATCATGGATCAGCTGACAGCGGCTCCGAGCTCACAGTGGGGGTGTCAGAGGCACGGCGCGCAGTCTCACCTTCCCCATGGCCTCAGTGTGGTGTTGCGTGCAGATCTGCAGCCGGCTCACCCAATGCTGCCGCTCCTTAGCGTCGGTGGCTGTGGGGGAGGGCAGCCGGTCAGCAGTACCCTACCTGTGCCCTAGAGGGCGTCTTTACACAATGCACTCAGACACCCCTCTTCCCAAAAAACATAAATTAAAATAAAATAATAATAATAAAAAAGTCAGGACTGAAGTTACTTAGGTCAAATTAAAGGCATGCTAGCTTGCACTTAAAACTCAAGAGCTGAATCTGCAGTTTTCAGAAAATGTGTATTCAGGTGATGTGTCAAAGCATAACCCCCATCACTGTTTTTTGTCTCTTCCTATTTGTTTTGTCACTTCTATTTCTGTGCTGCAGCTGTACACGGCAGATGCTCTACTGCCAAATTAGCCAGCAGTTTTTGCTGTAATCGCCAAAAAAAATCCACCCAACACAAATCACCTGAACCACCCCCCCCCCCGACAACTGCGGCTGAGAAGCTCAGTGCTTCCTTATGGTTAACATGACGGGCAAGCTGACAGGTCTCTTAGCAGCCAGGGAAAGCCGGCACCCGCACCTCTCAGCTTGTACTGCTCTCCACTGATGGCGTTGACGGTGAAGGTGTGTGAATCCTCGTCGCTGGGGGAGATGACGGCCCCCCCCAGGGCGAGTGTCCCACGGGGTTTCTGGGGTCGGGACTGCTCATTCACAAAGTACTCCAGCACTCCTGCCTCATTGTTCAGCACGAAGAACCTGCATGTTTGAATGGCACCGCATACACAGCTGCACCAGATGTGTGTGTGTGTCTCTCTCTCTCTCACACACGCACCTTGGTATACCTATCTAAATGGGGACACTACATTCATTAACATGGGAAAAACCCTATTTTTACTTTTTTGATTGTAGACACAGATATTTTTATAAAATTGAAAAATGTCCCCAAACGTAAGGAAGTTTCAGGTTTTACCAAACTTTGAGGACAATATAGTCCAATAATGTGATCTATGCACCCCCCCCCACACACACACACACAAACACACACTCTCTCTCTCTGAGCTTTTCAGCTCATGTTCTTAAGACCTAATGATCCACAGGACACCTGATTCAAACTGTAAGGACCAGGTTGCTTAGTCACCCACAACACCACAATACCTCAGGCCCCCAGGGCCAGAAAATTGCAGTGATTTCACTATATTTCAGTTATACTGGTCATAAGAACTTCACGACACTCACCAGATATTTGCACTTGTTGACGGACCCATGGCTTAGTGTAGAGATTATCAGCTGATAAAAATATGGGGCTCCCCTCACTGCAGACACACTGGGCACGGACATGGGGAGAAACTCACCGATACTGCCATCCAGTCACCAGGTTGGTGTACTTCATCAGGTAACCATCAATGTTTTCCATGTGATCACTGCATTGGAGAGAGAGAAACCAAGGAATCCATACAGGGACCAATTCACACAAATATCTTCCTTATGGGCACATAAAATAAACACTGGCTATGTTCTAATTTTAAGACTTTGAATAACAGTTAATTTACTTGATATTTTGATGGCCACATTTTTCACAGTTGGTTTCTGCTCCAGCTAAACTACACGTGATGACTGAATAGTGATTAAAAGTAAGACATGTAATCAGTGGAGTGTGCTGGTGATGTGATGTGAAAGGAGATTAACTAATAACAAGTCCCAGACTTAAAAGCAACACATAACTGACTGGTCTAAAAGTGGCTGAAATGGTCTAAAATGTTATGGTATGAAATGAGTTAAATGAATGAATGAAAATTTACCATAAGCTCACCGTTTGACACGCTCGTTTAAAGAATTAAAGTGATTTGACTTTAATATGACGATTAGGAACTACTGAAGACAAACTAAAGTCAATACAGTCCGCGTAGAGAAGCTGAATGTCCCAATTTTTATTCGAGGGAAAAAATCACCCCAAAAAGCCGTGTTATGGAGCAGACCATATGTACTTTATAATTTAGACACACGGAAAATCAGAAGGATCATATCTTCAGAAAACAGGGAGAGCTTCATCAAACTAAACGCTTGAATAAACCGGGGAAGGGCCTAGATGGGTGTAGATGAACCAGGAATGCAGGTCCAGGTGTTTGCAGAACATAGCAATGAGTAACAGATCAACCATACTGATAAAGAGTCAATCAGTAAAGTTGTCAGTCATTTATAAGTCCTGCCGCCCAGCTCCTTAACGCCGAGCCGAGGAGGAGTAACAAGGTGCAGAAGAAGTTAAGATGCGTGTGCACCGTACCTGTACTGCCAGCTTCGGGAAGTTGCTCTCCCGGAGCCTGACGTCCGGCTCTGGGTGTGCGTCTCCACCTTCCCCTCAGCCTCCGACACTCGGACAGCGGTGCTTTCTCCCTGCATCGCTAAGCGAAGGACTTGGCTTCTCCACTGATTTATGTGCAGATATACAGCAAATGACGGACACTTCAAAGCTTCGCTAGCGGACCCGCAGTCCGTACCCAGCGACGCCTTCACTCTGAATGACCTTAACTATAGCGAATCATGCCGTTCTAAACCTAAAGAGCCTGCGGCGTACAGCTCCATGTTCCAGAAGACAAGCCCATATAACTACCCGATGAATTCACGATGTTTATGGCTGTCTGCCGTCGCTCCCATGGACGTGACCGGAAGCGGAAGCGCTAAACTAAGTCATGTGACACACTCTGTGCGTTTGAAACGGCTCGGTTAGCGCATACGTCATCCGTGGGCGTATCCGCCATGCTCACGTTGGAGACCGGAAGCGGAAGTGTTTGCTGAGTCATTTGAATGCTACCTCGCGGTTTTGTCTTTTTCGCAGGTGCCAATATTTGAGAAGTGGACACCGCGAAGTGGACATGAAGTTCAGTGTTAGTCACACCAGTCTTCGGGGACTCCCAGACGGTCCACGTTTTTGCTCCCTCCCAACTCCCAGGGACAGAGCAAATATGTGGACCGTCTCTGGGTCCCCGAGGACTGCTTTGGGAAACACTGCTTTAAGTGTTAATGTAATTATTCCGATGAATAAATATGACAGTAATTATCCGATTTTATATATAATGCAGAGTGCATAAAAAGAATGACAAGATAGACGTTATAATAATTTGACTAGTGGCACTTGCTGCCATCGTAATGAAGTGGATTGGATTTAGTGATCAGTGGTGTTTGTTGACGCACCACAGCAAAATGTGTCCTCTGCATTTAACCCATATGTGACATCATAGAAGGTAGCTTATTCAGCACCCAGGGAGTAATGCTTGGGGGCAGTACCTTGCTCAGCGTACCTTAGTGGTGCCTTGCTGGTCAGGGATTCAAACCAGCAATTTTTCCAATTGCAAGTGCACTTCCCTAACCATTAAGCCACCACTGCCCAGCTGGATTGAGGGTCTGGTGCTGAGAATTGGGCTGGAACTATGTAATATTGTTCACATTCAAACATTCGATTTTTGCACAACATTATCCCCACCAGCTTTGGTACATCAATATCAATACCAAATGATGGTGTAAAGCATTCCCATTTAAATATTCTGTTGCTGGCCTCAGCTGTTTCAAAACCTTGTTGATTATACACTAGTGTTCGGTTGATATTTGTGTTTGTTCTGTTCGTCATTTATCCTACTTTACTTTTCGTCACTGGAGAAAGATATAAATGAACTCGTAATGTAGGCTAAACACTAGCTGAGATATCTAGAGATATCAGTCTGTACAGTCTGGATTTCTTTTTGCGCACAACAGGTCCACAGAGTATGCCATAGCCATAGTACTCCACACCACTCTGGATCTCATACAAAAATGGCTTTGTATGGCTACTATGCCTGCGATGGGTTGGGGCCCCATCCTGGATTGTTCCCTGACTTGCGCCCATAGCCTCCAGAATATGCTCTGGACCTTCTGGAGCCCTGAATAGGACAAGCAGTTACAGAAAATGGATGAATAGATGGATGGTTGGATATCCCTTCTATTCTAATCACTGAACTCCTAGAGCACCTCTGTCCACAGCTGGATTCTGGACTTCTTCACTGCACTTCACTGTAGTGTGCTGCATCTTGTTCTTCAATGACTGTATAGCTAAACAGAGCTCCAACTCCATCATCAGCTTCAATGATGACATCACCATCAGAGGCTTGATCAGAAATTGCAATCTACTGCAGTGTTTCCCTATCCAGTCCTCAGGGATCTGCAGACAGTCCATATTTTTGCTCCCTCCCTGTTCCCATCCAAAGATAAATACTGAATACTTGGTTTTGGGAACTGGAAGTGAGCAAAAATGTGGACTGTCTGGCGGTTTCCGAGGACTGGGTTGGGAAACACTTATTTACAGAAGGGAGGGTAGACACAAGGGAAGCACTGTCTCCCTAATTATCTGTATAGGTATAGATCACCATTAATGTCAGGAAGTAGAAGGGTGCACTTACACCGATCTTACATGCAAGACGATTCTGTAGAGATGGTGAGCAGCCTTATATCACTGGAAATCACTATCACCTATATTTGTTCACCATTTCACTTGGGCTCCGACTGCTTTAACTTCCTCATGAGTCAAACCAAAAACCAGTTCTCACCAGCTACTACAGATGCACCACAAAGACCATTTTCATCACTTGCATCACAGCTGGACAGAACAGGGAGATTTGGGATTCAAAGAAATGGGAGAGTGCATTGAACACCAAATACAGCCACATTGGCTTTTACGAAAGAACCAATTAATATTGGAAATACAGGAGCATGAGGTCCAAGCATGGCCTCTGGTCTCACTGAAGGCTCGCTCACGTCTTTCTCTTCAAGAAAAAGGTTGGGGGGAGGGGGGAGACGACCTGCTACTTTATGCAACTTTCTCCTTACACTGCCAGAAAGTCTAGGCTAAAACAAACAGGTGACCGGACCTTTTCTGTTCTGGCCCCTGAACTGTGGAATGGTTTACCCCTGAATGTTACAATGGCACTTTCTGTACTGCACAGTGCCTGTTTTCAAATCTCTTCTAAGAACACAATTTTATTCCTTAGCTTTTAATTCAGTTTGAGAGTTGTTTGATTACCAATTGTCACTTTTTAAGTCTCTTATTGTTTTTGTTTATTCAGTTGGTTCTTTTTTGTCTTTTAAATTCCTCTTGTTATGTTGTCTTGTCTTTTTGTGTTGTTTTATATTGGTATATTGTCTGTACAGCACTTTGGGTTCAACTCCTGTTGTTTAATAGTGCTCCATAAATAAAAATGACTTGACTTGACCTGAATTTGTAGTCAATAGTTGATTTCAGGAGATGTAGGTCTTGTATCCTGACTTCAACCTGCCACTTAAAGCATTAACTCTTTCTACACAGCAAAAGCTCCAGCTATCGGCAGAACAACCAGTTGCTTAGAGCTTCTAAATGAACTGCATTGTGGACAGGGGCAGATTAACCTCTCTGGGGGCCCTAGGTTGACATGGATAGGCGGGCCCTAGGCTGACATGGATAGGGGGGCCCCCTAAGTTGGCCAATTGAACAATTTTTTGCAGTCGAAAGAGACACCAGAGAGAATTAGAAATGATAGAACATTAATAATATACAAATCAAAGCATAGGGCGCCAGAGGTAAAACTTACCAATCAGGGTGGGGTGGGAGTGCTATTGGTAGAATTTGCTGATCGGGGAGAGGGGGGTATCGTTCTAGTGGATTGATTGGCCAAATTTAAGATATATTTTTTTTATAAATTATCGTATTTTATCAAAAATTGTTATATAAATGGTTAGCAGTGGACATTTGTTCTATGTGTGTTTTTGTCATTTTTACAAAAAAAAAAGTTTATATCAGCAGGATCCCCCCTGAAATTCCACCCTTGGTTGCAGAGGAAGGGAAATGATCATCACTTTTCTTGGTGGGGGACCTCCCAAGTAAAGCGTTGCCCTGGAACCTTTAAAAGGTAGAGCTGGCTTTGTTTCTCCATGTCACTCTTCCAACATTATGGACTTATGCTGTGTCCATGAACAAACACGTTCTTCCCTACACACCACAGACATGCAAATTTAACTGAAAATGTAATTCAAGATATTGTCTCTGATTTAATAGTGCTGGTTTGAGAAATGCACACAAGAATTTCATTGTTCTCTATTCACACGACACTAAAAATGAAATAAACCTTTTAAGTTCTGCATTGTGGTCCATGTATGTGGTGGCCCAATATGCAGACTGCCAGGATGGGAAACAGTTTTTTCCCTTAGACCATCAGACTTCTGAATCAGACCTGAATCATAAACTGCACACACACACACACACTACAATCCCCTTTATATATTATATACTGCACATTCACTGTCCTGCTGCTGCTATTTTTTGCACAATTATTTATTGCTATGTACCTCAATCCTGCATTTTTGCACACTTCTGCTGCTAGAATACAGTATCTGTCATAATACTGTATTCATTCAAACTAGTACTGTTACTGCTTTTGTCAACTGCACTGTATGTTGTGTTTGTTATGTCTCTTGCACTCTCTCTCTCTCACTTTGCTCTCCTTGACTCTGTATAGCTCTGTCTTGCCTGCACTTGTGCAGTCTTGTGTTGTTGCTGTGTTTGTTCTTCGTGTTGCGTGGAACCATGTTCTGTTTCACTGTGTACTGTGTATATGGCTGAAGTGACAATAAACTTAACTGACATGACTTGTACTAAGGCAAACTTATGACAAGAAAACACATTCACTGTGGCAAATACAAGATAAGCTACTAATAATGTGACACACACACACACATGATATATATATATATATATAATCCAGATAAATTGTTTTTTTTAACAATTTCAAATAATCATTAATAATTAGTAAAGACATTATTGAGGAATCACTTAGCAGCTATGTTGTGTGTGTAATGTGTGGTGAACCCGTTAGCTGGCACTGTTAAAAAGGTATATAACAGTACATCGATATACAAAGGTATATTAAGGGAAGGTTGGGTGAAGGAAGGCAAATAAAAACTGGGAGATACACGTCCCCTGAACAGAAATAACAAAAACAGTGGAATATCCATACGAAAACATTGAATTAATACAAAACACAATACACGCTTAGCTGCTTGAAATTTACCATTTACTAACACGTTTATTTTTCGCAGAACACACTAAAACTACTAGCCACAATGCTATTTTAAAATGAAAATATATACAGTGTGTAAAACAGTGTAAGAGTAAGCGTAGGCACTTGAATCGAGGGAAATGACCCGCCATTTTTCACAGTGACGGGTTTCAGTCAGGTCGTCTGCAATTGTATAACTGCCAAACACAGTTTCCAGATGCCAGATCTTTTTGTTACGAAAACAGTAGTTTACAATGTCTGGACGAGGAAAGGGTGGTAAAGGACTCGGCAAAGGGGGCGCTAAGCGTCACCGTAAAGTTCTTCGCGACAACATCCAGGGTATTACCAAGCCCGCTATCCGTCGTTTGGCTCGCCGTGGCGGCGTCAAGCGTATCTCTGGTCTGATCTACGAGGAGACTCGTGGTGTGCTGAAGGTGTTTCTGGAGAACGTTATCCG